CCCGCGCGGACCTTGTCCGTCAGCTGCACGTTGGCCGCCGTGAGCAGGCCCATCGCGTCCCCCAGCGCCTGCGCCGCTTCCTGGAGCGCCTCCTTGCGCTTCTTCGATGTCGCAAAGACCTTGAGCCTGCTGTCGCTCTCCCACATCGAAATCTCCGTGTCCATCACCGACAGCGCCCGCTCGATCGCCCCGAGGGCATCCGCGAGCAGCAGCGGTGCTTTGGCCGACTCCGTGGCCCTCAGCTCGTTGAGGACCTGCTCGACCTGAAGCACGTGGGGCCGCAGGGTCGCGCACGTGTTGCGGATCCACGCGCAGTTGTCCAGGCGCGTCAGGACCGCCCGCGTCAGAGCGACGCACGTGTTCACCGCCACCTCCATGGTAGGGCACCTGCGTCGCACCAGGCGACCCACCCGTTGGTTCTATGACAATGTCGTATTATATATCACGAGGTTCTCAAGTAAGAGGTCTTTGTGTACCGAAAACGCCCATGGCGGCGTCGTATTTCCCGCACTCGAGCACAACGCCTCGCAACAGGCAAATGAGCATCGGATCGCTGAACGCGGACGATCGCTCGAACACGGCGGTGGCAGCGCCAAGGATCGACGATAAGTGTTCCGGCAGGCGCGTGCATGTTCGCGCCGAAGCGGTTGCCGCTGCGAGAAGGCTAGTGCGACTAGCTAGCTGTCCAAGTGACGGCCCGGCGCTACGGGGACTTTTATCAGGTCGTTCAGCATTAATATTGCACGTGCACGTATAGTTTATTCAAGCAAAGTCAACTAAAGCGCGTCGTAAATCGTCACGGTGGCGTGCAGCTGTTTGAGTCCCTTGGAGTCTCTCTCCTGGCAGAGGACGCGAAAGCCGCCCTCGTCAACGATGCATTTGCCATAGATGCCAAGTTGCTGCTCAAAACAAGCGGCTGTGATGTCTCAAAGCTGCGCAACGTACCAGGTTGGACGCTGAAGCTCGCCAGACCACCTGCAGGATAAGGTCGCTGCTCGGCCCCTCGAATTCTATCGAACCGTGCGGGGGGACCTCGCAGCCAACCGCACTACTGTCCCGAAGCCTCGCGGAGCCGCCCTGCTGCCGTCCCGGCCGTCCGGCGCCACCAGCGCCTGCGTCGTAGAGAACCCCACCGACGCAACTTCAGGCAGTCAGCACCGACGCCGGCGCCCAAGGAAGTCAACAGGGTGCCACACGCTCCACTGGACACACAGTGGGACACCGGGGGCGCGCTCAGTTGCAGCATCGAGCTCTCCCACCACTGCAGCCACCCCCAAACTCGCACAGCGCACTTGTGCAGTGAGGCCCGGCTGCCCAGCGCCGCGCGGAGGCCGCGTTAGTGCGCCATGCAGGGCGCCACTGAGTGGCAAGAGGGTCGGATGTCCGGGCGGGCTGGACGGGCCCGCAGGTCGCGCGTGCAGGCGCAGGTCGTCTCGCTGCGCCCCCGCACTATCCACAGGCGCCTGCGAGGTGGTGCAACGCTCGCGATGCGCTTGAGCACGTCTTAGATGTCGAGAATTGGCTTGCAATTCGAACGGCGTGCTTCTCAGGGCTAGATCGGCACGCGGCTGGTCGACATTGCCGCCTCATGCATGCATTGCCTCCTACATCTGTTTTTGGCGAATACCGAGCCCGAAATCTACGCCGGCGCCCCTCGCGCGTTGAGGTAGATATTCACTCATTGCATCACCGCTTTGTGATGTCCAGAGCCCCACGTTCAGTCTGGTTCGCCCCCGCCAGGCCAAGCCTCCCATGGCACGCCCGCGCAGCGGCACCCGCTCCACGATGGGCCCCTCAGGAGCTCTCCGCGGCGGCGATGCTCCCTGTCGATCTAACACGTCCCCTCTGAACCGGACTGGTCACGTACCGACCGGTCATCTACGACCCTGTCCAGGCCTCTCTCGACATGCCTGCTCACTCACGGCGTTCCCCGCGGGTCTCAGCGCCGCGCTCGATCCCGCCGAAGATGCCGGCCGCTTCATCTAGCAGTGCTGCACGGCTGCGGATGGCAACGCCTGGGACGGCGTCGGGACGCACGCGTGGCTGGCTATGATCCTGCCGACGCACACACGAGCCGCCGTGTTCGCGCTGGGCGCCACCGCCGTGGTGTGCCGCGCGGAGAGGATCGCAGACATGGCCGGGGCGACAGCGCGCGGGCGCCGCGTGGCCCCCGACGAGCTGCACTGCAGCTCGTCCAAGTGACGCTGAGCAGGGGGAGGGCTGCGCCTGCTGGCAACGACGGCGCCGCCCTCACGGCACCGCTCTCGCCGACGCTGCGAGCCATCACACATCGCTCCGCTCCCACTGAGGTTCACCACGTCCACAGAATACATGGTATCATACCTCTACGCGCCCCCCTGCTCGATCTCCCTCCCGCTCCGCCACGCCCCGCACACTCGCACCAGCATTCCCCCACATCCTTGGCGCCCGCGTCCGGTCCCCCGCGCCCCTGCCTCACTCGTCGCAGTCCCCGAACGCCGCGCTGTCGTCCACCTGGAACGTCACCGCCCGCCCAAGCTCCGTGGCGCAGAACTGCGCCTCCTGCGCGTCCCCGTCGCCCCACGCCGCCCTGGCCAGATCGCGACGGGAAAATCGCAAGGCTCCGCCGGGGCGCGTGATGGTGGCCGAGGGGTCTGGGGGGTAGGGCGGCGCGGTGGGGTGACGGGGCGGCCAAGAGAGGCGCTGGTGCTGTTCTAGGGTGTGTGTGTGCTCGCGCGAGCAGGCGCGTGTGAGTCGTCATGTGGCGACGAACGTCGCGAGCTCGCAGGAACAGCAGCCGCGGTCGGGCGACGTGACCACAGAGTAGTAATTGACCACCCGCGCACGAAACGAAATGCGGGTGTGCTATCGTCCTGATCAAGGCGGCAGCGTGCTAGGAGTACTCGCGCGAAATGCCATGTGAGCGTGCCATCATGTGCCAAGGGAAGGCTCTGACCTGCAATCAGTTAGAGGGAGTGGCGGGCGTCGTCAGCAACAACGCGGCGAGCCGCGCGAGTACTGGACGACGCCCGCCAGCCGACGCGCCGAAGTGCTGGTCCACGTCCTAGGCTGCTTGTACCAGGGGGTGTCGGCAGCCGGCTGGGGGACAGCGGTGACTGAGTCTGCGGCATTGTCCGCGTTGTGTGGCGACGCGCCGACGGCTACTCAGCTCTCCTCGTCATCGCCGTCCCCGCGCGTGGCCTGTCATGCGAAAAGGGATCATACCTCGGTCTAGCGGCCACGGAATACGCGCATGGCCAACATGTCAACATCGGGGGGGTAACAGAGTGCGTCATGTGTGCGGGCATGGCTGGATAGTTCCGAGCCAGCTTCGCAGCGCCGGGATCATGTATGAGGGTGACGAGTTGCAGGGCGCCGGGCACGCCCTGTCAGCAGGTTGGCCAGTATGGTCTGCAAACTGCACGTGGCGACGCACGAGGTCAGCCAGGCCCGCCGGCGTGGCAGGGCCAAAATGCGGGCTCGGGTGCGTCCGGCAGGCGGCGCGGTGGATCGCCAGGACCTGTCGCATGCAGTAACCTCGATGCGTACGCATGTAGCGCATCATGGCCGACATCTTGGCTACGTAGCTGTCGCGGTCAGTCACCTCGCTGGACACGCGGATGTGTTCGGTGCGGACGATGTTGTAAAGGTGTCGTCGCAGCAGCGCACACGAAGCGTGGGGGTACTGTATGAGGTGAATGTTCTCAGGAAACAGACCGCGTTTGTCATAGTGCGAGATCAGGAGGAAGCCCTGATATTCGGGATGCGGACGCACGCGGAGGTCTAGGAAGGAGACACCGTCGAGCGGGTTCGCTGGGGCGTCAAATTCGACCTCAAGACAGGGGGGGTACATGTTATGTATACCAGAGATGAGATCTACGATCGACGACGGGGTTTCGGGGGGCGGGGTGGGGGGGCGGGGGTGGGTGTTGAAGTAGCGGTACAGTGCGTTCGCGAGAGAGAAATTGTCGTCGATGTAGCGCCTGGAATAACGGAAAGACCCCAAGACCTTCAGCGAAGCGACGTCGCCAGTGCTCAACCAGCGGTCGCGAAACTGGCAGAGGAACGCGAGCTCATGCCGGAACATGTAGCAGTTCGCGAGGTGGGGGGAGGCCGAGAGCCCCATGGGCACACCGCAGGTCTGTGATATACGACGCCCCCGAACACCACGTAGGCGCGTTTGACGAGGATGTGCACGAGACCATGAAGTTGCTCGATGCTCGGTGCCCATTTCCCAACCATGCCGTCCGCGTCCGGCAGCTGCGCCACCCACCACCACGTCTCCCTCGCGTCAAACGCGGGTTGCAAGTCGATCAGGAGGTGTTGCCCTGGATGCAGTGCAAAAACAGCGTCGATGTGTTCGATGACGCAGTCGATGAGGCCGGTCCCGTGGTCCGCGCTCGTCTCGTGCCGGATGTGCGTGTAGAGCCGCTTGATGTCGGCGCCCAGCAGCAGAGGTGGTTGTTGAGCATGTATCGCTGAGCGTGGTGGGTTGTCATGTAGATACGCGGTCACCATGTCACGCATGCCGCGGCTGGAGTCCACCAAGAAGGGCTCGTCGAGACCCAGGTTAAGCGCATCGGGATGCATGTGCGACACGCAGTGATGGAGGGAGAAGAGGTATTTTCCGATGTTCGCTGCCGTGCAATGGTTCACCGCGCGTCTCCAATGATCGTGCTCTGTGTCGCCGGCGCGGCGGAACAAAACAACGTCAAGAAGGAGGCGAGTCTGGTAGATATACTCGCGTGTACCGAGGCGCGGAGACATGCCTGCGATAGCGGGGGGCAGGGACAACGCTGGTGCCGTAGTTGTGAGGCAGTTGTCAGCGTCGAGGTGGATGGTACGTTGATGCGTGGAGGAGATGGCAAACGTTGGCTGGAAGAGGGTCGCCAGCGCTGACAGACCGCAGGACGAGCCCCGCGCGGCCGCACGCGCGCGCAATCCTCCCACTCCGCCGCCGCGACCTTTCACAACAGCACGGTAGCCATCGTCGCCAGCCGCAGCATCCCGGCCCCGCGCAGTCAGAACTTGATCGCATCGAACACGCGGTGGCGTTTCGGATCCGCGGCGGCCGCGAGCGGCTCCTGCAGCGTGCGCAGCCCCGGGCCCGCCAGCTGCGCACGCAGCGCAGCCAGCAGCTCTGCGTGCGACGCCCGCTTGCGCTCCAGCGTGGTCGCGAAGGCGCGCAGCGCGAGCCAGACGACGTGGCGCCGCGGCAGGCAGCTCGGCGCGCGCGCGGGCGCGGCGTCGGCGTGCGCCGCGATGCGGGCGCAGCACCGCTGGACGCACTGGCGCCCCTGACCTCGGAAGAATCCGATCGCGGCGTATATGGCGCGGAGCTGGGAGGTGACGAGCGGGCGCTTGTCGGGCGGGAGGGCGACGACGAAGCAGTGGAAGCGCCGCGCGAGGAAGAGGAACGACTGCGGACCGCGAAAGGGCGGGGAGGGCGTTGCAGTGAAACAACCACTCTGTTGTTGTGGAGGCGCTGGCGTCGGTGGTTTGGATGTTCTGGCGCCGCAGGACGGCGCGGAGGAGCCGGACGGGGCAATGGCGGCGTCGCGGCGCATGGGCGCAGGCGAGGGGGGCAACATTAGAACTGCACATTGAAAAGATTGATGATTGATGATTGGTGAAAGGGTCGTACCTGGTACGTGTTGACGCGGAGCGTGGTGGTTGAGTTGACGACGGGGTCGTAGAGGATCGGGAGGATGCGCGGCGCGAGGTACCCGCTGAGTTTCGCGGACAGCTGCGCGGAGGGCCGCCCGGACAGCGGCACGTTGGCGGACTCACGCAGGTGGCGCCCGGCCTGGCGGTAGTAGTCGGCCTGGACCTCGAGCGTCTGCGTCTCGATGAGCAGGCCGCACCAGGCCACGAAGCGCCGCCCGCTGCCGCAGCGGTGCGTGCGGGGGCGCAGCCACGGCAGCCCCTGTGCTGCGAAGGACACTTGCGTCTTACTGCGGGGGGGGGAGTGACACGGGCCGGGACGACTGACGGTGACGAGCAGTGCAGGTGGTCGTGGGGGCCGTGGGCGAGGCTGCGCGAGAGGATGGAGCGCTGACGGGAGCCGGAAGGGCGTCGTAATTGAAGAAATGATGGTAATTCGTGAAATACTGACCTGGGATTGATCTTGATTCCGTACTCGGGGAATCCCTGCACGAGCCGCGCGACGAGCGCCTCGGCCATCCCCGCGTCCGGCAGCACGAACAGCCAGTCGTCCACGACGCGCATGCTCAGCGACGGAGGCACCTCAACCCCCGCTCGCAACCCCGCCCCCCGCGGCGATGCACTCCCCCGCGGCCCAGCGCTGCGCTGCGTCGACCCCGCCTGCGACGCCTCCATCCCCCGCAGCAAGTACGTCATCGCGCCGGTGCCCCCCGCGCTCCCCGAAGACACCCCCCCCTCGATCATAGGTACAATATACTTCGCTTCCAGGTCTGACAGCACCAGCGAACACACCGCGGACGACACGACGCTCCCCTGCGGGATCCCGCGCTCCTGCACGAACCACCGGCCCCCGCACTCCACCAGCGGCCGCCTCAGATGCCGCTCCAGCTGCGCGAGCGCTGCGCCGCGCGACACGCGGAACCGCCAAGCACTGTCGACCAGCACGCTCGGCGCCCGGTCCGGCCCCGCCAGCGCAGCGAGGTGCCCGGGAAACGCGCTCGGCGGGCCGTGCACGCGCGCCGCGGGCGCCACGCCCAGCGTCCCGATCGTAGCGCAAACGCGGTGATGCGTGTTGACGATGTACTCGGGGGCGGAGAGCGTGCCGTCGAGCAGCCGGAGGGCCTCCGCGGTGTCGATCGAGTCGAACGCGCGCGAGACGTCCGCGCAGACGACGTGCGGCCGCAGCGCCCCCGGCGCCGCCCGGCGCTGCGCGCGCCGCCAGGCGTCGACGAACGTGCGCAGCCGGAAGTGGATGTCGTCGCCGCCGTCGACGCCGCTGCCGATGTGCTCGCGCTTCGCGTGCCGCAGCACGCGGTGCACGTGCCCGAGGACCTTGTTCGCAGACTTGTATTTCACGGCCCAGCGAAAGGCGCCGCGGCGCAAGGCGGCGGCGCGCACGGCGGCGCTGGCGCCCGTGGCGTCGAGCGCGGCCGCGACGCGCGCGCGCCCGCGGATCCAGAAGGCCGCGCTCGCGTCGCGGCCGAGCTTCATGATCGGCCGCACGCCGCCAGGCTTGGGGAGGAAACGCAGGCGCGAGAACCCCAGGGGGGGTCCTGGGCGTGCCAGCGCCGCCATGGCCTGCTCGCGCGACACCGCCTCGAGGTTGTCTTCCTTGAGGCCCTGCGCGGCGCCGAGGCAGGACCAGCGGACTGACGAGCAGTCGAGAAATGCTGGGTGATTTGTCATTCGAGGTGTGTGCGGTGTTGCGGCTCACCTGGAGCCCGAGCCGCACGATCCTCGCCCACACGGCCTTGCGGTAGTACACCAGCGTGTACTGGAACTGCTGCGAGTCCGTGATGCAGAACGCCGACCGCAGCAGCGGCAACACAACGCACCGAAGCACAAACGCAAAGAAGCGCTCCGTATCGCGCCGTTCGGCCGCGTGCCCCGCGGCGCCCGACCCGCCCCGTGCCCACGGATACCTCCCCGTCGGGACGCCGAGCACGGCGTCGGAAACCCTCATCTCCTCGAACCGTCGCATGCGCACAATGATCCGTACGGCACGCAGCAGCGCCGCGCGGGCCGGCGCGGGTCCGAGCAGCGCGGACGGGAGCACGCGGCGCAGGAACGCCCACACGAACGCGACGACGGCGCTCGTGGGCGTGTTCGACGCAGCCAGCGCCGCGAGCGTTGCTGTTGGTGCGTCGCGCGGCATCGGACAATGGCGCGCGAGCAGCGGCAGGATGCGCACGCGCTGCGCGCGACGGAGGGTCTCGCGCAGGAGCGTGAGGACGCGCCGGTGGTGCCGCGGCACGCGCCGCGCCGCCGGCACCACCTCGTCGAGCCGTTTGCTGTACGCGGGGGTGTCGGGAGAGCCCCCCCCGGGCCTGCGGAGCGGCGGCGCGGGCAGCACGGCCGGGCACGCGGCGCTGCGGAACACCGCGGAGTACAGGCGCCGCGCGCCGCGCATCGTCGCCGGCAGTGCCCGCAGGATGTTGCTCCTGGGCAGCACAGACTTTCGGTTGTGAGCAGTGACGAATAAAATGCCCTTCTTCGACACCGGAGCGATCCTGACCGGGCGCTTCCGGCCGCGCGCCGCGGCGGCTGTCGCTGCGGCCGCCGGGCGCGGCGCCGAGCGCGCGGGGGGCGTCACGGCAGGACGCGCCGCTTCCGTGGCGCTGGCAGTCTTCTTTTTCCGATCTCGGATCCATCGGTGAGGTCGGTACGTCCGGCGCCGCTTCCGGGACCCCGCGGGCTCGTCAGGGTCGTCCTCCGGAGCAAGAGCGCTGCCGTCCGGGCCCCGCCCCGTCGCGCCAGCGACCGACAGACGCGCGCCGCTGCTTACGTCCGTGTGCACCGCGTGCTGCACCGCAGCCTCGAACAGCGGCCGGTCCGCGCGCGCCACGTGCACGCGCGGAATCGTCTCCCTTCGGTACTGCCAGGCCAGCTCCGTCGCTGCGGCGCCCGTCAGCTGCAGGACAGACCCGTTGCGCAGCCGTTGAAACAGCGTCGTGCGCGCGATGAGATACACCAACAGGCTGTCTCCGAGCCGCTGGTGGAGCTCCTGCCACGGGTGCGTGCTCAGGAGCTCCAGCGCGGCGTTCCCGACGAGCCCCGCGCCGCCACCGCCGCTTCCCCCTGAGGCTGTTGCCGGCCAGAAACTGCTGCCGTTTGTGCGCAGTCCGGACAGGATGACGTGCTTCTTCGGGCCGCTCTTGAACGCGTGGGTCACGCAGCTCTTCAGGACGTCGCTCAGGGTGCACGAAGCCCGGAATTCGAGCTTGTCGGGCAGCACTACGACCTCCTCGCGCCCGGGGACGACCAGGACATCCGAAAGGAGCTCCGCGCCCGGCGCGCCGCGGCCCGCTGCCTCGAAATCCTGCACGAGAGCCACCAGCCGTTCGCCCCACGGCCGCCCGCGTGCGATGTCGCGCAGGTACTGGCCGAGAGGCTCCGCTGAAGGGAACAGCGTGCCCAGCACGGCAGGCACTTGCGGCGCGGGAGCGTCCCCGCGGGCCCCGCAATCCCAAGCGACTTCACCGCCGTCTTTCCGTTCTGAAGTGCTCGCCCCGGCGCGACGGCGCTTGCCTCTGCTCATCGCGTGCCGCGACGCGAGCGCGGTCTCAGGCGGGACGCAGTGAGGACCTCCGCTGCGCCGAACGATGCGCCGCACGGCCCGCCATGGCCACGGCGGCGGACAGACCCTACGAAGAACTACCGAACGCCGCCGCGTGCCGAGCCGAAACGCCCCTCGAGGCGCAGGCATCCACCTCAGTCTGTCAGAACAAAACTGACACACGTCAGACTTCACAGTCCCCGAGGATCATCGCACCGAGGCGCCCAGCCGCACGCACCACGCAAGAGCCGACGACCTGCCCCGAGCCTCACAGGCGCTCCACGTCAGACCGCCTCCAACCGCTGCAAGTGTGCTACGCCCTCCGCTCGCGCCGCGCCAACCCCGTGCTTCGCCGCCACCGCCGCGTAGCCCGCCACGCGGTCGTCCCTGCTCTTGGCGCTCGCGAACGCCTCCGCGGCCGCCAGCTCCGCCGCCAACGCGCCCCGCAGCGGACCCTCACCAGCGTCAGCGAGCGCAGGCGTCAACAGACGGCGCGCCCGACCCACCAACACGTTGCACTCCTGCGGAACGTCCCCAGCAGGCACCGGACATCCGTCCGCGCGCGGGCGGTCCGCCGCGCCCACAACGGCCCTCGCCGCTGCCACAAGCACGGCACCCAGCGCCGCCCCGAGCGGCCCAGACGCGGCATCGCTGCCCGCAAGCACGTCCTCCGCGATCGCCCGGGCGCCGACAACGTCGCCGGAAGCGAGCAGGCTCCCAGCGTGGATCGTCGCCGCGACTGGCGCCAATGCCCCACCCGCGCACTTGTTACGCACAGCCTCCCAGGCAGCCTCCGCGCCCCGCCCGCGCGATGCGAGCAGCATCGCAGCGTCGAGCGCGGCCGACGCGCCGCCGAGCCCCGCGAGCATCGCGACCGCGTCGTCGACGCCGCCGCGGGCCGCCGCGCACCTTGCCTGCTGCCGCACTGCGGCTTCGCGCATGACCGCGCTTCCGGCCTCCGCGGCGGCCTCGGCCGCGCGGTCGGCGGCGGCCGCCGCGTCCTCTGCCTGCGCGCTCTGCAGCAGGCCCTCGCTTCGCACGATCAGAGCGCCTGTCTCCTCAGCCGGACTGTTGTTATTCAAAGCCAGGGATGCGGCCGCCAGGGCCGCCGCCCGACGGTAGAGGCCGTGAGACTCGCAGTCGTCGGAGCTGGCGCGGTCTCCGAGCCCGCTCACGGCCGCAGCGGCGCGGAGGTGGCACGACGCGGCCGCGAGCGCGGTTGCTGCATCCCACGGACGTGCATGCGCTGCAACGTGCATCGCTCGCGCCGCTCCGCGCAACTTCTGCGCGTGCGACGGCGCCGCGGGCGTCGCAGCCGCCGCGAACGCGACGTCCGCGGACTGCGCAGCGCGCCGGGCGGCCGACGCCCCCGGCGGCCCCGCGAACACCCCCGACACATGCAACGCCCCCCCCCGGGCCATTTCTCCGCGCACCGAGCCCTCGGGCCCGTGCAGCCCGGCGCGCCGGCTCCCCGCGTGCAGCCCCAGCGCGGCCAGCCCCGCGCGACGATGCGACGCGTCGGTGCTGCGCGTAGAAGCCGCGCAGAGTGCATGGCGACAGTCGGAACTCCACGGCGCAAGAAAGACAGCCCTGGCGGCCGGACGGACCGCGGCTGGCCCCGGGGACGCCGCCGTGGCGGCCATGATCTCATTCGCGCCGCAGAGGACGTCGATCACGGCCTGCCACACGGAATCACGGCCCCGGGGATCGTCCTGGAGAGTCCGCGTCCACTCCTTGGCACAAGACAGCGCGGATCGGAACGCCTCGGCGTCCTTCGCGGCCGCGGCCCCCGCGAGCACCGACAGCCAGCACTGTGCGACGACGCCGAGCGCCGACTGGATGTCGCTGCGCCGGGACACGGGCGCGGTAGCAGCTGCTGCGTGCCACGGCGCCAGCGCCCCCGCCGCGTCCATCGCGATCGCCAGGCCCTGCGACCGCGCCTCCGCGGTACGCTGTGCACTGAACACACGGACCGCCGCTAGCGACACGTCGAGCAGGCCCTGCGGCGGGTCGCTGCCGCCCCCCGAAACACCGTCGCTTTCCGCCGTTGCCTCGTGCGCACGTGCGGCCTCCAGCGCCGCTTGCAGGCGCGCGAGCGCCGCGTCCGAGCGGTCGCGGCCCGCCTCCACCGCGAACTCGCAAAGGCAGCGCCACGCCTCGTGCTCAGGCCCGAACTGAGCGCCCCCGGACCTCAAGCTCTGCTGCACCGCCGCAGCCTCGTCGTAGCGGCCCAGGCGCGCCAGCACGCGCGCACGGTTCGCCTCGATGCGCCTCGCAAGCTCCACCGTGCCGCCGGCCTCGCTCGCCACCAGCGTCGCGGCAGCCAGCGTACCCTGTGCACCCCCGCCCACCTCCGTCCCGGACTGCATCAGCAGCGCATGCGCGGCGGCGAGGCGCGCGAGCGCGTCGTCCAGGTCCCCGCGCGCCTCGTACGCGAGCGCGAGCGCGTTGTGGCACGCGGCGTTCAGCGGCTGCAGCGACACCGCGCGCAGCGCGGCTCCAAGCACGCGCGGCTCCGCGCCCCGCCTCCCACGCACCGCGCCGTGCACGAACCCGAGCAGCGACTCGATCCCCGCGCCCATCCCGATCGAGTGCTGCGCGTACTCGTAGTAGAGCTTCATGTCCGCGGGCCCGCCGACGCCCGTCAGAGCCATACTCGCCATGCACGACCACGCGTGGCCAAAAGTGGGGTCCGCTCCGCGCGCGCGCTCGAGGCAGCGCTTCGCGCGGTCCGCCTCGCCCGCGGACGCGTAGAGCCGCGCGAGCGCGACCCAGGCCTCCGCGCTGTGGCCGTCGAGCTGCAGCGCGCGTGAATACGCACACTCCGCAGCGCCGAGCTTTGCGCGGCCGCCCGCAACGAGGACGGTGCCGAGCGCGAGCCACAGCTGGGAGCTGCTGCCGTCGAGCCGGAGCGCCTGCCGGAGCGAGCTCTCCGCCGTCGCGACCAGGCCCGCGCAACGGTCGCGGTTCAAATTTGGATGCATGCGCCGGACCTGCGCCTCGCAGTGCCGCGCGCGCGCGACGTCGCCGAGGATCCCCGCGGGCAGCGACCGCAGCCGCGCCGCCTGCGAGTCCTTCGCGCCGCCCGCGCCCGGCGCCGGCGCCGCCGGCGCGCACGACAGCGCTTTGCCGTACGCTTCGGCGGCGGAGGCGAGGTGCTGCGCTTGCAGCCGCAGGTGCGCCTCGGCGTCCGCGAAGAGCGCCCCGGCGGGGTCGACGGCGGATACGGGCGCCCCGGGGACGGGTCCGTGGCCCGAGAGCAGGCCTGCAGCGAGCTCGGCGTCTCCGAGGAGCTTCCACGCGGGAGGGAGGTTGTCTTCGCGGTCAGTGGCGGCCCGCGCGTACTCTGCGGCGCGCTGCAGCGTCTCGCGCGCGCGCTCTGGATTGCCCATGGCGTGGTGGTAGCGCCCGAGCGCGAGGTGCGCCTGCGCGCACCCGAAGAGCGCTGGCGTGGCCGGTGTTGCGCCGCCCTGCTCCACCGCGAGCGTGTACGCGGTGACGGCGTCCTCGAACTCCTCGTTCCGGAGCGCGATCGATCCGATCTGCACGCGCGCGCACCGCCGGGCGTTCGTGACACGCGGCGCGGAAGGACCCGCCAACAACACCAACACCGGGGTTCCGGTTCTGTGTGCTACACACACAGAGATACCGTTGCGCTCGTTAAAAAAGAACGAGCGTAACCTTCCTTTTCGGGTGACTGAGGGTAGCAACGCGAACCCGGTCGGGTCGGCTCGCGTTGCCGCCCTCAGTCACCTTAAAAAAAGGTAGGGTACGCTCGTTTTAACGAGCGAAACGGCATCTCTGTGTGTAGCACTGGTGCCTACAAGGTGGAGGAACAGGGTATGCGCGCGGCGCGAAGCAACGAGCCCGCGACACACGCGTCAGACGGGTTCGCACCAGGACGTGGCACAGCGTGCGCCCAGCGTCGAGCTCGAGCGCGCGCTCGAACGACGCCCGCGCCGGGTTCGTCATCCCCATGCGAAGGTACGCCCGTCCGAGCCCCTCCCAGACAGCTCCATCGCTGCCGTCCACTCGCAGACACTTCTGGTACGACTTCACCGCGTCCTCGTGCTCCCCGGCGGCCAGCTGCGCGGCCGCGAGCCGGCGGTGCGCCCACGCCGCGCCCGGGTCCCGCTGCGCGAGTTCGTCGCACAGCCGCGTGACCAGCGCCTCGCCGTTGGGCATTTGCTGCAAAATCGCGCACAGGGCTTCCCCGGCGACGGCCTGCGCCGGGTCTGCGGCCAGCGCCTTCTGCAGCAGGACGCGCGCCTCGAGGACCGCGGACTTCCCGCCGCGCGCCGCGAGCATGCGCCCGAGCTCCGCGCAGGCCACGGCGCGCGTCGGGGCGTGCGGGGACTCCGCAGCCGCGCGGAGCGACGTCTCGGCCTTGGCGGCGTCGCCGCTGCGCAGCGCGCACATGCCCTCGATGTGCCGCAGCGCTGTCTCTTGCGCAACCGTCGGAAATAGCCACCGCGCCGCCAGGGGTAGAACATCGGTGAACGGCCCGTCGGCGGCCGCCGCGAGGGCCGCGAGCATGCCGCCGCCTGGCGCCTTGATGCGCTCGATCACCGCGAGCGCTTTCGCGGCGGCCGCCTCCGCCGCGTCGAGATCACCGTCCTCGAAGTGCGCGCGAGCGTCAACCTCGACACACGTCGCGGCAGCGAGGGCGGCGCCGCCGTCGTCGAGCTCCGGCGCGACCTGCGCGCTCGCGATCTGCCTCGCTTTCGCGGCGAGCGCGCGCGCCGTCTTCGTGTCGCCGCGCGCGAGCTGGCAGCGCGCCAGCTCCGACACCGCCGCCAGCGTCGCCGCCGGCCCCGCCGCAGCCTGCGCGACGCCCCGCAGCACCGTCGTCGCCTCCTCCAGCCGCCCGAGCCCCACCAACGCCCTTCCCAGACCCAGCTGCACCGCCACACGGAACGCGCCGAACGCACCCGCCAACCCTGCTCCGCCGCCCAGAGCCGCCTCGGCCTTCTTCGCCCCGCTCAGCGCCTGCTTCGCCTGCTCCACCGCGTCCCTGTTCTGCCCGGAATCAACGAGAACGTCCACGAACGCCCAGTGGCACAGCGTCAAATGCGCCTTGCGTGCACGCGCCGCTGTCTCGGCGTGTTCGCGGTGCGCTAGGACCGCCTGCGCTGCCTCGGAGCCCCCCTCGCCGCGCCGCCACTCGCGGTGCTTCAGCAGCGCGCTTGCGACGCAGCCGGCGCGCGCGTACTGGTGCTCGCGGACGATTGTCTGCGCGCCACTACATGGGAATGTAACACGTTGCTGAGCGCAAGGAGTCGACGCAACGGCGCAGTGAATGGGATCGAAAAATCGGACGTAGGCAGTGAGAGGCTGGCGCGGCCGAGCGAGGTGCATTCTGCGTGGACTCGAGTCGAGATCGCTCGATTGATGTTCAGACGAGGTTCGTGTTGTGTTCGACGCACCTCGAGCGCCTCCCTGACGGTGAGGGCGCCGGCGCCGCGTCCGACCGCGTCGCCGAACCCGTGCGTCAAGAGCATCCCCCGCTCCAGCGCGTCGCAGAGCCGGTGCCACACGGAACCCAGCTGAGACTTGCTCGCCACCAGCGACGTCGTCATGTCCCACGCGCGGCCCGCCGTGCCGGGGAGGCGGTCGTACGCCCAGAACAGTCGCTGGAAGAGCGTCTTGGTCGACGGCGTGGCCGCAATCTTGCGGCAGAGGCGCTCGAGCTCCGCCGTGATCGCTTTCAGGCCCGGGGCGTTCTTGGTGAGCGACTTGCAGCTGTTCGCGACCGCGTTCAGCAGCGTTGTCCTGTTGGACTCGCTCTGGTCCTCCGTGAGCGCCGCGTCCACGTAATGCCGGACTCCCTCGGCCGTTCGCCCCTCCTTGACTAGCAACGACGCGAGCTGGGCGCGATGGTACAGCGCTTTCGCGGTGTCCGAGGCGCCCAGGAATATGTCCAGCAGCTGCGTGTGCGCCTCGATCGACCCAGCCGCGTTGTGGGCCGCCCTGAAGACCTCCTCGAGGCCCATCCAGATCTGCTGGCGAGCCTGGCCGTCCTGGGTCTCCGCGAGGGCGTCGCGAAACGCCTTCTCCGCGGCCTCGAAGTTCTCCAGCTTGCACAGGCTGCGCCCGAGCACCATGCGGACCTTCACATCCGTGCCCCCGAAGTCCAGGTAGCTCTCTGCGCGCTCCACGCACGCCTCCCACTTCTTCTCTTTGAAGGCCGCGAGAGCGGCCTTCTGCGCCTCCTTGCTCATCGCCTACCGCTCGACGACGAGCCCAGCGATCGTCGAGCGAGCGCCGGGCGGCGCGAAAAGAGGAGACGCGGCTGGACGAGACTGTGTATGTTCTGCGCCGAATGCCGACGCGTGACACACTGTGCCCGCTCGATCCGCCCCGACACGCGGTGCGAGGGCGGAGATGCGCTCCCCGCGCGCTGTTCCGGCCTCATCACGCGCAGTCAGACACGAAAGAGCTGCTCTGAGCAGTCTCATACTTAGTAATACCACCTCAACGCACATGAGTCAGGCGCCTCCGCCCCGCCAGTTCGGCACACATCAACGGCGTGCCGCGGCGACCGCCTCGCGTCTGCCACCCCCTCCGGTCCCAGCATCCGCGCCCCCGCCGCCAAGGCAGTCACTACGCCGCCGCCGCTGCCACCTGCCACCTGTCGCCACATCACACGCGCCCGCCTACGCGATCCGCACAATCATCTTGTTCTTCTTCCCCGCCGCAAGCAGCACCAGCTTCCCGCCCAGCACGTCGTCGTCCCCCACCTCGGCCGCCACATCCCCCACCCGCTCATTGTTCAACCGGATACCCCCCCCCTGCACCATCTTCCGCGCCGCGCTCTTCGACTTCTGCAGCCCCACCTCCACCAGCACGTCCACCACCGGCCGCCCGACCACCTCCGCCCGCGACAGCTCCGTGCACGGCACGTCCCCACTCTGCGCCAGCGCCTCCAGCGCCTCCGCGTCCAGCTTCGTGTCGCTGCCGGGCCGCAGACCCTCCGTGGCCTTGAGCGCCGCGCGCAGGCCGGCCTCGCCGTGCACGAACCGCGTCACCTCCTCCGCGAGCCGCCGCTGCGCGGTGTTGGGCTTATACCCCTCCTGACTCATCGCCGCCTCGATCGCGTCGATCTCGTCCATCGGCAAAAACGTGAGCATGCGGAGGAACTTGATCACGTCCGCGTCCGTCGTCTGGAAGAGGTGCTGGTAGAACTGGTACGGCGACACTTTGTCCGCCGTCAGCCAGATCGCACCGCCCTCCGACTTGCCGAACTTCTTCCCGCTGGCGTCCGTGAGCAGCGGGAACGTCAGCCCGTACGCCGTCGGCGCCTCGGCGCCGTCCGCGGCGACCGTGTCCTCCTCGTCGAAGCCGGAGAGCTTGCGCAGGAGCTCTGTGCCCGCGGTGATGTTCCCCCACTGGTCCGACCCGCCGATCTGGACCTCGACGCCCATCGTGCGGTTGAGGTGCACGAAGTCGTACCCCTGCAGCAGCTGGTACGTGAACTCCGTGTAGGAGATGCCTGTCTCCGAGGCCATGCGTGTCTTGACGCTGTCTTTGGACATCATGGTGCCGACGCGCGCCGCCTTGCCGACCGTGCGGAGGAACTCGAGGAAACCCATCGGGCCGAACCAGTCCAGGTTGTTGACGACCTTGGGCTCCCCGCCTGCACGCGCAGAGCGCACGGAGGGTCGGAACGGTGTCGTGGGCCGCCAGGGCGGGTCGCGGGGCCGAGTGCCGCGGAAAGACGCTGGGAAGGGGGGAGAAAAATAAGCATGGGCGGCAAGGGGGGACGGACCTGCTTGCAAGAGCCCGACGAGCACGCCGCGGATGCCGTTCAGGTTTGCTTCGATTTGCTCCTCCGCGAGCACGGGGCGCTCGGCCGACTTGCCGGAAGGGTCCCCGACGCGCCCCGTGGCGCCGCCGATGAGCGCGACGGGCTGGTGCCCGCAGCGCTGGAACCACGACAGCACGAGGATGCCCAGCAGGTTGCCCAGGTGCAAGGAATCCGCTGTGGGGTCGAATCCGCAGTAAACCGAGACGCTCTTCGACCCGCAGAGCGTCTCAATATCCGGGGAAGTCACGTCTTGAATCAGACCGCGCTCGCGGAGCACCTCGATCACGTTGCGGCCTTTCCACCACTCCTGCAGTGAAACACCCCGCGTCAACGCCGGAACGTGAGGCACGCATCGCGACCTCGCGCGCTCGATGGCACGTTTACGTACGTCTCGACACGGCACGCGCGTATTCCAGCGATGAACGCCCCGCATTCCGCGCCCCCAGCGCGAGCCATCCATTATCGTTGCATCGCGCGTCCGCCCGCCACCGACCACCGACAGCACATCGCGGCGGCTTCCAGGACAGAAAAGGACCGGTGGCTTGCGCAGGCGCGGAGAGCACGCCACGTCAGGGCCCCGATGCGGCGCCGCGACCTCCTTGGGCCATAAGGTACCGCCGGGCACAACACACGCACCTGCCCCGCCGCCGCCGCCGCCTCCACGCCCTCGGCGGTCGCCGTCGCCCGCATGCTCCTCGCCTGCGCTCGCCCGCCGGCGAACGGCAGCGGAGCCACCCTCACGGCCGGAGAGACGGCTGCGGCGTGGGCGCGTGGCACTGGCGCGGCCGCTCCGGTTCCCGGGACGCGCGTGAGGCGCGACGCACGCATGATGCCGCGTCCGAAGCTTGTGCTGTTCATGGCGCCGCCGAACCCGCGTCTCCTCTCGTCTCCGCGTGCGCAGCGCCTGAGGGAGGGCTAGGGGGGAGCCAGGCAGCCAGGGGAGCACGGAGGCACGGAGTTCCCGCGAGGAGCTCCAGGAAGCTGAAGTAGCGGTGGCACGGCGTGCGGAGGGGAAGAAATGCTCACGGCCGCGCGTGTCTGACCTGGGGAAGCTATGTTCCTACCCGGTCTCCTGACAGACGCGCTGTGCGCGGCGAGCGGGCTTCGAGGCGCGCGTGCGCAATGCGTCGCGCACTGCCTGGATCGGGTTCTGATAGATGAGCTGATTTTTGGGCCAGGTCAATGGAGGACTCCGGCGCAGAGAGCAATGAAGGAGCTGGGCAAGAAAGGGACCGCCGCTCGCGGGAATAGTGACGCGCACGCCGAGTCGACCGCGCGGGGAGAGCGCCACATACTCGAGGACATCGCTCGCGAGGTCAAGGTGCGCGTACATGCGCTATTCACCCCCGTTCCTCCACCACACTGCATGCTGTTCCCCCCCCCGTCACCTTCCTGCGCACCGCGAGACCGCATGGCCGTAGCGCAGCGATGCGGTCGACATCGACGGCTGCGCGATACGCCCCTCGGCGCGCAGGCGTCCGTTCGGAGCGTGACCGCGGCGGTGGGCCTGCTCGATGACGGGGCTACGGTCCCGTTCGTGGCCCGGTATCGCACGGGCGCGACGGGCGGGCTCACGGACGCCCAGCTGCGGGACGTCGAGCGCCTCTTGAAGGCTGCAAGGTCGCTCGAGGCCAAGAAGCAAGAAGCGATCCAGGCAATATCGAAACAGGTCTGACTTTCCACGCCACCCTCTCAATCAATCCAGCGCCGTGACTCCCGTGCCAACGCGCACGGACCGCGCACCCGCGCACACGTGCGCGACGCGTCCACGGACCAGACGCAAGGCCACTCGCGAAACATATTACACAACAACTGGCACGTTTGTGTGCACAGCGGAGCGATGCAGCGCTAAGCGCCACGTGCGCGACCGCCGCCGCAGGGGAAGCTCACGCGGCAGTTGGAGGCCGCGATCCGCGAGGCGCCGTCGAAGGCCGCCGTCGTGGACCTCCAGGCACCGTATAGGGAGAGACGGCGGACGAAGGCGTATCAGGCGACGGAGCGTGGGCTGGCGCCTCTGGCGGAGGCCTTCCTGAGGCCGCCGGGGCCGTCGCCGCCGTGGCCGGAGAAGCTCGCGAAGGCGTACGTGGGCCGGGGGGGCGTCGCGTCCGTCGCGGAGGCGCTCAAGGGCGCGAAGGACATCCTCGTGGGTACGAAGGAAGGGCAATTACGAAATCACGACTTTTTTTTTTTTTTTTTCCCCCTTTGTTTTCGTTCCACGTGCTTGTGTGCTGACGTTCGAGGGCAGCGTGACTTCGCTTCGCTGCTGCCTCGAAAGGCGTGGACCTCGCTCGCCGCGTCTCCACGCAGAGATGGCGAGCGAGAGCGCTGAGGCGCGAGCCGCGGGGCGCAAGGCACTGTGGCCCTCCGGCGTCCTGTCGTGCGCCCAGGTCAAGCAAAGGGACGCCGCGCAGCAGGCCGAAGCTGGCCGCGGCGACGCGGCGCACAAGTACCGCGAGTACGTGGCGTTCAGAGCGCCCCTGTCGTCCCTGCGCGGCCACCAGATCCTAGCCATCAATCGCGGCGAGTCCGCAGGCCACATCAAAGCGAAGATCGAGTTCCCCACGGACACCATCGCTGCCACTGCGTTCCGGGTGAGCCTGCGCGGCCCGGCGCTGCCGTTGCCGCCCGTGGCCGAAACGCCGCGACCTCCAAACTTTGACTTGTTGCGCCGACGCAGGCGCTCACGAGGGTGGATCCCGGCTCCGAGGCGAACGGACGCGCACCGCTGCCCGCGAGCTACCGGGACGTCGTCATGGAGGCTGTCAGCGCCGCCGTGTCGTCGCGCATCGTGCCATCGCTCGTCCGCGAAGCGCGGTCGGCCTTGAAGGAGCGCGCCTGCCACGAGGCCGCGGCAGTGTTCGGCGCGAACGCCAGGGCGCTGCTGCTGCAGCCACCGCTGCCGCGCCGCGTCGTCCTCGGCATCGATCCCGGCTTCAAGTCCGGTTGCAAGACTGCCGCTATCTCGCCGACGGGGGAGGTCCTCGATGTGGGCACGTTCAGCCTGGTGTTCGGTCCCAGTGCGCAGCGAGAGCGCGCACTCGAGGACGTGCTCCGCGTGGTGCGCGCGCGCGGGGTGTCGGCGGTGGCGATCGGCAACGGAACGGCGTCGCGCGAGGTGGAGGCGGTGCTCGCCCCGGCGCTCGAGGCGCTGAAGCGCGAGCCGGGGTTCGCGTCGCTCGGATGGTGCGTCGTCAGCGAGGCGGGCGCGAGCGTGTGGAGCGCGTCGGAAGGTACGCCGCAGCAATCGCCGCATATTCATATTTAATATTATTCAATATAATATAATATTCATTTAAGAATGATCAATATAAGAAGAATGTTCTTCCAGGGGCGCCACGTGGCGTGGCTTGCGCCGCATTGTCTTCCAGGGGCCGCTGCGCGCCAGTGGCAGTCCGCGAGCGGCAAACGCGCCGGAACGCGCTCGCTGAGGACCGCAACGCACGGATGTTGCGCTGCAGGTGCGTCGCAGGAGCTGCCGCACATGACCGCGTCGCTGCGCGGCGCCGTGTCGATCGCGCGGAGGCTGCAGGACCCGATGGCGGAGCTGGTGAAAGTCGACGTGACGTCGCTCGGCGTGGGGGAGTACCAGAAAGACCTCCCGAGACCCCTCCTGAGCCAGCAGCTCGCTGCGGTGGTCGAGAGCGCCGTCAGCGAGGTGGGCGCGGACGCCAACACCGCGTCGCCCGCGCTCCTCGCGTACGTCGCCGGCGTCGGCCCGAAGCTCGCGCGGACCATCGTGGCGCACCGCGACGAGCGGGGCCCGTTCCGGCGCCGGAGCGACCTGCGTGCGGTGCCGGGCGTTGGGCCGAAAACGTTCGAGCAGCTGGCGGGCTTCGTGCGCGTCCGTGACTCCGAGAACGCTCTGGACAACTCGGCGGTGCATCCCGAGAGCTACGCGCTGGCGTGCGAGCTGGTCGCGAGGGCGGGCGGGCGGGCGGAGGGCGGCGCGGTGGCTGCGTCGGTGCTGGACGCCGTCAGGCCGGCTCTCGCCAAGATGCTGGACGAGGCGGGGGCGGGGCGCGCGGCGAGCGAGGGGACGGACGCTGCGACGGCGCGGCAGGTGCTCGAGGCCCTGGTGGTGAGTCCACGCGCTCTCTTCGGATGAATCCTTGATTGATTAATTATTTATTAATTAATCAATTATTCATTGTTGGTGTTAGCGGAGCGAACGAGCTTGCTGAGGGCCGCAGTCGGCTTGGCTGCGTGGTGCGGGGCCCGCTGATCGCTGATTCGTGGCGCCTGCCGTGTGCAGCGGGGCGGTGCGGACGTGCGTGGCGACGTGCCCGCGGGCACGCTGCGGGGGTCCGCGCCGGGGAAGCTGGAGGACGTGCGCGTCGGGGACGTGGTGCGGGGCACGGTGAGGAACGTGGCGACGTTCGGGGCGTTCGTAGACGTCGGAGCGGCCTCGAACGGCCTGTTGCACGTGTCGCAGCTGCGCAGGCTCAAGCGGGCGGCCAGGGAGGCGGATCCGTGGCAGCTGGTGGCTGTCGGGGACCAGCTGGAGCTCGAGGTGGTGTCGGTGGACGCAGCGCGCGGACGGCTGGGGCTGGGGCCGGTCGGGGGGGTGCCGCGCGGGGCGAAACGCAGTGCAGAGGCGTCTGACGGGCCGCGCGGGAAGCGGCGGAGGGTGTGAAGGTCCGCGGGCGTGCGGTGGATGTGCGAAGCGGCTCGCGACGTGGCGGGGTTTTGCGTGGACGGCACCGCGCCTGTGTTTCTGCCTGGAGGGTGCTCCATGGGTGGCCCAGCGGGCGCCCGGGAGCGCCTGTTCGGGCACGTCGCGGCTCCGTCGGTCTCTGCGCGCTGTCGGGCGTGGGGAAGGCCCCGAGCGGGCTCGAGCGCGAGCAGGGCAGGTGGTGGGCGGTTCCTGTGGCCCAGTTGGCCGCGCGCCGCGTTGCGAGTCCTCCGTCACAGCCACGCGATGCCTTCGTCCGCGCTATGAAACGTGATGATGCGCAGGTGTGGCCGCGAGCTGCGGGGAGAGCACGAACGTCACGCCGGGCTCCGCCGACTGTCGCGAGCTATCGTCCCAGACCTCGCGCTGCACCGGCCCGCGCTGACGAGCCCGGCTCCGCGATGGAAACGCCGCCAGCACATCAAGGGCCGGCGCTATGCGTCCCGCAGCGCCCAACAAGCGCGCACGGCGCTTACTTGTTCACCGGGTTCTTCTTGCGCGCATGCCGGGCGTTGCGCAGGAACTTGGGGTCCATGCCCTTCGTCGAGGTGTACTTGTGCACCTTCGGCTTCTTGATGCCGTTGCTGCGGGGCGCAAGAGACCACCACGGCACCGTGAGAGCGTGCAAGGGTGTGCCCGGGCACTCAGCACCGCCGCGCGCACTCCCCACGCACCCCAACGGCGCCAGCGCCCCGCCCCGCGCGACCACACGCAGCTACACGCCCGTCAGGCCGCAAAACACTCACCGGTGCGCCTTCCGCGTCTGGTTGTGCGCCGTGTGGTTCTTGGACTTGGCCATCTTGTCTCGTTCGGGCGACCGTGACCTCCCAAACGTGCCCGGCGAAGCAAAGAGGACGCGAGGGCCCGGGCGCGCGCCGCAGTGAGCGCCGCCGCGCGAAAGGCGCCCACCACACCCCGGGTGGCACACGAAAGTTCCGCCTGACTAGTACATCGGCGCAATGCGGGCGCGCCGTTGCTCGGCGGTCGACGCCGCCGCACACACTCGTTTTGTCGAAGCGTTGCAAGCGAGCTCAAGTGAAGCATCATGTTCGCGAAGGCCGCCCCCGCTCCCGCGACCTCGGCCCGCAGCGGTGCGCCCGATCGCCAATCCCGGCTCGACCGCGATCCTCGCGACGGACATTCGCGCGCGTTCCGCCCGTTCACAGCGTCGCACTCCGCCAGCTTCCATCATCGCCTCGTCCCACCGCCGCATTCCGCGTTGCCGTTGCCCATCGCACGAAAGCCTCTGGCCCTCCGGCCGCTCCGTCCGCGCAACGATTCCGCCTCCTCTCCCGCCTCAAACACGCCCATTTCCCACTCTCTCCACCGCACCGCGCACAACCTCCTCAACACCCCCCCACCACGCCCCGCCGTCGCTGACCTATTCCTGCCCCCACGGACGCGCACTCGCGCCCGCCGCGGCACCGCAATCCCGCCATTCCCGCGCCGCGCGCGCCAAACGTCCCGCCCTCGCCCCCTGCCACGCAGCCGTCGTGGCCCGCGCCTGCGGCGCCTGCCCGCCCGCCCCGCAGGGTGTTGTGGCGCCCGTCGCCGCCAAGTCCAAGTGCGTGCACCCCGACCGGCCGGTGTCGAAGGCCTGCGCGGACTGCCCGCGCCGCAACAAGGCCATCGCGTTCATGGAGAGCCAGATGGCGCAGCCCGTCGCCGCCAAGTCGAAGTGTGTGCACCCCGACCGCCCTGTCAAGCAGGCATGCGCCGATTGCCCGCGCCGCTGAGCGCCGGACGACGCGGGGCGCGCGCGGTGCAGAGCTCTGGCCGCCGGAGCCCCGCCGGGCGCCGGACCTCGGACATCTATTCTGTAAGTCACACAATGATGATTTATAATTACGTGGTGACTGGACTCATAGTAGGACACGGAGGGTCGCATAGGCGGTCAGGTCAGGCCGCGCCAGGCCCGCGAAGGCTCGCGCGCACGCGCCCCGCCACGCTCCGCCCCGCCGCTAGCTACAACCACCACGTCGTTGCTCTCGGCCACCCCTTTCCTTGGTTATTGTGACCTCCGATTTTGACACGTTTGTCAGACTGAAAGTTCATTACAAGGGCGTCTGCACTACCGGGGGGGTCCTAAAACCCCCTCCCCACGTTTCAGTGTCTGCTGACGTCAGGAGCCGCCGCTGAGGACCCCGCGCAGCTCGTCGGGGGAGTGCCGCACCCCACCGACGCCCCCGGCCGCCTGGTACCCCGCGTCGGACTCCAGCGTGGCGTACACGTGTCCGTACGCCGACGCGATGTTGTGCACGACGCCGTCGACGGCCCGCGAGCGCAGGTGCGGCGCCTCGATCTGGCGGAACTCCGGCATCGCGTCCGGCATCGACACGCGCGCCGCGAGCCCGCGCATCGCGCCCGTCACCCGCGACAGCGACAGCTCCGGCGCTGCCGACATCCGCGCGGCCACGTCAGGGCCCCCGCGCTGGAACTCCTCCATGCGCCCGACGATTTCCTGGAGGCCGCAGCCGCCGAGCAGCACGCCCGCCTCCGCGGCCGCGAGCTCCGCGATCAGCCTGTCGACGCGCTCGGACAAGGGCGCGACCGCTGCGCGCAGCGCAGGGTGCGCCGAGAGCGGCGTGTGGACGGCGGACAGGCAGTTGATGCCGGCGACGCACCGCGCGACGCGGCCCTGCTGCGCGGCGACGCGCGCCGCGCCGCCCTCGCCCGCGCCGCCCGCAGCGGCCTCGCCGACCGCCGCAGCGACGCGGTCGCAGTGGACGAGCGGGCTCAGCACCGCGCGCGCCGCGGCCTCGAGCGCCGCGTCCGTGGCGCTGTCGCGCGCCGCGCCGGCCTGCGCGTCCCCCGCGAGCGACGTCAGGAGCCTGACGCACGCCGAGACCTCCGGGGGAGTCCCGAGCGCCGCCGCGGACGCCGGCAGCGCCGCGCGGTCGAGCAGCGCGTGCGCCTCGCGCACCGCACTGCGCTCCAGCATCTCCGTCGCCGAAGCCTGGCACGCCTCCAGCGCCCCGCAGAGCTCCCCCTCCGCGCCCGTCACCGGAGCAAGCATCCCTCTGTGGCGCGCGAGCGCGCCAACCAGCCGCAGGAGCGTCCCGAGCGGCGGCTTCGACGCCAGCACCTGCTCGATGCGGACCTGCAGCGCGCGGACCGCCGGTCGCAGCGCCCTGTCGGTCAACTCCCCGGGCGCGGTGCCCTGCTGCTGCGGCGCAGCCGCGCCGTCGGCCCCCGCGAGCGCCCCCGCGAGCTCCTTCTCCGCGGTCGCCGCGCCGTGCACCCACGCGAGCATGTCGCCCACGTACCGCACCGGGTCGTCTGAGCGGTGTTCGATGGGAGGGCGCGCGCCCTCGCCACGCGAGAGCGCCGCGATGAATCGCTCGAACACGCGGGCCTGGCGCGCCTGGACGGCCTCGTCGAGGCAGCAGCGCAGCAGCACGGGGCGGTCCCGCAGCGCCGCGACGGCCTGGAGGACTATTGGCGTCGGCGCAACACGCCCCTCGGCCTCGCCCAGGGCGCGGCACTCGGCCTGGAGCCAGCGCGTGAGGAGCTCGTACGCCGCGTCCTGGTGCTGCGCCATCGCGTCCATCAGCTCCATGGCCGGGCGCTTGTGCTGCGTGGCCAGGAGCGCCCTGCAGTTGCCGTGCACTTCGCGCGTCCGTGCCAACGCGCGGAAGAACGCCGGGCCGACGGGGCCCTGCCGAGCGGCGCGGGCGTCCTCCGCGGACAGCAGGAAGCGCGTCTGGAAGTCCGCGGCCTCGCGGGCGCGCGCGTCGATGCGAGCGAGCTCCTGCGGCGGGCGGTTTCGTGGCCGGGGGGGGGTGTGTTGCGGTCGATGCGCTGAGCGGGTGCGCGTTGCGCGTAGGTACGGCGGGGCGGGATGCGGACCTGCTGGAGACGGGTCTGCTCGGACAGCAGCGGCGCGGAGGCGGCTTGGGACGTCTGCGCTGCTCGAGTGAGGGCGGCACAGCAGGCCTCGATGGCGTCGAGGAGCTGCCCGGCCTCCTCCAGTGCCTTGAGGGGGCCTTTCGCGGCCTGCAGGCGACGTGGCGGGCCGGGCGCGGCCGTTGCGCGCAGCCAGCCGGCTGGACTCTCCACAGCTTTGGCTGCGCCGCTAGTGCCCGGGGTTGCTCTGGACGCGAGTCGCGTGCCGCGCGGTGGTTTGTTCAGTAAGTGGCATTCTGTGTGCGGCCGGGGGGCCCGTGAGAGCCGCGCACCTCGAGGTACTCGTCGTGCAAAGCGAGAGCGCGCTCCTTCATGTGAGTGCGCAACGGCGTCTTCCTGGCAGGCGCATCGTCCGTTGCAGCGTCGCCGTCGTAGAGGGACGACAGTGTCCTGAGCGCGCCGACCATCTCTGGCGCCTCGAGCCGGCCATCGATGACGCGGGCAATGCGCCGCGCCAGGGGCCCAGCAGCTGGCACCGCGGGCCTAGCGCCCTCCGCCATCGCGTCCCTCGACCTTCTGCTCAACGATGAGATCGATTGCTCTCTCCTCGGCGAACGAGAGGAATGGTCGTCCTACAGCTGCGTGGAAATCCCGGGGAAACTGACGGTGCGATCTTTGGGGGCTCGAAACGGCACGCTCCGTGTGAGATTCGCCCCTGCAACGCGGCCAGCACCTGGCATGCACCCGAGAGCTCGCTCCGCCAGCCAGGTATGCCCGCCAAACAGCCCGTGGACGGCGGCACGGCTCCTACCCTGACACACAGAGCTCAACCAACACCCCCTCTTCTACTGCCCTCTACGAGAGGGGGTGCCGTCTCCACGACAGCCCAGTCAACGTGGAAGGACCCCCGCGCCTCACACCGGTCGCACGGCCATCCCATCGCGCACCACGCCCGCGCAAGCGTCCACCTAGTGACAATCGCCTCTGTGTCCGTCCAGGCGCAGGCCATCGACATGGCGCACGCCGCGCGTCCATCATTCCAGCATTTTCCGCGCCACCGCGGCGTTGGACACCCACGCCCTCGCGGCGTCGCGCCCAGCGCGCCCCCTCTACGCCCACCGCAAGACAACGCGCGCGTGCGCGCCGCGGACCCCGCCAGCGCCAGCACCACCGCGTCGCCGGTCGCTGAGATCAAGCGCGACCTCTTCGCGCTCTGCGAATCCGTCGCCCCCTACGGCATCCCGGCCACAGAGGATCAGATCGCTCAGGTCCGCACCCTCGTGGAACGCCTCCGCGAAGTCGACCCTCCGGCAGCCCCTGCGCGTGCGCCCGCGGACGTCTGCGACGGCACCTTCGAGATCATCTTCTCCACCAGCTCCGGCCCGAGCGGCGGCCGGTTCGAGTATAAGCTTGGCCCCGTGTCAGGCGTGTGGCCTGCCGCAGAAATGTACCAGGTGCGTCGCGTCGCCGCCGCAACGCGCACCCTGGTCGCGGCTCGCGCCGGCGCTTCCCGGCGGCGTGCCGGAGCCCGACACGCCGCAGACTGGCACAGAGATGTGCGCGGGAGTCTTCAAAGGACGACTGGTCGTGAACTGGTTGATTGGTGCGTTCTTGGCGCGGCCGCAGACGATCGAGAACTACCCGGAGAGGCTCGAGCTGTCCGCGGTCGTCCTCCCGGGCCTCATGCGCGCGGACACGCAGTGCACGTTTGACGTTCTGTCCGACTCGAAACTGCGCGTTGTGTTCCAGCGCACCGAGTTCCAGCTCCTCGGCGGGCTCGTGAAGAACGCGGTGGACTTCGCGCCGGGCAGCCCGGGCTCCGCGGGGACCTGGGACGTGCTGTACCTTAGTCGGGACCTACGCGTCATCGAGACCAATAAGCGGAGCTTGACTGTGTTGCGGCGGAGGGCGGTGAGCGGGTGAGTGCGCGCGTCGCGCTGCGAGGGGGGCGCGCGGGTGCTGAGCGGGGAGCTGCGCGGTTTGGGGGTGCTGAGGGGGTGTAAACGAGTCAGTCTGTCAGTCCGAGTGTTGCCGGCCGCGGGCCGAGGGGTGCGGTGGCGTTGGAGCCGACGGACTACCGCGGGGGCCTTCTCCGTGTCGTGGCGGTCAGTGCGCCCGCTGCGATGACAGCCAGCGAGGCGAGCGTGAGGGATGTGCACAGCGGGCCAGCCCGCCGCGCTGCGACTGCCGAGGATGACGCTGCCAGCGCGTCGCGCGAGGTGGACCCCAGTGGTATCGTGACGTCATCGGCCCAATCCCTGCAGCCCCCCGCGGTCGCAATCGCGCCCGGGAGCCCCGCACAGGAGCCAAAGGGGGCGAATGCGAAACAGCTCCTGCTCCAGGGCCTGGTCGTCGCCGGCGCTGTGGCGCTGGGCACACTCGTGCCCAAGCTGCTCGGGAACGGCGGATCGAAGCGGGAACAGTCGCCACCAAAGCGAGGCGAAGGTCGTTTAGATGTGCTGAGTCTCGCAGCGGACATTCGGAAGGCCGCGGGCTTCCCAGCGCACGCCGACGAGGGAGCGAACGGATCCTTGCAGCAGGAGGCATCGTCCCAGGGCGCCGCGGCCGCGTCCCCGGCCCCCGCGCCGCCCGCGGAGACGGCTGCAGAGATCGTAGCGCGCCACGAGGCGGCATTGCTGCGGCGGACGTACGAGTCGATGCACGCCGAGTTCGCCAGCAGCGGCCTCGACATTCCCGCGATCGAGAGGAACCAGCCGAACTTCCACAGCGGAACGGACGCAGGTGGGAACCCCGGAACCTCACGCCGCGACGCGCCGTGCCGTGCCGGACGCCCGCGACCCCGCCGCACCGCCGCGCCCGCGCCGCAGGAAGCAACGACCCTCGCGAGGTCCCCACGCGGTGGCCGGCGAAGTACGAGCGCATGTCGCCGCCGTACCCCCCGAATGCCGTTCGCCTCGTCGTCGCCCCCATCCAGCCGAACAACGCAGCCATGGCGAACATCCTGGCCAACGCGACGGCGCAGGTGCGTTTCCCTGCCTGATGCTGCTCGTTCCTGGCCAGGGGATGCGCTGCGAAGTGAACCGCGGCGCAACGACGCGCTTTGACCACGTGGCGCTGCGGCGCAGGTGCTGCGGGTGCTGCCGCCGAGCACGCCGCTGTACATCAACCCGACGAGCAAGCTCCACGTCACGGCGTTCTTCCTGTCCGAGCCCCAGGACACGCGGCCGGACCCGCTGCAGCCGGGGGGGGGGTGTTCGCTCTCGCTTCCGGTGCGGCAGCGGCCCGCGCCCACGCAGGACGCGCTGGCCCGCGAGGTCGCGGTGGTGCGCCACCTCGCTGCGGACACGCCCGCGACGCGGCTCAGGCTGGAGCGGATCGTCCTTGCGCGGTCCGGGTGCCTGCTTGCGACGTGGACGGAGGTGGCGGAGGGGCTGCCGCTGGCGCAGTTCAAGGCGGCCTGCCGCGAGGCCTTCGCCGGGGCGCCGCCGCGGTCTCCGAGGTGCGTTCGTCGCTGCGCCGGAGCGTCTGCGCTGTTGCCCGGCGTGAGAGACGTGCAAACATGAGTTGCGAGTCTCTGGTCTCGATTCCTGGCGCGCAGGATCTACCACTCGACGCTCGTGCGCCTCCTGACGTCAAGGCAGTTTTCGGAGGCCGAGAGGAAGCGGGTCGTGGACGTTTGCGAGTCGCTGACGGAGAAATTGCGCGGTCGGGAGGTCAACGTGGGTCTCCTCTGGCTGTGCATCGAGCAGGAGTGGAGCAACCTCGAGGGGCCGACGCGGGTGATTAAAATGCAGGTGTAGAGCGCACGGCGGGGACGACGAGCACCAGCGCACCGCAGACGTGCTCGTCGGGCCTCACTTGCCGTCCAGCTGACAAGTGAGACTGCGCGAGACGGACTGTCGTGATCGTCAGCGAGCGTGCTTTTCCTACACCCCGTGTTGCTCCCGCCACGTACCCGCGGCTTCGCCCCTGCGGCGGCGCCGTGCTGCCCGGTCAGCTGCAGTCAAGTCGGACACTCAACGTGGTGGTCGGCGCCGGCCAGCCTCCGGCCTCCTGAGCAGCTCGCCCGGGTCCTTGGACGCAAACTTGGACCGGGACAGCGGGATCGATGCCTCGACGTTCGTGGGCGCGCAGGATGTGGGGCACGCTCACGCTCTGCTGCGCAGGGCGTGCCCCCGACGGCCGCGGAGCCGTCCCCTCGGCCGGCGAATCCTTTCCCCCCTGCGACGGCGAAAACAATCGCTCGTCGCCTGCGAGCCGTGTTCCCCGTGACGGAGCGAACGAAGACACCCGTCCGAAGCAGCAGTCGCGATTGGTCGCCTGGTGCGCAGCACGATCCGCGCGCCACGCAAACGAGACGGTCGTTCATTTTGCGTTTGTTGCGGGGACGCAGCGATATCGCTGTTCCGCCCCCTCGCGATGTCGTCATTGCTGTCTTGGCTGTTACGCCTCGCCTTGACGTCTCCTGGGCCCCCCGTCGCCGGCCCTCCAATCGGCCGCGAGCATCTCACGGTCTGCTCGCCTGCGCGCAGTCATGCCGATGCCGAGATCCTCAGGGTGACCGCGAACGAGGACCCCGAGCCCCCCACTCATCAGGCTCCCGGGCCAACGCTGTGGACGGCGGTGACCTTCATCTGCGCGAGCGCACCCATCATCCTCACGGACCTATCGCTGGGGCCGGCGCTGGGGGCCAGATTTGCGCGCAGCCCTGCGCAAGAAGCAACCCGTCGATTGCCAGGCAAGAAGCCGCCGCAACTGCGCCCGCCCGCGGCGGACGATCCGTTCTTCGTGCTCCAGCCGCCTGTGCCTTTTTTTCCTCAGACGTCCACGCGTCAGATGCGCCCCTGCTGCCCCCCTCGCCACGCAAGCTCAGCCCCATATGAGGACCTGTACGCAGGCGTGGAGCTCCGCGATTCCTCGCGCGTGGCGATGCTTCCGCGCACCGACGGCGCCGCGGTCGATCCTGCCAAGGCGCCGCTCGACCAGAACGTCAACATGAGCCTCGAAGACTGGAGGGACGCCGGAGACGCTACGACGTGCTCCACCGTTCTCTCCGGCGACATCCTGGTGTCCGCGGAGGCTCGCTCGTCCGCCTCGCGGTACAACATTTCGTACCGGCGGATCCGCGACGCCGCTCTGGCTGCCCTGCGCGACACCGGTGCCCTCAGCGGCCCTCTGGTGTGCGCGGTTGTCGCGGCGCTGCGAAGGAGCCGGGCGTTCTGGGACCTCGAGACGCGCTGCGGCCTGCGCGGCATCCAGCGCGTGATGCTCCAGTGCATCCCGGATCGCCTCCTCCTGCCCCTGCAAGTCGTGGAGCGGGACACGTTTGTTGTTCCGCTGATCGGCCAGACGAGAGTGACGCTCGTCCCGCCCGTGTACGCCCTTCAGGGCCTCTACCCCTACCCGATCCAGCACCCGTACGACGGCTACAGCATGGTCGACTGGGAGCGGCCGGACTACGGGCAGTGGCCCAAGGCAGCCAACGTGAGCGGCACGCACGCGCTGCTGTCGCCGGGGGAGGTCCTGTACGTGCCGCCGGGGTGGTTCCTCGCGCTCGAGACCGAGCGCGACCGCGCGGTCCTCCTGCACGTCAAGACGGCGGAGGGCACGGAGACGCCGCTGCCGTACGTGCCGCTGGGGGTGCAGCAGCACGGCGCCCCCTACAAGGACGCGCACATCGCGCGCCTTGCGCGGACGCTCGAGCAGTGGATCGTCGAACAGGTGAACGCCCGCGACGATGCCGGGCGCGGGGCGGCAAGTGTCGAGTGCTCTTCACAGCGCGTACGTCCTGCGCGCCCCTCGCGCAGGTCTGACCGCGGGCGCTCGCACCGAGCTGCGTCGTTCTGCGTTGCAGGGGCCGGATGTGGAGCGCTCCGTGAAGATCCTCCTCGACACCGCGAGCGCCTTGACGCTGGCGCCCTACGCGTCCCACTGTGCAGCTTCGGGGGGGGTCACGACCCCGCGCGTGTCCGACGGCGCCGGCAGCGAGGAGCAGTACGTCGGTCTGCTGGTGCACGCCAAGTGGGCGCTTCAGGAGTGCAGCTGGCCGCTCACGCTCCGCGAGTTCGTGGTTTGCATTGCGGAGAAACGACTCGTCGAGTCAGTGCACTGGACGAGCGATCTGACCGGCTGGTGCGCCCCGCCACCCGGCCGATCGCTCTGCCGCGCAGGTCCCGCCGTTGCTGCTGCGTGCTGCGCCGCGATGCACCTCGCCCGAACCATCGAGCGAAAGCAACGCGCAACTTTGTTTGAACACCATCGCGACGTGATCGCGTGGGCGAGTGCTGTCGAGGGTGTGTGCAGGGGCCTGGATTCGGCGAGGTCCGAGGAAGGGCAGTCGTCCGGGTTGCACGCCGAGCGCAGTCTCAGGACACTATCTGGCGACGCCATGTCGTATCAGTGCAGCTCGGGACTCACGGCCACCGAGGGCTCCGCGATGACGGCTGTCTCGAACGGGGCTTTCATGCAGGTGGGGCAACTCGCACGCATCGAGCCCCTTCCTTGACACGTGCGAATTCAAACCTCCCAACCTATGTTGTGGCGATTTCTTCCTCTACGACGCCCCCCATGCACGCCGAAGCCCCAGCAAAGCGCGAACTGATCCGTTTCCGACCCTGTAGACCTCAATTTTGCAGGATCTCCCCCTTCCAAGCTGCCTCAGTGCCACAAGAGACAGCGCCGGGGCCGCCAACGTCCGTCGGCCCGTGCCGTTCGCGGGCGCCCCGCTGCCGCTGCTCGGCGAAGTCGAGGAGTCGCAAGCGCCCGAGCCGGCTTCGCAGAGCTTGGCCCGCCGTCGCGACGCCGCATTCGGCGCTGTTGGCGCGAACCTGTGCGGCCTCGCAACGGACGCGCAAACGCGCGTGAAGCTGATGCGCCTGCGCGACCTGCAGCCGCTCAACGATCGGGGCCTGTCGTCGCGGCGGAGGGCCGCCGGGGCCGCGGCGCGCGACGCTCCCGCGGCAACGGGCTCCACCAGGCTTGCTGTTCCTGACAGGAGTGACGGGGGGGGTGTTTAGGGGCCTGTCGCATGCCGACTCTGTCACAGCTGCCGAGCCTGTCGCTGCCACAACGGTGGGGGGGTGCCATGACTCGCCACCTAGTCGAATGATCTTTACAGGTCCCAAAACCTTGCGGCTGACGACGCGAAGCACGTAACACCTCGCCTCACCTCATGTGTTACTTGCGAGAGCGCCGCGCGCACGCGTCGCGGACTGCGTCTACTGTCCCTCATGCCTCGTGCATCTCACACCGAGTCGCGCGCCTGTCAGGAGCCTGCTGAACAACCCCCGCGGGGCCCGGGTGCGAAGAAACGAGTGCGCACGTGAGGGGGCGAAGTGCACGACGTGGGATCTTCGCGCATCGCCGTCCGCGTGCACGCGCCCTGCGCCGCATCCCTCGAGGAGCGACCCCCCCTGCGTCAGGCAACACTCCCCCAGTGCGATGGCTCGAGGTACGTGCGCTTGAGGAGCTCGCGGATGCCGCGCTCGAGCCGCTCGCGCGCGGCGATCGTGCTGCGCTCCGCCTCCACGACGCCCGCGACGGCGCGTTTGAGGCACCCGCGCAGCACAGCGTGCTGCTCGTGCTTCACGGGGTCCCACCGCGACCGCCCGCCGGTCAAGTTCACGACCCCGAGGATCCTGCGGCCGTTGCGCGCCGGAACAACGGAGCAGATGTGAGTTGAAGTGAGTTTAAGAGGTTAGCGCCCGTGCACGTCATGTAGTGTGTGTGTGGTACAAGGCCGGAGCCGCGAGGCGACACGGCGAGCTCGCTTGTGCCCCCAACCACACGCCCCCACGCCGTTCCGAACGACCGGCGCGCACGCAAGGAGCAAGCGCGGCAACCGCAGCCGGCCAGAGGCGGCGTGGTGTTGTGTGCGGCACTCGCCTGCGGTTCTCGGTCCAGGCGTCGTCGGTGCCGTCGTCCCACGGCGGGACCTCCTCCTGCGTCTCCTCGGGCACCGGCGCGCCCCACGCCTCGGGCCTCAGGTCCAGCGCCCGCATTGTCGCGATCCCGCTGTCGATGGTTGAGTCCACGGCGTCCCGCTCAGCTCTCAGGCGCTGAAGCTGCTCGTCGATCACCGTGAGCTTCGCCAATGCGCGTATCTGCGGCGCGGAGGGTGCGGCGCGGCCTCGCTCGGCGCGGAGCGGCGCGCAGCGCGGTGTCGCCGTGGCTGGCAACAACCAGGTGGAGGCCGCTGCGTAGGGCCGTGTGCGGATATGTGCACGCATCGTGGGGCCGGATGGCACGTCGAGGATCTCCTCTGCTCGAAAGCACCAGAGCTCTCTGGATATCCGGCGCTCGGTGCACGAACGGGCGTGCGGAGTGCCCGCGCAGTGGAAGCAGGCAGTGGGGCTCGAACGCGCCTTGGCAGGGTCCATCCTTTGCGGAGACAGCACGATGGCATCGAGTCCTGTGTTCTGTCGCACAGGCCCAAGCTTGCGGGCCCCCTGGGGAGACGGGGAGCCCGCGAGGTCAACAGCAGCACCCCGCGTCCTTTCTTGCGGCCCCATCACGTAGTACGCAACGCCAAGGCTCCGCAAACGATCTCACTGACTACCAAGCCTCGCTGTGTACGCAGAACGAACGGTGATTACGTCGCGGATACGCCACAACGGCGGGCTTCTAAGGTCCGCTCAGCTTCAGCGCTCCACGAACGTCGTAGAGACGCTACCGGCCGGGAGAGCACGTCGATCGAGGGCGAGAGGGCGACGGGAGTGACGCAGCGCGCCGCGCTCGCTGCCAACGTTCTGCGAAGGCCCGGAATCCCGCTGACAACGGTCGGGGGGTCACCCACCGTCTTGCTTCTGGCCTGACTGCAGGGCGCATCGTCGGGCCGCGTCCCCCCGCGGGATGCATCAGTCGGTCTCACACGAGCCATCACATATCGCTTCGCGGTTGAATGTTGACTATGGCTCCTGTTTCGGTGCAATGAAGTTACTGCCCAAGTGTCTGAACAGGCCCGCCGTGCGCGATGACGAGGGGGCTGCCCGCGCGGCTCCCGCCGCGACCGCGCCCGACACGTCTACTGAGAGGTCGGGAGATGCGAGTCAGCAACGTTCGGCGTCGGGCGACTCGGAGCGCTGGACTTCCGACTCGACTACTGCCCAGTCGCCGCGCTGTCAGTCGAGACTGACCAGGTGAGGCTCTGCGACCACGGCTGCTCCCCGACTGATTGTGTAGGCGGGGCGTACCGGTCCCAGGCTTCCTAGACGAGTTGCGGAGCGACGCCGCCGGCGTTTGCCAGTAACAGTGGTTGCGCCGAAGCTGCCCTACAATGACACCAACGCGCTGGTCTGAACGACGGGATCGTTCGAAGATAATACTGCGCTTGCGATGAGAGTATCTAGAGACCGATCTGCGCCCCGACACCGAGCATGGCGAAGGCGGAAGCCAACCATGCACACGAGGCCCGCGTACGCCGTACACACGCCCGCACAGCGAACCTCGTTCCTCTGAACCGGTGTTCCATTCCTATTCAAGCGCCCTCACAGCAAGCCTGGGACGCTGATAGCCGCATAAGCGCGCCGCGTAGCCTTGCTCCCGTGCACAGCCCGAGCCCTGGCTCCCCCTCAACGCCACGCGCGCCCCCCGCTCCACGCAGGCTCCTCGTGGGCCGCGCAATTCCGGCCGTGGACGTCGACCACGACCCGCAGTCCCCGTCAGCAGTGGCGGGGGTTCACCGTGTGCGCAACCACATCCGATGCTGCGTGCCCGCCGTCATGGAGAACGTGCCGCTCGCGCAGCGCCTCAAGGGCCTCATACCCGGCGTCGAGGAGCTTGCGGCACGGTGCCAGGAACCACAGGCGAAGCACGAAGGTCCGTACGTCTCCTGCGACGTTCGCGCCCCCTCCCTGACTCGAATCACGGGCCCGCCGGCGCGGAATGCTCGCGCTTGAACGCCCGCCTCGCGCGCCACAGCTCGGTCCGCGTGTCTCGGCAGCGGCCTGTCTCTCCGCGACGCCTGACGGCTTGGTTGCACAACTCAACTTGACGTGACGACGTAACATTGATCGCGCGACGTCGTCGTCTCGTGCCTTGAGCCGCAGGGCTGTGGTGCAACAACTCCAGCGGCGTCATGACCATCGCACGGCGCGAGGAGGCCAACGTCCCGGGGGGACTGTACCACGTGTGGCGGAACTCCGCCCGGGTTGTCAAGACCACCGTGGGGTCCTGGGCGTCCACCGCGAGCGACGGACGCAAGGCGGCGTACCTCTTCGTCGACGTCCTGAAGCGCGACCTCTCGATGCTGCGGCACCCTGCGCTGGCGGCGGTCGGCAGCTCGACGGCACCGGGGGGCGACGTTGACGCGTCCAGCAGCAGCAAATCGTCCGGGTCCGTCGCGGGATCGTTCGATCTCGTGTCACCCACAGGTGCGCGGAGCTCCACACGGCGAAGAAAAGCACGGACGATCGCCGGATACGGCGTCGATCGCGGAACAAACTATTGTTGCAGAGCGCTCAGGGCCCGAACGCGACCTGCCGCACGAATGACGCGCAGGCGTGCTGGACGAAGCGGCGAGCTTGGAGATTCTGGACGCGATGCGGGACTGCGAGGTCTTCGTGGAACTGCTCGGGGACAGCGGGTGGCGCGGCGTAGAGCGCGTGTCGCTCCAGTGCGTGCCGTCGTCTCTGCTGCTCACGCCGTGTCTGGTCGAGACCGACATCTTCGTCGTGCAGGTCGTGGGCAGGATGCGCGCGACGCTCGTCCCGCCCGCGCACGTCCTCGACCTGTACTTGTACCCGCTGAGACACCCCTACCACGGGTCCTCGATGGTCGACTGGCGGCATCCGGACTTCTTCCAGTGGCCGCGCTCGCAGCACGTACGAGGTGAGCGACTCGTCTCTCTGGCACGCCGCACAGCCAGGTCGAATGCTGCTCGTTTGCACCACTCTGTCTGTCCTACCGCGCTGCAACCCCCCCCCCCCGCGTGACGCGGCGTCGCAAACCGTCCGCCTCGCGTACTCGCAGGCATGTCTACTGTGCTGGAGCCTGGTCGGACGCTCTTCGTGCCACGTTCATGGTACGTGTGTTACGAAACGTTCGCCGCCGACAGCCCCTCCGTGGCCGTGCACATCAGGCCCAGGGGCGCCGCGGCGCGTCACACCGGCGCCATGCAAGATCAACCCGAGCTGGGCGCGCCCGTCAAGGACAGCCGCGTCGCGGAGCTCCTGCACCGCGTGGAGCGCTGGGCGACGGCGCAGGCAAGCCCCATTCGGCCCCAGAACCTTCGCCCGCCGCGAATCGCACCGCGCAGGCGTCCCACGAGCGAAGCGCTCGAGAATTCACGCAGGTTGGCGTGTCAAAGGCCGCGGAGATTCTCCCGCAGCTCGCCTCGGAGTACTCCCGCCCGCAGCGGAGCTCGCCGCCGCTCACGCCGTCCGCGTCCGACTCGGCGTCGAACTTGAGCGCCGACCACCACGAGCAGCTGTTCGACTGTCTGACGTGGGCGCTGGACGAAGCGGGCTGGGACCGTACGCTCCCGGACATCGCTGTCGACATCGCAACCAAACAACTCGCGTCGGGAAACTGGACGGGGTCCCCGTACAGGGGCGGGGGCTCGGACGCGAGGAGGGAGCGATGAACGGCCGTTCCCTGCAAGCCCATGTGCTCACCCAACGATGATGGCGCGAGCACTCGCGTACGGAGTTGCGACACCGCACATCCGATCCGTTCCGTGGGATTCTCGCGGGGGAATTGCGCGGATCGGATCGTGGGGCTCCGGAGATCCATGACCAGGGCGACGGCCGTCTGCTCCGTGCCTGGACGGAGCTGGGCGCGGAGCGTCAGTGCATGATTCCTACAAGACTGCTGCAAATTGCATGAACAACAATCGTCATGTGAATACTCTTTCTGGCGTCTGCGCGCGCGACATGGACCTCAGCCCCCCTCCGAGGCCGCCGCGTGCTCGTCGCGCCGCTGGCGGCCCATGCCGAGGACTCGCCCGTGCGCGGGGGTGCCGACGGGCTTATACCTGTTGTCAGGCTTGTACCTTGTATTGATGACCACGCCCTTGGCTCCCGTCAAGGGCCACGGCCGCCGCCTAGCTCGTTCACTCTCCGACCGCAAGATACGGTCGTCATTTCAAGCATATATAGACGAGCGAACACCACATGCCCGTTAGTAACTTCTGCTGCCTAGGCGGTGCCGCTGGCGGGCCCGCTGAGGTGCCCGACCAAGCGCCGCGCCGCCCCCGGCAGCACCATGCCGCTTCCTCGTCGACGCCCGGGGCTCCGCCGCCGAATGTCATCGTCGTGGAGCGGCCAGAGGAGACCGACGGCGTCCCCTCACGTCTCTCGGGAAGGTCAGTTCCGACCGATCCCGCGGCCCTACGGCGCGTTCCTCGTAGAAATAGTCAATACGTGTCGGTTCAGCACGTCGACACTCTGCGTCGCGGCCCACCGACGGTTTCTCGCCGACCGCAAACTTTCAAGGTCGTAGTCGGCGCGGGACGGCCGTGTACCGCCACGTTTCCTCTCCCTTCTGAGCGTACGCTCGCGAATGATACGCAAAATATTCGATGGCAGCGGCAGCTTCCCTGTCGACAAGCGCAGAAGCGCGATCACAACGGTCGCCGAAATGCCTGTGTTTCCATCGCCGCCCCAACCGGCCCGCCTCGGCCGTCCGCCCCCGTGAGGACGATACCCTCGTCCCTTGCCATTCATTCGCCTCCTCGTTACACGACGTTGTCGCCGTTGCACGCGGTATCGCTCTCCTCTGGCAAGGTCCAAACCACTTTGCGAGTTTTCTTGCCCACGTTCCTTCTCCGCGCGACTCCTCGCACGACGCCCCGCTCACACTCTTCCCCGTATATTCCGCTACGCGTGCAGCGACATCCAGCGCTTCAGGGTGCAGGTCGTGAACATCACGGGCACCTCGACGGCGACGTCCAGGGCCGGCCTGTGGCGCGCCTGCACGCTGGTCAAAGGAGCGGTCCCGGCCGTGTTCCTCAACATGTCCATCGCGTCCTCCCTCGCGAAGCAGTGGGACAGCGAGGCCACCTTCCTGTCGCGGAGTCCCGGCCGTAACAAGATCAGCGGTGCGTTGCGCAACCTCCGCTCCCGCCATCGTCGCTCCACTCACGCCGCCAGCCACCGCGTCTTCTCACTCAGCCCCGCGCTATCCTCCCTGCAGGTCTCAAGTGCTACACCCCCCCCTCTCTGATCATGTCGGCCAACGAGACACGCAACGTCCCCGGGGGGGTCTACTTCCTCGCGAGCTTCGTCTGCGAACGCGTCGACATCAGCATCGCCCAGTGGGCCAAGAACCGCGCCGCCGCGCCCGACGGGCGCGCCGTCAGCCTCTTCGACCAGGTCCTGCGGCCGCGCCCGCCGCCAACCCGTGCCGCTGCATCCGGGTCCCGCGGCGCCCCGTGGCTCCCGAAGCGCGTGCTCGGCTGGGGTCCGTCCCCGCGCAGGCCGTCCACGGAGGGCCTCGACGGGCTCGGGAGCACGCGGACGTTCAGCAGCGACGTCACCCACGACGTCGCCGTCGCGCTGCATCGTTGCAAGATCCTGTGGGACCTCCTGTCGCACTGCGGCTTCCCCGGCGTCGAGAAGGTCGCGCTCCAGGTCACCCCGCCGGGCCTCCTGCTTCCGCTGCAGCGCGTCGAGTGCGATTGCTTCCTCGTGCAGTCCGTCGGACAGCTGCGCGCCACGCTCGTGCCGCCGGTGTTCGTCCTCCAAGGGCTGTATCCGTACCCCCTGCGGCACCCGTACGACGGCTACAGCATGGTCGACTGGGAGCGGCCGGACTACGCGCAGTGGCCCAAGGCGGCCAACGTGAGCGGCACGCACACTCTGCTGTCGCCGGGGGAGGTCCTGTACGTGCCGCCGGGGTGGTTCCTCGCGCTCGAGACGCCCGAGGGGCACGCGTCGTCCGTCACGCTGCACGTCACGCCCAAGGTGCTGCCCAACGGGCAGTCGCCGCAGCGCCTGCTTTACGTGCCGTGGGACTGCACCATGTTCGGCCACCCAACAAAGGACGAGCGGATCAACAGGATCGCGCGGCGGCTCGAGGAGTACGCGTTCGCGCACGGCAGCGACCGCGACGCCGCGGAGACGCTGCTGATCCTCGCGGAGGAGGTCGCGTCTGACATAGGGCCGGAAGGCCCCCCGTGGGTGTTCAACGGCTCGTCCGACAGCAGCGGGGCGAGCGGCAGCCACAGCAGCAGCGACGCTGCGAGCACGACCGCGCCGTGGGCCGACGACCACGTCCGGCTCTTCCACCTGGCGTACTTCGCGCTGGCCGAGGCCGGGTGGCTGCACAACTTGCAGGAGTTCGCCGCTGAGATCATCGACGGCAGGCTCACGGTGGACCGCTGGGCCAGGACCGACCTCGTCAGCGAGGTGGGGCTGGTGGACCCGACGTCGCCGCAGTTCGTTCCCCGCGGGAACGTCCGGCTGAACTCAACGATGGTGTTTGAGGCGCTGATGGCTCGGTCGCTCCTGGAGACAGTCTGCACGACGCTGGCGCAGGCGAGGGGCGACGGGCAGGTCGAGACGGCGCCGCAGGTCACGGCTGTGGTTCAGGTAAGACGCCAACGCGTGGCACAACAATCATAGTTGATGATCTTGTTGTTGTTTTTCATCTGTCGATCGACGCAACCGCCGTTCCGTGCAGGAGGCGGTCATACAGAGCCGGCAGGAGCAGCTCGCCGTCTCTGGCGAGCTCAGCCTTGCGCGCCGCGCCCATGCCGCGGCCGCCAACCGCCACATCACCAGCGCGAGGACGCGCAGCGGCCCCCTGACAGCCGACTTCCTGCTGTCGCGGCTGATGCTGGAGGGCACGGCTGCGCATCGCGACGCGGTCGCGCGCGAGCAGCAGCAACGGCAGCGCACCTTCACGTTCACGCCGCCCGCCGCCGCCGCTGCGCCCGTCAGGACCGGCGACGCTGACGCGATTCTGGGGGCGCTGGCTGCCGGACCGACCGCGCCGGTCGCGCCCACTGCGAGCTCCGAGGTGGTCGCGGCGGGCACGGGGACTCCCGAAGGTCCCGGGGGGACTTCGGAGATCTCGTTCGGGATGTCGTCGACGACGTCGGGGGGAGAGTCCGGGGGGGGGAGTGTGATCGGGGCTTCTCCCGGGGACGAGGGTCCCGGGCCCGGATGAGCGCTGCATCCGCTGACTCGAGATCGTGCCTCGGAAACCGGACCTGCATGCTTCGTGCTGCGTTGTGTTCCCGCCATTGTGCGCGTGCTCTCACTTGCATGATGATGTGAAGAACAAAAGCGGAAACTCCGCGCCTGTGCGTCGCCTGAGCCGGCGTGGTTCGTACGGCTGCGGCGGGCTCGCCCGGCCGTCCGCCGGGCTCGCGCAACGCTGTCTGACAGGGCCAAACACACCTGAGTCAGGTTTGGAGCAGCCCCCCGCACTGTGCGGCGCGTTTGGGGCCCGCAGCGCGTCGCTGGTGTCACTGCGCGTGCCTGCGCGGAGGGCGCGTGTCGTCCGTGGCGTGGAGCGAACATGACGCGATGCGTGTGCACCGGCGGCCACGCCGTGCGCCCTCGACTGAGCTTTTCCAGGCGGCCGCTTGCTCGGAGCGGCTCGCAGGGACCTCAGAGGGACTTGGTTTGCGCCGTAGGGCACGGTAGCGGCCCACGGGGCGGCCCGGTACGCGCGCTTCCCCCGGCAAGCAGCGCCTATGCGCTGTGCGTTGACAACCTGCACATGTCGCTCGGAGAGGGCGAGACGAGGCGGCACGTTCTGCGCGGCGTCGACCTGAAAGTGCGGCAGGGGCACTTGCACATGTTGCTAGGACCGAACGGCTGCGGGAAGAGCACGCTCCTGCGCTGTTTGGGAGGGCTGTTGCAGCCGGACAGCGGCACGATCGGCACTGATCGTCCGGTTGGCTTCGTGTTCCAGAATCCTGATCACCAGGTGCGTCGAACACGGCTGTGACTTGCCATGACGTCGGCCGTGGCTATGCAGGCCGAGGCCTGGTCCCGGGAGCGCAGCCAGCCGGGTTCCCAGAGCATCGCCGTGCGGCCCGTGCGCTCATTATACACGCAAGCCCTCATGTTCACTGCAGGTCGTCATGCCAACCGTCGGCTCGGACGTGGCGTTCGGCCTCGGGCGACACGATTTGAGCCAAGCAGACGTAATCCAGAGGGTGTCTGACGCCCTCGAGGCCATGAACTTGAAAGGCTTCATGGACAGACCCACCCACACGCTCTCCGGCGGACAGAAGCAGCGTGTCGCCATCGCAGGCGCGTCCTCGCACCGACGGCGCCCACCGACTCGACATTGCGCGTCCTCTTCACACTCACATTAGCGTCACCCGGGGTCTGCCGCGCTCCCTGGGCCCGCCCACCACGCGAGCACACCGGTACCACAGCCTGCCGACGCTCTGGCCCCGCCCCTCGCTCGCGCAGGCGCGCTGGTGGAGGAGCCCGCCTTGTTGCTGCTGGACGAACTGACGACGTTTCTGGACGAAGAGGAGCAGGAGAACGTCGCGGAGGCGGTGGCGAGCGCCGTGCGCAACAACGAGCGCGGCGTGACGGCGGTCTGGGTGACGCACCGCCTCGAGGAGCTGACGTATGCTGACTCAGCAACCTACATGGACGAGGGACGCATTGTGGTGACGGGCGCGCCGGACGACGTCCTCGCGCACATGAAGAAGCTAGGAGCGCGCGTGTAGGCCCCTGCGCCCGCGCTTCCGCCGCCAGCGGAGGCGCCCACACCACACAGTGCCCCGGGGAGCGGTGCAGAGCTGCACGTGGCCTAACGCCGATGTAACGAACTATCAGTGCTCAACTGGAGGTCACGTTGACCGAGGGAAGGGGCGACCGAGAGCATTGGCGCGGTGGAGTGCCTGCGGAGGTGAGGAGCGATCATGCAACTAGCTGTGACACGAACGACCCCATCACTCATCTTTACTCCTACTGAGAATGGGCCGGTCGTCGGTGGCACCCTTCCGGCCCTCCGTCGGACCCACGTCCGCCCCCGCCCCCGCCCCCTGCACCCCCCCCCCCTGCATGCCCTTGAACACCCCCATCGCCTGCGCCACCATCGACCCCACGTCCCCGGCGTTCGCGGGCACCACGACCGTGTTCGTCTCCCGCGCCAGCCGACCGAACGCCTCCACGTACTGCTCCGCCACCCGCAGCGACGCCGCGTGCCGCCCGTTGGCCCCCGACATCGCCGCACCCACCTTGGTCACCGCCTCCGCCGTCGCCTCCGCGCACCGCCGGATGTACTCCGCCTCGCCCATCGCCCGGTTCTTCGCCTCCTGCAGCGCGGCCTCCGACGACAATATCGTGTCCTGCTTGTGGCCCTCCGCGCGGTTGATCAGAGACAGCTTTTCGCCCTCAGACTCCAGAACCTTGGCGCGGCGCCGGCGCTCGGCCTCGGCCTGGAGCTCCATCGCAGCCTGGACGTTCGGCGGGGGCGAGATGTCTCGAATCTCGTAACGCAGGCACTCGAGCCCCCACGCCGCCGTCGCCTCGTTGATGGAGTCGACGATGCGGCTGTTGAGCAGCTCGCGCTCCTCGAACGTCTTGTCCAGCTCCATCTTGCCGAGCTCGGAGCGCATGGTGGTCTGCGCGAGCTGGCTCACTGCGCGGCGGACGGATCGGGGGTTGCGCGGCTTGAGTGAGAGGCAGTGGTGTTGTTGCGATAGGGCGCCGCGGGAGGGTCGGCGTTCTGCCGCCCGTCGCGATGCGGCGGCAGAGCGTTCGTGGGATGGGGTACGCGGGGGTGGATCGACGCAGCGGGGAAACGGTGGCAGGCGGAGCGGGCGCGCAGCGTGCTTGCCTGCGAAGAGGGCGTTGTTGACGCCGTAGCTGGCCTTGAACGGGTCGTCGATGCGGACGTAGAGCACGCCGTCTATGCTGATCGAGACGTTGTCGCGCGTGATGGCCGCCTGTTGCGCGATAGGGATCGCCAGCTCTCTCATGTCGTGGACGGCGAACACCTTGTCAACCATGGGAATGAGGAAGTGCAGGCCAGGCGTCAGGACCTTGTGATGGCGCCCTAGGCGCTGCACGACGTACGCGTGCTTCTCCGGGACGATCACGAACCCCAGGTGGCCAGGAGCAGGGCGCTGGTACTGCCGGCTCGGGTCGCTTCCGACTGCGCACATGCCAGGAGGGGGATGTCCACGCAGTGAGGGTCGAGGAGGCACGCCGTGAACTGACCGGAAACAAGGAAACACCGCGCGCTGAGTGTTCTCGTCAACGGTGAGGTACTGGGCGGCGAGACGGGCCCGGGGCGGGCGCCAGGGCGACGATATACGGCGCAGCACGTGCACGACGATCTCACGGGGCCGCACATGACGAGCTGCCGAAGATTGTCCGCGCGCCCGACCAGCTCCGGGAGTGCGCCACTGCACCCACAGCTGCTGTGCCGCCTCGCGGCGCAGCCAGCGCGCCGCTGCCGGCCGCAAGCGCCTCGCTACACGTTCGCAGTAGTTGACAGGAGCGCGAGCGGAGCGCCATGGTTCCAGCCCCGCTGCAACAAGCCGCCTTTGACCGCAAACACCTCACAAGGTCTCCTCACGATCCCCGATGATGGCACCCACCTCCCCGCAGCACCGACACGACACAGAGACTGCCCGCGCCGTCGCGCTCGGCCTCGCCATCTCCCGCCGCGCCCATACCTGACCGTCGCTCCCCGAATGACTCAGCGCACTCTCAGGTCTGACACGACGGCCGCCGGCGTGCGCACGGTGGCCGCGGTCGCGCTGCCACCCGCGCTCCGCGCTGCGCGACGCCGCGGAACGATGTACCCGGGGGATCGTCACACAGCCAAAGCCACATGATGAGCTAGGCAATTCAGCAAATCACTGCTTGTGTTTCGACCGCTTGGACGCCTTCGCGGCCTTCTCGGCGCTCTTCTTCCGCTTCTTCATCTCCTTCTCCGCCTGCTTGCGTCGCAGGAGCGGGTCGCTGCCCTCCAGGTCCGACAGCCGCAGCGATGCTGCGCGCCGCGCCGAGTACACCTTGGTTATACCTTTCAACACCTCCCCCTCGTCCATCTCGTACTCCTCCATGCGCTTTCCCGTCATGCCCTCGATCTTCTGCACCAGCGCGACCTCGTACTGCGACACGAGCGACAGCGACCACCCGCTGCGCCCCGCGCGCGCCGTGCGCCCGACGCGATGGACATAGTCCTGGGCTAGCCGCGGGAGGTCGAAGTTGAGGACGAGGTCGACCGTCGGAATGTCCAGGCCGCGCGACGCCACGTCCGTCGCCACCAGGATCGGCACCAGCCGCGAGCGGAAGCGATCCAGCGCTGCCAGTCGCGCGCGTTGCACCTTGTTGCTGTGCAGCGACACCGCCGGCACGTCCAGCTCCTGCACGACACCGCCGCATCGACACCTTCGTCGCGGTTCCGCGCGAGCCCGCGCCCAGGAGGACGCACGTGCGACGGCAGCAGGCAGTGCGCGAGCCCCGCCGAAGCGCGACACGAGCGGAACTGCCCCCGCCGTCGAGGCGCCGCGTAGCGGCAGACATGCTCGGGCGGATGCGCTCGAGGCGCGGCGAGCGCCCTTCAAGGACCGCCATGCTGCTACATGTTAACATATTAATATTAATGCATATATATAAATGCATATGTATTAATGCATATAATGAGTCGAGGTTGCGCACGCACCTGGAGCAGCATCTCGAGGGCGTGGCAGCCGCGGCAGGTCCCCGCGAACACGATGCACGACCGCACCCCGAGCTCCTCCAGCCGCGTCAGGAGGTAGAACAAATACACCTCCTTCACGCGCGCCGGAACAAACACGTACTGTTCCTTCAACCGCTGCACAGTGGTCAGCGCCGCGCCGGCCCCGTCGCCCTCGCCCGCGGCGCCCTCCCGGAAGACGTACGCGCCCTTCGCCGCGATCTCCTTGAGGTCCCGCAGCGGCTGCGTAATCGTCGCGGAGAACAGAAGCAGCTGCCGACCCTTGCTGGGCATCGCGGCGAGCACCGTTGCCAGGTCGTCCTCGAACGTGGGCTCCAGCACGCGGTCCGCCTCGTCGAGCACGAGCGCGCGGACGTTCGCGAACGCGCGCGTCACGGACGGCTCCTGGCGCATGAGCGCCGCCAGGCGCCCGGGGGTGGCAACGACGACGTGCGGGCGCTTGATAAGCTCGCGCGCCTGCTCCTGCATGTCGAGACCGCCCACCACGACGCAGTCGCGCAGGGACATGCCCGCGCCGAGGGCGCGGAAGGAGTCCGCGAGTTGAAAGGCTAACTCACGCGTCGGGGTTAGGACCGCGGCGAAGACGCCGAACGGGTCCTGCGGTGAGCGGGGGGCGGACGGGTGAGCGGCGGGCGAGGAGGGCGAGGCGCTGTGGAGGGTGGGGCAGGGCGAGGGGCGCGTGGGCGGGGCGGAGCGCGAAGAGTGGGTGAGCAGGGAAGCGGTGGGGGGGGGTTGTTGGCGCGCACCGCTGCGAGTTTCTGGAGGATTGGGATAGCGAAGGCTGCCGTCTTGCCGGACCCCGTTTGCGCGCAGCCGATCACGTCGCGTCCCTCGAGGATCCGGGGAATGGTGCGGCGCTGCACCTCCGTCGGCCGCAGCATCCCCAGCGACCTGCAGGCCGCGTGCGACGTCGTTCGTGGCTATTCGTGCTAGTATGCACCTTTGAGGGACGGGAACAGAGGTCGAGGCGGACGGGCTGCGCCAGAACGATGCGGCTGCTGTCCGGGCAGGGCTGGCGCGGGCCGCCCTGCCGCACCTGCAGACGTTGCAGAGCCACTTGCTGACGCCGAGAGATCGGAAGTCATCCTCCGTGTCGAAGACGTCGCCACCGCTGCCGTGCTCGACCTCCACCGTCCCCCTGTCGCCGCCAGCACCCACGACGTCGCCCGCGCCTCCGCCGTCGGCCAAGTCCGTCGCGTCCCCCGTCCGCCGCTCTGCACAGCACGTTCCCGCGCGCACGCGGCCACTCAGCTCGAGCAGCGCCCCCCGGCCCCCACCCCACGTGGACTATGACTCATCGTCCCAGCACGGACAGCGGGCGCACCTCTCGCGACTTCCTCGCGGCGTTCGCCCCGCTCAACCGCTCTGGTCTTCGCGGGCCGGTGCCCGAACAGCTGGACGCCGCCGTCGCCATCCATCGCGTCACGTCGTCGGTGAAATCACCCTCCCACACTCGGAGGCCGCGCGCGGGAGTTTCCGTGCAATATACTCGCATCCGACGCGTCAGGACGACGAGTACACGTCGCCGGCGTGCACGCACGGCAAGAACGCGCACCGCGACCGCGCCTATCCGGCGCGCCTGCTGTCCACCTGACGACGGGGGGCACTAGACAGGGTCACCCGTCCTCGGAACGGGCCAGGGCGCTCTCTAGGTGCGCGCGCGCCGCCCCCGCGCCACTCACGCACGTCCCCGTCGCGGGTCATGCCGTCGGATTCCCCATAAACGACCATATTCCGAGGAACTAGCGACCTCTGTGTTTCCAGGCCTTCACGCAACTCCCGCACCCGCCGTTCTTTCTCGCGAATCTCAGCGTCCCCGCTCCTATAACAGAACCAGGAGCCGTGTCCCGCGCGTGGCATGCCCTTCGGCGCGGCCCCTGGCTCGCTAGGTGACAGAAGAGGACAGGTCACGCAAGGCCAGGTCGGCTGGTAGCGCCAGCGCACGATGGCGGGCGCCATGGCGCGCCTGCGGGCCTCCAAGGCGACGTTCGAGGTCCTAACTAGCGAGTCCTTCCTCCATCGCGCATCGCACGGGCTCGCCGCGTCGCGCAGGTCGACTCCAGCTTCCCAGGAGGCTCAAGACGTGCTCAGGTGCGCTGCGACTCCTCCGGCGCCGGACAGGCCTAATCCTCCCGTCCACGGCCCCCTCGTTGCTCGATGACGCCCTCTGTGGCGCCACGCAGGCCAGTTTCCGGGCCCTACGTCCGCGGCTGGTCGTGTGCGTAGAACCACCACTTGTGCCTCGTGTGTCCCCCGCGCGCCGTCGTCCCGGCGTCCCCGGCGTCGCCGACGCGCCGACTCCGCGCCCCCATCCACGCGCTTGCCGCGGAGCGCTCGGACGTGGGACGGCCGCGCGCCACGCGCGCGTACGCGCCTCGATGCTGCTGCGACCACCCTCACCAGGACAGCAGCGGTCGAGACGCCGGCGCGCCCTCCTCCGGCCCGCCCACCTGCATCTCACAACCTCCCCAACCCGCATCACGCTGCGCAGGGCGCTGAGTCACCTCCCAGGCGACGTAATCGGGCTGATCCTGACCCAGAGTCTCGACACGGTGCAGCTTTCGCGGGGTTCCGGGCCGTACGACGACGGCGCGGCGCTCGCGGAGGAGCCCGACACTCGCATGGAGTACGTCCTCTCCTGCGGCTGCGAGGGCATCTGCTCCTGCGGCACACAGCCCCTCCCGTCGCGCGTGCGCTCAGAGACCGCGAACGGCCTCGCGCGGCGCTTCCTGAAGCGCGTAGCCGTCGCGGAGCGCTCCAACTCCGAATCCAACTGCTTCGCGCCGCGGCGCGCAGCGCTCGCCCCGACGGGCCGCTGCGGGCCCCGGGCGAAGGACATCCAGGCCCTGCTGTCGTCGCCAGGCGTGCGAGTGATCGACCTCGGCGGCTGCACCGTCCGGGGCGACGTCGGCGACGTCATCCAGCTCGGCCCCGGCCAGGGCATCCGCAACGGAACCATCGACATCCCGGGCGGCCAGGTGCCGACCGCGCACTTTGACGGCACGGCGGACCCGACGGGGGTGGCAGTGTGGCTGTCCGGGGACGGCGCGTTTCTGCACGGCGTGACCGTGCAGGGCGCGAAGCCGATCGCGAAGTCGCGCGACGAGGGCAGCGCGCTGCTCGTGTTCCGGTCGGACGCGACGCGAGACCCCCCCCGGGACGTCGAGGCGCCGCTGCTGGGCGCGACGCGCGCCGCGGCCGCGCTGGCGGAGGCGAACGCGCTGACGCCCGTGCGGTCGCTGGATGACAGCACGGTGACGGGTGACGACGACGTCGAGATGGACGGCGCGACGCCGGAGGAGCCGTCGCGCGATGGCGGACGGCTGCGCGTGCAGCTGCGGGACTGCGATCTGGCGAACAACGACACGATCGCGGTGGTGGCGTGGGGGCAGGGCGTCGAGCTGGAAATGCACAGGTGAGCGCGTGCCCGGCCGCGAGCGCGCGCACAGCATTGCAGCGTGTACGTGTGTGTGTGTGTGTGTGCCGGGCGTCTCTCTGATGGCTGGCGTGCGTGCGCTGTGTCTCGCAGCACGCAAGTTCGCGACAACGCCGCGGGCGTCCTCTGCTACGAGTCCGCACAGCTCGCGATGGACGCGTGCTTCGTCTCGGGCTGCCGCCAGGGCGGCGTGATGGTGGGCGGCCGCACCAGCCACGCAGACAAGCGCGCGACCGCGGCGCAGCTGTGCGCCGCGACGATCGAGGGCAGCGAGATCAGCGACAACTGCGGCGCCGGCGTGGTCATCAGCGGCGACGCGAGAGTCAAGGTGCAGCACTGCAGCGTCTCGGGCACCCGGCCCACGCACGCCGGCGGACAGGTCTTCCTGATCCGATTCGGATTCGGCGTCGGGCTCGTGTGCGACGACGGCGCGACGCTGAGCATGGAGGACTGCCTCGTGCAGGGCAACGAGTTCGGGGGCCTCATGGCGTCGGCGCCGGGCAGCCGGGTGGTGGCAGCCAACTGCATGGTGGCGCACAACAAGCACTGGGGCGCGTTCGCGAACGCCGGGGCGCAGATCGACCTGAAGTCGTGCTTCCTGCGGCGGCAGCAGCCCGGGTGCTCCGAGTCCCGCGGGATGCAATCTGGCGGCGTGTTTGCCCTCAGCGAGGGCTCCTGCATCACAGTCGAGGGCGGCTGCGTTGCGGAGAACGCCGGTTTCGGCGTGGCGTGCGCGTCCGGCGGACACATCAGCATCAACCGCACCACCGCCGTCGCGCTCAACACCGACGGCAACTTCCTCTCGGTCACTGGCGGCATGATTGAGATCAACGAGCAGGAGGCCGCGGAGGGAGGCGACCAGAACGTGCTGCCGCAGACCGAGCTGGCCTCGTAGCCGCCGCTGCGTTTGCTCAACGCTTGTTCCTTGAACTCCCCCCCCGCTCCCACCCACCCCCCCCCCCCTTTCCCTCTAATACTGAGTCCCGGCCCGACCGGCTAGCACCCCGGGGACGCGGATTCAGCACGCCTTGCTAGAACGCGACCTCGCATTCGTTCCAGAGCGATGTGGTCGCTCCGAATGTCGCCCTTGTCCCCCGGCGGAACCGCTCTCGAATTTCAAATAGCCTGGCAGCACGCGCTCCCGCAGCCTAGGGCGCAGGGCACCAAACGCACACCACGGTGCCACTGCGGAGCGCGTGCGCGGCCAGAACTGCCCTTGTTTCACGAGAGTTAACCCGACACGAACCAGAACCATCGACATGACCCTCGGCACGACCGTTCGCGTTGCCGAACATCCATGACAAACAAACGAGTAGGTTTTCTTCGATCAAACGGCGGTGTGCAAGATCTCCACTCACCAGTACCTGCACCCCCCCCCACCCCCACCTCCACCTGCTCCCGCGTTTCCGATGCGCTGGGAAGCGGCTATTTCAGGCCTCTCATCTGTCCACCCCAAGGTCTTCCCCATCCCTTTCTCTCCCGCTGGCATCCTCGAACTCGCTCGTGTCCGCATGTGGCGAATCGCTTCGCCCGCATGGTCACTCCGCGGGCGCGCTGAGGCACATGGTGCTCTTGGTGCGCCCGTGGGCGTCGAGGCATGCGCAGCAGCTCGCGCCGGTTGCCGGCGCCGTTCTGAGCGGACGCGGCTGGTGGCGGACCGTTCCATCATCGGTGCCACGCGTCCGTTCGGCTCGGAAGACCGCCCACCTCCTCCTCCGCGCCTCTCAAGAAACAAGTGGGCCCACGTGTTGACCTCGCAGCAGCGCTGCCGCCGCGCCAGCACACCACGAGCAGTGCGACCCACTGCTCGCCGCCGCGCCCACACCGCACGCCAGGCGTTCCGTGATAATGGAAACTCCATGAAAGCTTCACGCACACCCGCCCGTCCCCACGACGCGCTGCTTGACTAAATAGACTCGGGTGGTCCATCTCAGACACAACCCAATGAAGCTGTGACTCTGTCGACCGCGCTCGCCGCACTGTCCCCGACTTGCACTGCTAAAACACGCAAGTGTTTCATTATTGCACCAGCTCTCTTCTACCCTGCTGAGGGGCGGCTCGCAGACCAACCGTGGCCGCCCGGCAGTCATCGGCCCTGGCTGTGTCGGAACAGCGCAGGGTACCTGATCGCCCACAACGAGCGCGTGTCAGCCCTGCGCTCCGCCTTGTCGGCCAGCAACATGACGTCCCGCAGGCCGGCATCGTCGAGGGCCCTCGTCGGGAGCAGGCGCCGGTCGAGGAGCCCCTCGAAGAAGTCCTGCACGTTTCGCTCCCCGACGAGCGCGTGGACTTCCTCGAGGATCAGGTCGGCCGTGCGCACGTGCTGATAGAGTGTCGCCGCTACGGACGCGCACTCGTCCCCGATGCCGGGAACGTCACGGCCGTTCCGCCCAAGCGCGAGGGGGTCGCCGCTCGCGGCTACCTCGAGGAGCCAGTCGCGGGCGTGTCTCGTTCCAACCTGCGCAGCATCGCTCATTGATTGATCAATGATCAATGATTGTCAGAAAGGACAGAAACCCTCGTGTAGCCGCCGCGCAGGATGCAGCACTCTTGCAGCTCTGGGACGCCTGTGCTCAGCGCGTACCAGATCGACGGCCCACCGCTCGATGCACCGTCCCAGCAGCGCCTCGGCAGCGCATTTGTCGAATCGAGAAACGGTGTCTGCCAGAGGCACGTGAAGAGATACGGACGCACGGTCCTCGGTGCACGTCGCCACGTACCACTCTGGCGGCACGATCAAAGCATCTCCGGGCCCGAGCGTACATTGCATCCCTGCATCGCACGACACGCGCGTCAGGTTCGCAACCAGAGTCGCCGCAGTCAGGAGGGGGGGTGTTCCGCACAGGCTGCACTCACCCGACACACCACGTGCTTTCGGCCACCTGCTGAAGTTCGGCCGCTCCCAGTCCACCATCGAGTACCCGTCGTACGCGTGGTGCACAGCATACGGGTACAACCCCCGGAAAGCATGCCGCGGGGCAACGAGCACGTGCTCGGCGCTGCCCACGGCCTGCACGATCATCGTCGCCCCGTGCACCCTCCGTGGAGGCTCGAGCATTCCGGCCGCGAGCGCCACCACGCGCGCCCCGTCGGCGCGCACGGCAACCCCCGCAGCCCGCAGCAGGTCTGTCAGCGCCCGACACCCCGCGACCGTTTGCAGGGCGTCCCGGAGCGTGTCGTGCTCACGGCCGGCGCCTTCGGGGCGGATTTCGCGCTCGAAGCACAGCGCGTGGCGCTTCCAGTGGCGGTTGCGTTCGAGCCACTCGCGTGCTGTCATGCAGCTAGCTTGGCACGGAAACGCGCGGACGTGGTAGATGCTGGCCGGACCAGCTGCCGCGTTCTTGGCCGCGTCGTGCATTCGGACGCAGGAGTCCGGCCTCGGGCATTCGTAGGCTGCTAGGAAGGAACCAGAACCAGTTGCTGTGTGTGGGCGACGCGGGCGAGCGGCGAGCAGTTCAGCGGTTTGCGGCCGATTTGAGGTGGCTGCGTACCCGTGATAACGAGGTCCTGGCCAATGTTCTCCACGAAAGCAGCGGCGTCGGGCCACCTCTTGGCCAGCTCCGCAACCCCAGTGCCGGAGACAACAACCGGCGTGCCGGACTGCACGTGACGGGACGCGGCCCAGAACTCGGCCTGCGCCGTCCTCTTGGTCTCGTCGAGGTCGGCACGTGGCACTGACGCCTCGTACAGGGGCCTGCAGGTCATTCTTCGCACATAGGTAGATCAGACTACAGATACCAAGGCAGCCCTAGTTTCGGCCGAGCGCCGCAACGGAGCTACGAGGCACCGTGGCGCGCTGTATCTGCGTATTATCTCGAGGCGTGCTTGCATGTCACGCGCACTTACGCGTGTTTGAGGCGGCGAGAGGCAACTTGTGGTTTGTCGCTCTTCACGATCTCCCCGGTGACGTTGCGGCGCACGACGATGCCCACGCCACGCGACGGCGTCGTGACCACGGTCTTACTGGGCAGCGACGCGATCTGACGGGCATCGCTGCCGTCGCGCGGCACCACAGCACGGCTGTCGGGGTCGCCGCCCATCACAGGCAACGTCCCGCCAGGCGGCGCGAGGGCTCCCGGCGCCAGACCGGACAGACTGCCACGTCTGCGGCTTCTCCGCGACCGTGCACAAGCGGCACGTGCACCCTCGTGCAAAAGAATTGATTGCTCGTTCTTCACCGCCCCGCTGTTTCGACGTACGATGGTCCAGCAGCGGTTCGAGCGCGACTCCCAGGACCTGCTTCGCCGATGGAGCCTCTGTCCAGGCGAGGCCTCGCACAATCTGCTCGCGGCGCTCAAGGGGGGTGTACTGCGCTGCCCGCCTGAGTCGCGACGAGTAGAAGCTCGCTGAGACTGACGCACCGCGCGGCGTGAACGGAGGCGCTGTGCGGGAGCACCTGGGACACCGCGCACCGGAGAGTCCTTGTGTGCGCGGAAAGGGGCGCGACAGAGGGCCTGAGGTCCGCGTTTCATGCGGGGCTTGCAACGAGGGGAGCTCTAGTGGTGGCCGGGGAGTCGCAGCCATGAGCGGCGCCGTCGCCGGCGCCGGGGGAGGGTTCTCGGAGAAGGATCAGGCGCGCGGGCGGGTACAGGCCACCAAAGTAGCGCGCTACTGGCCCGGGAGAGCGCCGAAGTGGGCGGAGCAGGAAGAGCAGGAGCCTGTGGACGCGAACAGGGAGCAGGAGGATGCTTCGGGGTCGGAGGACGACGAAGAGCCTATGACGACGGACGTCGCCGCCCCCGTCATCGTGCGGAAGGTGGACGACCCGCGGTTGCGGCGACTCCAGCAAGCAGAGAGCCCAGGTGCGCGCGCGCCCGTGCGCGAGTCCAGTCGCGGTTTCGCGCCTCGGTTGGTTGCTCCATGATCTCTGTCACACCGGCTAGCTCCCTCACGTCGCGCGGACGAGCGCCTGGCCGTCGAGCTGCGCTTTGCTTGCACTCTTGGTGTGTCCTCGTCGCCAGGCCCCGCGCGTGGCTTGCGCCCGAACGCGGAAATCTCTCCCATCCCGCAGACGATGACGAGGAGGACGAGCCGAGCCACCGCCGCGTCGCACAGGCCGCCATTGTCCGCCGGGGCCGTCAGGTGCGTTGAGGGGCTTCCCCTAGCGATTCGCGACGCACTGCGCCGCTCTCCCTCGCTGTGCGACGCGCAACTGCATTGCAGCACCCCTGGTCACAGCTCGCGCATTCGCGCGCCGACGAAGTGCGCCTCTTTCCCACGCAAGCGGGCAGCGCAACACAGCTCCCCGCCCTGCGCCCGCAGACCGCGTCGGAATCGGAATCCGAGGAAGACGAGGACGAGGACGAGGAGGCGATGGAGCGGCGGCGCGCAGCAATCAAGGCGCGGGCGCTGCAGCGGCGGAAAGAAGAGGAGGAGGCACTAGCACGCGCACAGGTGCGCACCACGTCGCCGCAGCCCGTCAGACTCCCCGCGCTCTCCGCCCGTCGCATGCCCTGCCGATTCCTCGCAACGCCGAGCCCCGGCACCTGCAAGCCGGCCTGGCGCTGGACGCGCACGTGACGGGGCATGGCGGCAGCGAACGTCACCAGCGGCGCACGTGACTCGCGCAGGAGGGGAGCGAGGGCGAGGAGGAGGAGGAGACTGACTCGTCCGAGTACGAGACGGACAGCGACGACGGCGCGCCGGGCACCGCGGGCCTCGTGCGGCCGGTGTTTGTTTCGAAGCAGCAGCGGGAGACGCTGCGGAGGCAGGAGGAGGAGCGCAGGCGCGAGGAGGAGGCCGAGGCGGCCGCGGAGGCCCTGGCGGAGCAGCGCCGCGAGGAGACGCGGCGGATGGTGGCGGAGCAGCTGCGTGCGGAGGACGCAGCGGAGGCGGCGGCGGGGGAGCAGCCGCTGCGGGACGAGGACGACGTGGACACGGAGGACGACGAGGACGACACGGAGGCGTTCGAGGCGTGGCGAAAGCGCGAGCTCGCGCGCATTCAGAGGCGAGACCCCACAGCTGCATTACAGCCCAAGCGTCGCCCGTTGCTCTGGTGCCGCGTGCTGTGGCGTCGTCCGCGCGGCTCAGCGCCGTGTCTGTGTGGGAGTCATGTCGCGGCGCGCCTGCCTTGCGCGCTGGCGACGGGGCGGTGTGTGTGTGGGGGGGTAATGACGGCGACAGACTCGGCGCGCTGTGCAGGGACGTCGAGCGCGTGGAGCGCAAGGAGAAGGAGCGGGAGGAGCGGGAGAAGCTGCGGCGGATGACGGACGAGGAGCGCGAAGCCTACCTCGCCCAGCGAGACAAGGACCTCGGAGAAAAGAAGAAAGGGAAAATGAAGTTCCTGCAGAAATACTGGCACAAGGGCGCGTTCTTCCAATCGGGCGCCGACGGAACGGTGCGGCGCACGTCCTGCCGAACCTGCGCGCCGAGGGCCTGCGCGACGCATGCGGTTGTGGATGACAACTTGGGCAGCGGCGTGCTTTTGTTGTTGCATGATGGGTTGGGGCTGCGAGGTTGAGTGCGTGTGTATGTGCGGGTGCGGTGCAGGGGGAGGACGAGGGACCGGACGAGATTCTGAAGCGGGACTACACGGAGGCGACGGGGATGGACCGGCACGACAAGACGTTGTTGCCAAAGGTGATGCAAGTGCGGAACTTCGGGCGGCGGGGGCGCACCAAGTACACGCACCTGCTGGACCAGGACACGACGGACAAGAACAGCCCGTGGGCGCGCCGGGAGACGGAGCAGCGCATGCTGAGTCAGGGCAAGCGCGCCGGGGCCGAACAGATATTCTCGAAACCGAAGAAATTCAAGACCTGAATCGATGGTGTTGTAAAGCTCCTGACCGCCATCACTTCTAGGCCCGCGCCCGCGCGGTGAACGCGCCCCTATAAGCGGCCAATCAAACGGTGCACACGAAACTCCCCGCGGCGAGGGTGCCTGTAGGTCAGCGAATTACGAAAACTTCAGTTCTCCTCCTCCGGACCGCTCAACGCAGCGCACAGCGTCACAGCTGCGCCCTAGTCCGCGGCCTTCCCCGCGCCCTTGGGCATCTTCTTCTTCGACATGTCCTGAATGTCCTGCCGCGAGTAGTAATGCGGCGCCAGTTCCACCAACCATTCCGGCTTGATCTCCGACACGTTCCGCATGTACTCCTTGGTCGTCTGCACCAGCTCGTGGTACACCACGAAGCGCGGGAGGTCCTCGATCAGTCCCGACGTCGGGTGCAGGTGCACGGACATGTGAGGCGTCTTGACCGTCTGGTAGGAGCCCGACCGCGTCAGGCGCGCAGTGTGGTAGAAGAACCCCGCCGCGATCGCCTTCCGGATCCCCTCGTGGTTCTCCGGGTCCGACACCAGCGGAATCTCGACGCGCTCCATCAGCCCCACCAGCTGCTCGCGCACGTCGCGCGCGCGCTTCATGGTGCGGATCTGTACGAAGTTCTCAAAGCAGAACTGCGACGAGAAGTCCGTCTCCGCCCACGCGGTGAACACCTTCATCAGCCCGATGTGGTCGCCCACGCCGAACCGGAAAAAGTTCTTCCGCGCGTTCTCGGCGATCACTTTCTTGTCCTTTGGCGCGTAAAAGATCGCGCCGCCGCACGTCAGCATCGCGCAGATCGTCGCAACGTCCTCCGTCACGCCGAACTTCTCGCTCGCGATCAGCGTCTTGCTCAGCATCGGGTCCAGCGGGAACTCCGCCATGCGCCGCCCGAGCTTGGTCAGCTCGCCGCGGTCGTTGATCGCTCCGAGGGCGTACAGCTGCTCGAGCGCGCGCAGGAGCGTCTCCGAGGGCGGCGGGTCCATGAAGTCGAACGACATCAGGTCGTTGATGCCCAGGGACTTGAGCATGAGGACCACGTTTCCAAGATTAGTTCTCTGGATCTCCGGGACTGTGTTCTCCTCGAGCTCGTTGTGGTACGACCACGCGGTGTACAGGCGGTAGCACTTGCCCGCGGACGTGCGCCCCGCGCGCCCCGTGCGCTGCAGCGCGGACGCCCGCGACACGGGCGTGACCACCAGAGCCTCCATCCCCGTGCGCGGGTTGTAACTATTCTGTTTCGCAAAGCCCGGGTCGATCACGAACTTGATGCCGTCGATCGTGAGGCTCGTCTCCGCGATGTTCGTCGCGATGACCACCTTGCGCGCCCGCTCCGGCGTCGGCTCGAAGATCTTGGCCTGCAGGTCGGACGGCAGGTTGGCGTAGATGGGGCAGATGATGAGCTCGGCCATCTTGGTGCCGAGGCCGCGCGTGCGCCGCTTGAGCTCCTCCTCGCACGCCTCGATCTCCTCCTGCCCCGTCAGAAAGATCAGAATGTCCCCCGGCATCGGCTCCGTCGCGTGGATCTGCAGCGTGGTGACCACGCACGCGTCCAGGTAGTCCGCCTCGGGCGCCTTGGTGTACAGGATCTCCACGGGGTACCGCCGCCCGGGGATCCGGAAGATCGGCGCGTAGTCGAAGTACTCCGAGAACTTCTCCGCATCCAGTGTCGCGGACGAAATCAGCAGCTTCAGGTCAGGGCGGAAGCGCGCCACGTCCTTGACCAGCCCGAAGAGGATGTCGGTGTGCAGCGTGCGCTCGTGCGCCTCGTCGATCATCATCACCGAGTACGACGCCAGGTCCGGCTCGCCCAGGAACTCCCGCAGCAACATGCCGTCCGTCATGTACTTGACGATCGTGTCGTCGCTGGTGCAGTCCTCGAAGCGGATCGAGTATCCGACCTCGCGCCCGAGCTTCACGCCCATCTCGTGCGCCACGCGCGCCGCCACGCTCATCGCCGCCACGCGCCGCGGCTGCGTGCACCCAACTTTGCCCGCCTTGGTGTACCCGGCCTCGTGGAGGTACTGCGGGATCTGGGTCGTCTTCCCGGAGCCCGTCTCGCCGACGATGATGATGACCTGGTGCTCCGCGATCGCGTCGAGGAGCTGCTCGCGGTACGGAAACATCGGCAGCTGCCTGCGCGCCTCCGCCATGCGCTCCCGCTCGTCCGCGATCGCCGCGAGCTTCGCCTGCCGCAGCTTCTCGGCACGCGACAGTTCGTCCTCGTCGTCGCCCTCCCCTGCCAGCAGCTGGTCCCGCACGAAGTCCACGGAGTCGTCAAACACCAAATCATATTTCGCGGCGTCCGGAACCTTGGCCGTCCCGACACGCATCGTCGCCTTCCGAATCTGCTCGCTCTCCCACGTCGCCTGCTCCTGCCACGGCGTCGCCTCGTCCGCGTCCTTCTTCTTCCCGCGCACCCCCTCATACCGCCCCGCCGCCTCTCCCAACTTGCCCTCCAGCGCCGCCTTCTTCTTCTCCGCGTCGCCGTCGTAGTCCTCCGGCATCACGTACTCCTCGCGCTCCTCGAACTCCCGCAGCTTCTCCGCGCGCTCCTCCGCCAGCCGCAGCAGCTCCCGCTTCTGGTCCAGCTCGGCGCGCTCCTTCGCCGTCAGCTCCTCGTTGCCGAACAACGCCTCCTCGTCCGCGATCTCCTGCCGCAGCAGCTCGAGCTTCTGCGCCTCGCGCTTCTTGAGGTAGTCCTGCCGGGACAGCTCGCGCAGCTTCGGCACCAGCTCGCGCCGCTGCTCCTCGGTGTCGTACTTGCGCCGCTCGAGGTCCTCGCGCTCCTCGCGCGAGAGCTTCTTCTCCATCAGCTTGGCCGTTTTCGCGTCGTCGCGCGCCTTGAGACGCTCCTCGAACGCCTTGCGCTCCTCCACGTCCCTGCGCGGGGCGGCGATGGCGACGCTGTGGTCGCAAACGGGGCGACGCGGACGGCGCACCACGAGCGCAGCCCGGGGGTTGAGAGCGATAGCTCGATGGCGTGTGATCAGGGGCGGAGAGGTGCGGAAGCGGGCGCGTCCGAAGCAGAGAACGACAGCTGTTTCGTGGGTGGTGAATGTCGGGGTGACGGCCTGCGCACCTGTCCATCTCCGCCTGCTTCTCCGCCTCCTGCTTCGCCTCATCGTCCTCCTCCGCGTCCTCCTCCCACTTGCGTTTCCGCCTGTCACCGCGGCGCGACAGCACCTGCGCCACAGCCACGTCGTCGTCGCCGCCCGCGCCGTCGAGCTCGTCGCCCGCGCGCCGAATCCGCTTCCCATCCTTCCCGCGCTCCTCTCTCCGCCTCTCGCTGTCGCGCCCCGCCTCCCTGTCGCGCTCCCGCCCATCAACTCCCCCCCCCTCCCTGCGTCGGTCCTTGTCCTTTTCCCTCTCGCGGTCGCGCTTCTCGCTCTTGTCCTTCTTGCTCTTCTTCACCTTCTCAGGCTGCACACGCTCGCACACGCCGCGCCCTTCTCTCGAACGCACGCAAACAAACACGCGCGCACCCCTTGCGGGCAGCACAGGAGGCGAGCGGCCCGCACCTTCGCGGCGGGAGCGTCCACCGGGGCCATGAGCAGGTCGTCGTCGTCGTCCTTGAGCAGGCCGTATCCCTGGTTCTTCTTCACGGCCGCAGCGCCTGCTATCAGATCCTTCTTGTACCCGCTCTGCCCGACGCTGGCGCGCGGGACGCGGAACATGAGTTCGCGGGCGAACCTCTCCGTTGCGTCGCTCTTCGGGAGGCCCTGCGGTCGACGGGGCGCGCCGTGCGGTTGGGACGCGCAACAATGCAGCCTGTGATGACTGGGGAGGTAATGAAGTAATGCTGCCAAGAAGGAGCGCGCGGTGCGCTCTGGCGCTGCCAGCTCAGGCTGTGGGCAAGGGGCAGAGCGCTGCACAGGAGGAGCGTGTCATCCGGCACTGGCAAACATGCAATGCGTGGACTGAAGAGGAGAGCAGGTCTGTGTGGTGCCGCACACCTGTTCCTGCAGCTCCCGAGCGAGCGCGGCGTGGCTGCTGTGCTTCTTTCCGAGCGCGCAGACGTAGCTCGCAAGCGCGCTTTCGGAGAATCCTGCGCGAACGGAGCGAGCGCGTGCTTTCAGAGGAGGCTGGTCACCCACCGCCTGTCCGCACGGAGTCTCCGACACGACGCGGTGCACAGACAAAGCTGGACGTTGAGTCGATGCACCGACCCAAGCGCAAGTGGCCTCTCGGGATGCGAGCGCGCGCCTCGGCCGGAGAACACCAGCACAGGAGCACCAGCGCCTCCGCTGCAAGCGGCAGCCAAGTCACGTGTCCAGCAGCGGAAAGCACTCATCGTACTACAGCGTTCCACGCGCGAGTGCACATGGCGCATTCTCACTCACCCACGAGCGAGTGCAGCTGGTCGCCCACCCATTTCCGCAGCTCCTTGTCCGACATCGCGGCAACGTGGGCCTCTCCGCCCGACCTGATGCACGAGGATCGTCCGGTTGGCGGCGTCTAGTCTCTGATGCCCCAGGAGCGACGCGAAGGGCGCATGACTGGCGCGCGCGAGGCGCACAGACACCGTCGGGCCTCGCGAGGCGAACAACCGCGCGTGAGCAGGATTCTGCCGAGTTCTCTTCGGGCGCGACGTTCGGGCCGTTCTCTACCGATCTCGTTGGTCACAAACGCAAAGAGCCCCGCAGCTGCGACTGTCTCGGACGACCTGCCCCCCCCACTGACGCAGGCCGGGCCACTCAACCCTGGGGCGCACATGCGGCGCTGGCCAGCAGCACATCACCGCTCTACGCGCCGCCACCGTCATGCGCACATAGCCTCACCGCGCGTAAGGTGCCCTGCAGCCCCCTGCCAAGGCGCACACACCTGCGGCGCACTGTGCAAGAGCAACCGGCCTCGCTCCTGTTCGAACGCCTAGTGGCCTCGCACAGTCAGTACCAGGCAGCACACAGCCGCGCCATCCGCGTTTCACACCCACCGAGAGCGCTGTTTCCATCCAATCAAGTCATGCATGGGGTGCTTGAGTGTTTGTTCCCCCGCGCGGCCCAGGCGCTCAGTCCATGTCCGCGTCGCCGTCGCTGTCCTCCCCGCCCTCGCCCTCCTTCAGTTCCACCTCGAACTCGTACTCCTGGTCGCACCCCAAGTAGGAGTCGCACATGAAGTACAACACCAGCTTGTGCTTGCCAGGGGTGGCCGGCGCGGCGAAGTCGAGCTTGACGCGCAGCTGCTGCACGGGCGACACGCGCCGGATCTTGAGCAGCTCGTTCGTCGCCGGGTTGCCCACCACGAGCCACCACGACTCGTCCTTCGTCCCGGGGTACTTTTGGGAGTCCACCGGCGGCAACTCCCCCTCCCACTCCCGCTCCAGCTCCACCATCACCGACACCATCCCGCCGGCCTCGAGCTCGTCCTTGTCCGCCACGTCGTGCGCCAGCTGAATGTCCGGGTACCTGTTGCACACGCGCGCCAGCTCCGCCAGCTGCCCCGCGTCCATGCTGAGCAGCTTGGTGCGGTCCGCGTCCTCCATGTCGAGCAGCTCGAAGACCGACTCCACGCCGATCGCCTTGGCGCGCGCCGCGAGGTCGCGCGTGACGTGCGGGAGCTGCAACAGCACGGGGTCGCGCTCCCACATGCCTTGGACGACCATCTGGGAGAGCTCCATGGCGGCGAGGGCCGGCGAGAGCCAGCCGTTGCTGGCGATGACGTCGACGACGGCGCCGAGGAGGCGGCTGGCGCCGCGGACGACGGCGCGCTGGTCGGCGGCGAGGTCGCCCGCCAGCGGCGTGCGCGAGAAGTGCGCCTGGAGCAGGGCGTTGGCCTTGACGTGCGGGTCCGTGAACTTCTGCGACGCGATCGTGATCGGGGAGTGCGCGACGAGCTTCCGCACGGCGTCCTCCTCGCCAGGCCGGATCGGGAGGGTGGCAAACTCCGTGGCGGCGCACAGGATCTCGAGCAGGCCGCGGAGCTTGGTCTTGGCCTGGAGGCTGGACCCGAAGAGCTCGATCGTGGTGTACCTCGCGCAGTGGAACGCGGCGATCTTCCCGAGATTGAGCGGCGTCAGGAGGTCCTGCTCGGCGCCGTCGACAGTCTCGTACTCGACCGCGATGGCGTTGGCCTGCTCGAGGTCGCTCATCGTGGCCTCGACGAGCTCGGAGAGGTGGTCGGACACGTGCCGGGGGGTGTTTCCGGCGAGGTTGTAGTAGTTGGGGTTCTGACTCAGGCGGCGGTAGAAAAACGTCCACGTCAGCCAGTCCAGCGCGCCCTGCATGTTCTCGATCGTCCGCGTCACGATCTCCGCGTTGAAGTGGTCGTGCAGCGAGTGGTCCACGTGGCTCTCCACCGGAACAGGCTCGAACAAGAACCTCTTATAGTACTCCTTCTTCGTGCTCGCGCACATCAGCATAAGCTTCCCGACCGCGTCCTTCCCGGGCCGCGACGCCCGCCCGATCATCTGCAGCAGGTCCGCGACGGGGTAGTCCGCGCCGCCGAGCCCGCTTCCGTCGAAGAACTGGGTCCCCGCGATGATGACCAGGTGCGCGGCGGGCGCTACGCCCCAGCACGTGGCGGCCGTGGCGGCGAGCACCTGGATCGCGCCGGCGTCGAAGAGCGACAGCACCGCACCGCGCTCCGCCGCGGGCATGGTGTCGTGGATGTACCCGATGCCGTACTGGAGGCCGTGTTTGAGAGCCGGATCCTTGATCTTCGCCAAAAAGGGCTCCAGGTCTTCTTCTGAGCACTTGAGGAACTTGCTCGGCTCGCCGTCCGCGGCCGCGAAGGTGAGCAGGTCGAGACAGAGCAGGCGCGCGTGCTTCCGCGTCGGAACGAAGGCCAGCACGGGCTTGTCCGACCCCGCGTGCGTCGCGACGGCGTTGTACGCCGGCTTGGACATGGCCTGCATGCGCGCGTCGAAGTGCAGCGTGTCGAAGCTCTTGATGTGGAACTCCAGCGGGACCGGCCGCACGCCCGGGTGGAACGAGAAGAGCGCCTGCTGCGGCGCGCCGAGCCACTCGCCGAGGTCCCGGGCGTTCGCCACCGACGACGACAGCCCGACGATGCGGATCGGCTTCTCGAGCTCGTGCCGGATGAAGCGCATGCGCGACGTGCAGACCTCGAGCACGTGCCCGCCCTCCCCGCCGAGGAGGTGGAGCTCGTCGACTATGAACAGGGCCACGTCCTGCACGGCCTTGCGCTGGCGCCAGCGGCGCGAGACGACGTCCCACTGCTGCGGGGACGCGATGACGATGTTGCCGCGGTCGAGGAGCTTGACGTCCGCGGCGGGGTCGCCCGTCAGCCGCAGCACGGTGAGACCAAGGCCCTTTCCGAACCTGGCAGACCAGTCCTGGTATCTCTCGTCGCACAGGGCGTCCTTGGGCGCGACGTACACGCACCGCGCCGCGCACTCGCCGTTCAGCGCGCGCTGGATCATCCGCAGGAGCGCGAACTCCGCGCACACCGTCTTCCCGGACCCGGTCGGCGCCGCCACGAGGCAGTTGTCGTCCGTGTTGAACAGCGCCGGGAAGCACTGCGTCTGGATCGGGTTGAACCGCGAGATGTTCGGCGTGCCGGGCCCGGCGTAGAGCGCCTCGAAGTCCGCGCTGCGCAGCGCGGAGAGCGGCAGCGGCTGCAGGTCGAGGAGCTCCGTGGGCGGCGAGAACTTCTCGGGGAGAATGAGGTGCCGGAACGAGATGGGCAGCTGAGCCTCGCAGCGCAGCCAGCGGTCGGAGACGACGCGGACGAAGTACTGCGGCGGCACGGGCTCCTGGATCGGCACCGTGAAGGACACGTGGTGGTCTTCCTCTGCGTACTGCATCTTGAGCATAAAAGGCTCGTGGTGCAGGACGAGCTCGCTGTCGGCGTCCTCGACGACGATCACGAACGGCTCGACGAACCCGTGCACCTGCGGGGCGCGGCAGCGCGGGTGACACCGATGCGTCAGGGCGCGCTCGAACAACACCGCGTGCGCGAAAGGCGGGTGTGTTTCGTGCGTTGTGCGCGCGTGTCTGGCGGACGGGGCCGCGCACCTTTTCCTCCCACTGGAAGTCCGGGGTGATGCTGAGGTCGACTTTGAGGACGCTGCGCGTGATGGGCTGCACCTGCGCCGAGAGCTGCACACGCGGGAACTGGTGCACGAGGCGATGCAGGGACTTGCCGACCTTGGGCGCGCGGACGAGCTCGCCGAGCTCCTGCGACGAGAGGTCGTAGTACCGCTCCCAGGGGATCTCCTTCTTCTCCAGCGACTGGAGGATGTTGGCGGGGATGTCCTTGAACTGACGCAGGGGGGTCTGACTGGCCCACATGCGCCGCGACACCATCTTGCACAGGTTCAGCGCCTTCTCGGCGAGCTGCGCCCAGTTCTGCCGCAGGCACACCTCGTAGATGCACCGCATGAGCCGCCCGGCCGACTGCGTCACGTACACCATGTCGGCGGCCAGCGCGAGCCCGTCGAGCTTCAGCCGCGAGATGTACGCCTGCAGGAGCACGTTGATCTTCGCCGTCGGCTCCTCGATCGACTCCTTGACGGGAATCGGCACGCGTTCGATAATCTTCGCCAACTCCATCTTCTCTTCCTCGCGAACGAGAATGTACTTGAACTCGTCCGAGAGCGCGAAGAGCCGGAGGAGGTCGATCTCGCCCATCGTCGGGCGCAGGTGCTCGTTGTACGTCGATATCGTGTCGTGCGTGACGTAGTAGTGCGACGCAATGCGCCCCAGATCCGTGACCTGGAAGTTGCCGGTGCGGCGGTCGTACCGCATGAGCTGGTGCCGGTCGAGCTGCACCGCGGCCGAGTGCGCGAGGTCCATGCGCCAGTCGCGCAGCATCGGGTCCGACGCGCTCGCGTCGATCGGAACACCGTACAAGCTAGGGTTGCGCAGCATGCGAACATAGAGGTAGGTGTACCCGAGCCAGTTGGCCGCCTCCTTGAGGTTGCTCACGGTGCCGAGGACGACCTCGGCGTTGAGCGAGTTCGCGAGCTGCTTGACCATCTGAGACTCCACGGGGAGTTGCTGGTTCATGAGGGACAGGTAGTACTGAAGCTCCGAGTGCCCCGTGATGATGATGCCCTCGCCGTGCGAGTCGAACTGCGGGCGACCCGCGCGCCCGAGCATCTGCATCATGTCCAGCATGGACAGCTCGTCCCAGGCGGACTTGACGGGGTTGTACACCTGCGTGCCCTTGATGATGACGGTGTGCGCGGGGAGGTTGACGCCCCACGCGAGCGTGGCCGTCGAGACGAGGACCTGCACGTGGCCGTTCGCGAAGAGGTCCTCGACCAGCGTGCGGTCCACGCGCGACATCCCCGCGTGGTGCGTCGCGAAGCCGTACGGCAGCAGGTCCTTGAGGTCGGCGCTCTTGGTGTCCTCGGCCTCGGCCTGGAGGATCTCGCGCGTCGCGCTGTCGTCCTTCATCATGCGCCCGAGCTGGTCCTTGCTCAGCAGCTGGTCGCGCAGGAACTTGGCCGTCTTGCTCGTCTCCTTGCGCGAGTGCACAAATATCAGAACCTGGTGCTTCCCTGCGCGCTCGAGGACCTTCTCGTAGCAGATCTCGTTCTGCAGCTGGAAGCGCTGCAGCGGCTTGCGCACCGTCACGCCGATGAACTGCTGCTCGAGCGGGCACGGCCGGTAGCTGTTGTCAAAGAAGAACAACCCCTTGTCGGGTTTCACGCGCAGGAACGCCGCGACGTCCTCGTAGTTCGGCAGCGTCGCCGACAGCCCGACCAGCCGCGTCATCTCCTGCGTCGCCTCGATCTGCCGCACCGTCCTGGCCACGATGTTCTCCAGGACCGGCCCGCGCCCGTCATGTAGGAGGTGAATCTCGTCGATGATCACCAGACGGACCCTGTCGGTGTACGTGCGGTCGCCGGACTTGCGCGTGATGATGTCCCACTTCTCCGGCGTCGTCACGATGATCTGCGTGGCCTCGATCTCCGCCTTCGTCATGCTCATGTCGCCCGTCAGCTCCTGCACGCGCACGCCGTACGCCTCGCCGAGCCGCTTCGTGAAGTTGCCCACCATCTCCGCGACCAGCGCCTTCATCGGCGCGACGTACACGATCTTGAACTCCGACAAGTCGAACGTGCCGTCCTCGCGCCGGTGCAGCCCCAGCTCGTGCATCACTGCCAGCATCGCCACGTTGGTCTTCCCGGCGCCCGTCGGCGCGCACATCAGGATGTTCTCGCTCGTGAACATCGCGGTGTTGTACACCCGCGACTGGATGCGGTTGAGCGCCTTCATCCCCGCGAACGCCCCGCGGGACCACTCCGGGAGGTCCTCGATCGTGACCTGACGCTCGTCGGCGCCGAGCGGCTTCTGCTTCAGCGCCGGCACGTGGACCTCCTCGTACCCCTTCTTCGTCATGCGGAACGACCCCTCCGGTAGCGAGCAGCTCTTGTTAGACATGAAATGCCCTTCTCCGCGGAACTCCAAAGATTGGAGGTTCAGCTGCTGCCGGCCCGCGGCCTCGCCGCGCGCCTGGCCGTCCTCGTCGCCGCCCGCGCCGCGCTTCCGGAGCCGCGCAGCCTCGGACTTGATGCGCTGTGTCATGCGCTCCTGGCGCTCGCGCGCGGTGCCGCGCGTGGCCTGCAGGGCGGCGAGGACGGCGCGGCCCGCGGCGGAGCTCTGCATGTCGGCCTCGATCTTCGCGCGCTCCTCGTCCGACTGCGCGCGCGCCAGGCGCGTGCAGCACACGATCGCCAGCCGGTGGTCCATGAGCAGCTTGATCAATTGGAAATTGTCGTAGTCCAGCAAGTCGACCTGTATGGTAGATAGGGGGCGGGGCGACGGGTGCGTGGGGGGAGCGGTTTGCGGAGGCGGGGTGGATCGGCGTGCGGCGTGAGCGGTGTTCGAACGAAAGTAACGGCAGATACTGGACAGTGGTTGCGGAAATGAAATGAATGTCGCGGGCGCTTGTACCCCTGCCGCCGGGTCGCGTTCGGGCCGGCAAGGAAAGATAAACCCGCGTGCGCTCCGCGGAGCGCAGGCGATCTCGCAGGCTAATCCAACCGGCACAGCCCACTACACTCGGGCCAGCCAGCTGTTGTACCTGCCAGGCACATCACGCAACACGCACGCACGCACGCACGCACCAGCTGCCGCTCCAGATCCCGCTCGCTGCTCCCGCCCGCCAGCGCCGCCAGCGCCTTGTCCGCCACGGCCTGCGCCTCGTCCGCACCGGCCCCCGCCAGCGCCGTCGACACCTGCCGTTGCAGCCAGTAGGCGTCCACCTCGCGCAGGTCGAGCTCCGCGTCGCCCGCCGCGTCGCCCTCGACGACCGCGTCGTCCCCGCCGCGGACCTTCATGCCCCCGCCGTCCACGTCGAACGTGTCCACTTTGCCCGCGTTGTCCTCATCGAGGTCCTCCTCCTCGAGCACCTGGTCCACGAGACCCTGCGGGTCCTCCTCGTCGCTGGCCTCGTCGAACTCGACGGCCACGCCGGCCTCGTCGTCGTCCCCGAGGGCCGCGGCGCCCGCGGCGTCCGCGAGTCGCTCGCTCTCGGGCGTGAAGTCGTTGATGAGGGAGGAAATGGCGACGTAGGACGAGAACAGCTCGTCTGGGAGCGCGCCGAGGAGCGCCTCGCACTCGGCCTTCTTCTCCGGCTGCCGCTTCTCGCTCTTCAGCACCGCGAGCACCTGCGGCGGCTCGGACGTCGCGCATTCAGGTCTGAAAATGCACGCGGCCGGCGCGACTGTGCGAGAGCGTGGAGCGGGCGGCGGCGCACCTCGTCGGCAGCGCCCCAGAGGACGTCTTGCGGCTGGTCGCCGATCGCGGCCTGGATCTTCGCGAGCAGGGCCTCGTACGCTGCGCGTGTCTCTGCCGTCTGTGGGCGGTACAGGCCCGCGGTGTCCATGTCCAGGACGGACCGGAGCGCGACGTCGGCCTGCCGGCGCTTGGCCTGCCGGGCCATGGCGTCCTCGCCGTCGGCGGCGCGCCTGCGGGCCCAGGGGACGGGGCAACTGTCGGACGCCACGCCACCTCGCCACGCGCTCTCAACGGTCGCCGAAGCGGTCGCGTCGTGTCTCACGCGGGAGCCAGACGCAAGGATCCTGGCGGCGAGCTCGTGCGTGTGGAGTTCGAACGGGCGCGCGGCGGCAACGGCGCGTCGCCCCAGCGACCGTGCTCTGGATGCGCACTCCGCGTCCCAGGGCGGAGCTGGCGGGCCGCGGGGCACGCTCACCTCTTCTTCATCTTCGCCTTCTGCTCGTCCGTGAGCTCGGGCTTCGCGGACTGCAAGCGGTCGCCCATCTTTGCCAGCTTCTTGCCGCGGAGTGTCTCCGGCATCCCCGTTGGCCCGTCCGCGCGGCCCCGTCCGGAGCGGTCCGCCGTGAGGACGAGGTTGGAGTTCTGCAGATGCCACGGGGGGCGGCAGGCGGGCGTGAGGCGCCGTGTGGGCCGCGCAAGGGGCCTGGACGCACGGCCGGCGGCACGGCGCTCTGGGCGGGCGGGCCGCGACGTCCTTCCCGCGGGAAACGAAGCAGCGAAACGGCGGCTGGGCCAGCCGTGCGCGAAGACCAAGCGTTTCTTGCCACGGATCAACGGAACGCGCCCACGGACTCCGTGCACGCGCGACTAAGACTGCGCCAGGGAGGTTCAGCCCTCGAAAGGTCGCCTGGCGGTGCGGAGCGCGGCATGTGGTGCACCGGGCGCAAAGAACGAGCCACGAAGCGTCCGGACGGGTACGTGGTTCGCCTCTGCTTCGCGACGCAGGGGCGCTAGAGCTCGGGAACCAGTGGGTTGTGTGTTCGCGCACCGCTTTGTAGTCATACTGCTTCTGCCTCGCGAACTGCTCGGCACCGCCTCCGCGGTCGCCCATCTTCGCTCAGGAGCGACGGCCGGGCGCGCCCAGCCGGTGTCGCAACGCGAGCGGCTCAGCTAGCGCAGCTGCTCCCCCATGCCACACGCAGCCTCAGCGCACGCAAAACTCCGATATTCTGACGGCACGCGGTAGAGGAGTGTCGTGCCGCTGCGCCCGCGCGCCGCAACCGGCCTGGACCGCGCGGGGGGGGGCGTGAGCAAGCCGACTCCTCCGCCGTCAGACCTACGCGCCCGCGCTGCCGCGGCTACGTGGGGCGAGCGGCGCGCGTGGCCGCCGATGGTCAGGACCGTGAGCACGTAGTGGTTGTGGGCCGCGACGCTGTTCTGGAGGCGTCTGTTCGGGACACGGCACGCGCAATGGCATTCACTCCTCGAGGAGGCGGGCGTGGGGGCGGCCGCGGTGCGCTCCCCCGCGGCCACGACGTTGCCGGGCTTGTGCAGCTTGCGAACATCCCACACGCGTGCGATTCGGGCGCGTCGGGGCGTGCTGGGCGCGGAGGCTCGCCAGGCATAACTGCCCGCCTGCGTTCGCCCCGTCCCGGGCATGTTCCCGGATCGGCGCCGCGCCGACGACGGGTTTCGTCGGCGCGGGCCGGAATTCCTTGGCGGCGTGGGCCGGCCTGAGCTGGCGACACGCGCAGGCGTCGGCCTCGGCGCGGCGACGGCACACCGGCTGCCGAGCAGCGGGGACGCGATTTGCGCGTCGTCCCTCCTCCGCTGGCAGCAGCGAAATTTCCCCCTCCGCCAGGGCGCGCGTTTCGCGCCAATAAAATTCGCCCCAGAGCGCAGCCGAGCGCCGAAGCACTTGCACCCTCTGCGGGCCCACGCGCGGTCCCCGCTCCACCGCTTCGGCGCGCTTCCGCGCCCCCACACGCTCCTCCAGACGACGCTGCTGTCAGCGCCGCCCTTCCCCACCGTCAGCTCGCGCGCCACGCATCGGCACCAGCCGCTCTCTCCTCCGTCCAAGCCGTCAGGCCCGCGCTCACGCCACCCCGTGTCTGACACGTCCCCATGCAGGCGGGGGCCGGCTGGGCGCTAGAGGCGGAGTCGGCGGGCGCGGTCGGGGGCGCGGCGGCGGCCGCGACGGCGGGCGCGGCGGGCGCGGTGGGAGGCGGGCGCGGGGGCCGGGGCGGGGGCCGGGGCGGGCGCGGCGGGCGCGGAGGCATGAAGGGCGGCGCCAAGGTCATCATCGAGCAGCACCGCCACGAGGGCATCTTCCTCGCCCGCGGCAAGGAGGACGCACTCGTCACGCGCAACCTCGTGCCCGGGGAGTCCGTCTACGGCGAGAAGCGCATCTCCGTGGAGACGGACGGCGACAAGGTCGAGTACCGCGTGTGGAACCCGTTCCGCTCGAAGCTCGCGGCCGCGGTGCTCGGCGGCGTCGACAACATCCACATCAAGCCCGGCGCGAAGGTGCTGTACCTGGGCGCGGCGTCGGGGACGTCCGTGAGCCACGTGTCGGACATCGTGGGGCCCGAGGGCGCGGTGTACGCCGTGGAGTTCTCGCACCGGTCCGGGCGCGACCTCGTGAACATGGCCAAGAAGCGTCCGAACATCATTCCCATCATCGAGGACGCCCGGCGCCCCGAGAAGTACAGGTGAGGGCCGCAGCTAGGGCCGCGAAGGGAAGGGCTCGCGCGTGGCAGCGTAGCTGCGGGCCCGCGGCGCGCGTGCGGGCCGTTTCGGCGCTCGCTGCACGCAGCGCAGGGCTGCGTGGTGGGCGGCGGCGGACGTCGCGGCCGGGGCGCTGCGGGGCGCAGCTAGGGGCTGTGCGCTGTGCGCTGTGTGTTGCCGGTGGCTGAGCGGCGGTGGCTTCGTTTCTGCGGCGCGCAGGATGCTGATGCCGATGGTGGATGTCATCTTTGCTGACGTGGCGCAGCCGGACCAGGCGCGCATCGTGGGCCACAACGCGAAGCAGTTCCTGAAGAACGGCGGCGGCTTCGTCATCTCCGTCAAGGCCTCGTGCATCGACTCGACGGTCCCGGCCGAGGCGGTGTTTGCCAGCGAGGTGAAGAAGATGCAAGAGCTCGAGCTCAAGCCCAAGGAGCAGCTCACGCTGGAGCCGTACGAGCGCGACCACGCCGTCGTCATCGGTCTCTTCCGCGCGAAGAAGTCGAAGAAGGCGGACTGAGGCCGTCGCCGTGTCCACTGGCAGCTCCGCTGTCACCCTGCACTACAAGTACCCTACCTGCATGCCAGCGCCCCCGCCGCAACCAGCATATGCTGCGAGGAACCGCAGCCACGGCCCGCGGCGCCACGCTGCGAGCCGGCGGCCACGCGCGCGACGTGCGCACTGTGAGCGGCACGGTCCCGCGACAGGAGTAGTCGCAACGTCCCGGTCACGCCGCATGCATCGCCCGTACTCGCGCGTCCGGACTGGCCCGGCTGCGGGCGCAGGCGGGGCAGGCCGGGGGGCCGCTGCTCGTCAGGCTGCTTGCGCAGGTGGAAGGATGGACCAGCAACTTGATGTGTGCAGCTGATTGATGTTAGTGCTGTTGATACTTCGGTCGCGCGTGCGGGTACCCCACCGCTGCTGCGCGGTCGGCCGCTGACTGGTCTCTGCGGTCCCTGGTTCGCTGTTGTGCGCCCGCGCAAGATGCAGGTGTTGACGAGCAGCTGAGCTGCCGAATTGCGAGCGCGTCGCACGAATTTCGGCCCTGCGTCCGTGCAGTTCGCTCAAGGGCGAAAGAAGGTCGCGAACGCGCACGTCGAGCTGCGGATACCCCTCGAAACGCGTTCCTTGCGCCCATCCTACCACCGTCAGGCCCACGGTCGGGCGGAATTGGCGCGCGCTGCGGGCTCTCTGGAGGCGGGCGCCGTCGCGACTGCACATTCCCGAGTGCAGCAGCAGCCTCAAGTGTCCTCAAGTGTCCAGTGTGCTCGGAGGCGAACGCAGCGGCAAGCTCGGGCGAAAGCGTACGGACTGTGCTCGTCCCGGGCTTCCTCGCACAATTCGACGACGAAAACGTGCAGAATGAGTCTTCAGTACGCGAGCGAGTGAAGCGCTAAACGTCGAAACGCCACGCAGCCGGGCGCTGCGGCTTGCTCGTCAGCTACCTCGAACGAGGTGCGGCCCGCTCCGGCCGGGCCCGCTCCGGCCCCACGACCCGCTGGAACTGACAAGCTGCCATTTCCGGCAACCGCGGGCCCCAAATTCGGCCAGCGAACCGCGTGCGCCAGGCCAGCAGCTGCACCCTCTCCCTCCAGCACGGCCCTCCGCAGCGCGCGTCCGCCGCGCACCATTCCGTTCGGCCGGGCCGCGCAGGCGCCACGCCCGCTGCGCACGCGCGCACGACAGCACCGCCGTGCCCACCCGGGCACGGCAACCGCGAGCGCCACGGCCAGGTGCCACTGGCGAGCTGGCCTCAACATCAGGCCTCGTCGCCGCGCCTCGCGCGCTCCTCTGGAGCGTGCCGCCCGGAACCACACGCGCATCGCCCCGTCGCATACGCGGGGGGGCACGTTCGCGTATTTCATCCCCGCGTGGGGGCGGGAAATTCCACGAACCCATCCTTGTTGCGCCGAGCCTGTGCCTCGCCCCGCAGCGCGGCGCGCGCGGCCGCTTCCGATCGGCCCGCATCCCCCGCGCACTCTCCGCAGGAACACCGTTTAGGGCGCGCACCATGGGCGGCGAGCGGGGGCGTGGCGGGGCGCCTGCGACGCCTCAAGCAGCTCCTGCGTTCCAGGACCTCATTCAGTTCTCTCCCGGCTCCGGCGCCGAGGTACCACCCGCTCTTCCGGCCTCCCTCTGCCCCACGCATGCCCCACAGGCCGCCCGCCACGCGCCAGGCCTCGCCCGTGATTGCCGCCCCGCGTTGGAGGAGCTGCGCTCACTTCCGCCGGCGCGCACGCGCCCGCGCGCCGCCGCCAGCGGCTTCCCCCGCCACGGGACCCCGCAGGCCGCACCCACGGCCAGATCCGCGCCGCTTTCGGGCCGCCTCGCGGCGACACGTGTCCAGTCCAACCGCCTGAATTCCCCGCCAGCGGAGTCGACTCAAAGCGCGCGCGCCCGGCCCCCCCGCCCCGCAGGCGCCGGCGCGCAAGTCCCAGCAGGCGCGCGAGCACTCGCCCTTCCAGACCCCCGGCGCCCCACGCGGCCCGGCCTCGGACGGGGCCGCGAGCGTCGCATCCAGCAAGCAGGACGCTCGGCACGGCGCCGAGGCGCCTCACCCGGCGAGCCGGTACATGGAGTCGGCCGCGCGGCGCCGCCTGCTGGCCGACTGGATCTTCACTCTCACGGGCCACGAGGTCCCCACGGTGTCGGACCAGCTCTTCCGCCGCTCGCTGCGCTCGGGCGAGGTGCTGTGCTACCTGGCCGAGGCGCTGCGGCCCGGCTCGGTCCCGCACGTCACCGCGGGCCCGTTCGGGACGCACGAGGAGGAAGAGCAGGCCGCCCGCGCCAACCTCGCGACGTTCTGCGCCGCCGCCGTGACCATGGGCCTGCCGGAGGAGATGCTCTTTCGCATGGCCGACCTCGAGGGGCCGGGGTACGCGGAGCGGCCGGTGGTGCTGGACTGCCTGTGGGAGCTGCAGCGGCTGGACGAGGAGGACAACGCGCCGACGAACCCGGACGCGCAGAGCCCCGACGACGGCTCCCGAGGCTCGTCCGACGACCGCCACGACAACAGCCCGCGCTCACGTGCGCCCCCCCCCGCCGCCACGCGACGCGCCCAGCGCGCAGGCCTGCGTGCTGCGAACGCGCGGGCCGCGCCGCGCTGCCCGCGTCGCCGCCTCGAGCACCCAACAACGTTGTGTTCGTTTCGTTTCGTGCGTCACCCGTTTCGCGCTCGTGCTTCGTGACGCCTGCAGGGTCGAAGAGCCCGCACCCGCGCACCCCGAGCCCGCGCGGGCGCGCGGGCAGCTACGCGCCGGCGATGGCGTCCATCTCGGAACTCCCCCCCCGCCCGGGGGGGCCTCCAGGCACGGCGGCGTCGGCGCCGCGCAGCGTGCCGGTCGCCACGACCCCGGCGCCCGCGACGCCCTACGAGCCGTCCTCGCCCGGCAAGCGCGCGGTGCAGTCCCTCGAGAAGGCCGTCAACGACATGCGCGCCAGCCAACACACCCCCGCCACCGTCGGCCCACCCCCCCGCCTCGCCACCTTCGACGGCGCCGTCTCGCTCGACAGCGACGGCGTCAACGACGCCCGCGCGGGCCTCGAGCCCGGCATGCCCGCCCCGGAGATGTGCGCGAGCCCCCGCGCGCTGCGCGACCGCGAGGGTAGCGCGTCGCACACGGGCGCGAGCGGAGCGCGGCCGCCGCTGGAGCGCTCGCCCTCTGCGAACACCGCCGGCATGCGGCGCTCGATGCTGTTCCGGCGCTCCACGTCGCTGCGCGACTCGATGGAGCGGCGCATGTGGACCCCGCAGGGCGCCGGGTCGCTGGGCTCGATGGACGGCCTGGGCCCGGTGATGGAGCAGGTCATCACGACGCTGACGAAGGAGTACGAGCTGAAGATCGCGGACCGCGAGCACGCGGTGAAGGACCTGCAGGGGCAGCTCGACGACCTCCGGGAGCGCATGGTGGAGCTGGAGGCGGGCGGAGGGGGGGGGGTGTCGGCCGGGGCGGCGAGGCGGCCGGCGTCGGCGGCAGCGGCGGCGCGCGCGGCGAGTGCGGCCGCGCCGGTGGACGCGGCGCAGGTTGAGAGGGCCGCGGAGATGCGGGCGCGGCAGGCGGCGCTCGCGGCGGGGCTGGACGCGGTCACGGGGGAGATGTGCGCGCTCAAGCACGCGCTTACGTCGCTGCAGTCGTGGGCGCGCGACGAGGCCGCGCGGCTCGGCCGCGACCTGCGCGAGGCGTCCGGCGCCGTCGCGTCGATGGCGCTCGCGGCGAGCGGCTATGCGCGGGCGATGGCGGAGAACCGGCGGCTGTACAACACCATCCAGGACCTGCGCGGGCAGATCCGCGTGATGTGCCGCGTGCGGCCGGTCGGCACGACGGGCGACCCGTCCGAGGCGGTCGTGCACATGCAGCCGAGCGCGCGGCCGGGGGAGGTGTTGCCGGAGATGGTGGTGAGCAACCCGACGACGCGCGGCATGAAGGCGTTCGCGTTCGACCAGGTGTTCGGGCCGGAGTCGACGCAGGAGGGCGTGTACGCGGAGATCGCGCCGCTCGTGCGGTCCGTGATGGACGGGTACAACGTCTGCATCTTCGCGTACGGTCAGACTGGGTCGGGGAAGACTCATACCATGTCGGGCCCGAAGGGGACGGTGGCGGGGAGCCCCGAGCGCGGCGTGAACTGGCGGGCGCTGGACGACCTGTTCGCGCTCAAGGAGACCCGGGCGCGCGAGATGGTGTACGAGATCTCGGTGCAGATGCTGGAGATATACAACGAGCAAGTGAGGGACCTGCTGAGCCCGGAGGAGGCCGGGGGCGCGCAGGCGTCGCGGCTGCCGATCCGGAAGGCGCACAAGTCCGGGCAGAACGTGCCCGACGCGACGCGGGTGGTGGTGAGCAGCACGGAGGACGTGGCGGTGGTGATGGCGGCGGGCGAGGGCGCGCGGTCGTTCGGGGAGACGCGGATGAACGAGCGGTCCTCGCGCTCGCACTGCGTCGTGATGGTCATCGTCGAGGGCACGAACCTCGTCTCGAACGCCACGTCGCACGCGTGCTTGAACCTGATCGACCTCGCGGGCTCGGAGCGCCTGGGGCGGTCCGAGGCGCAGGGCGACCGGCTGCGCGAGACGCAGAACATCAACCGCTCGCTCAGCGCGCTCGGGGACGTCATCTCGGCGCTCGCGGCGAAGCAGGGCCACGTGCCCTACCGCAACAGCAAGCTGACGCACCTGCTGCAGGACTCCCTGGCTGGGCAGGCGAAGACGATGATGCTGATGCACGTCGCGCCGGAGTCGTCCTCGCACCAGGAGACGCTGTCGACGTGCCAGTTCGGGACGCGCGTCGCGTCGGTGACGCTGGGGCGCGCCGGGAGCAACGCCGGCGACGGGAGCGCGGCGCTGCTGCGGCAGACGCTCGCGCGCGCCGAGGAGGACCTCCGCGACCAGCGCGAGGACAACAAGCAGCTCAAGCTCAAGCTCAAGGAGGAGCGCGAGCGCGCGCGGCGCCTCGAGGCCGAGGTGCAGCGCTCGGCACAGATCGCGCTCAAGGCCTCGGAGGCCGCCGCCGCCGCGAAGCGGCTCTCCAGCGGCGCGACGTCCGCGCGCGCGGCCCTCTCGCGCACGACCACGTCCGCCGGAGCGCCCCCGCGAACCATCACGTTCGGACCGCGCCCGACGCCGCGCGGCGCACACGGACACGCGCACGGACACGGCGAGCTGAAGGACCCCTGGGGCGTCGACCCGGAGGACACCGCGCACTCGGACACGAGCTCCGTGCGGTCGTCGTCGCTGGAGCGCGGCAGCGACGTGATGGAGATGCCGAGCGTCGACGTGCCGGCGCGGCCCGTCGACAGCGGCGCGTCGCGCAGCTACGGGCGGGGGCGGCCTGCGACGGCGGACCCTGCGCCCGGACGCACGGCTCCGCGCGTGCCGAAGCTCGCGCTGCACGGCGCGATGCTCGGGAGCGAGGGGCCGAAGTCGGGGGGCCGGCCGGGGTCGGGTGGGCGGCCGATGTCGGCACGGGGGCGCGGGAGGACGCCGCGCGACACGAACACGCCCGGGAGCGTGACGGGCCCGGCGCCGCAGTCGGTGCGCGTGTTCCGGACGCGCACGGACGTCTCCGCGCAGCTGTCGTCGCGCGCCGCGGCGCAGAGCGCGCGCAACAGGGCGACGCAGCCTGCGGTGGCGGCGAGCGCGATCACGCCGCGCGGGATGCCGGACAGCTCGGCGCGGGCGATCCAGCAGCACGTGCAGCGCGTGAAGAGCGCGCGGCGCGTCGGGGCGCCGACGCCCGCGGAGGTGGACGTGAATCTGGGTGTGCCAGTGGGCGCGGAGCATCACGAGGGCGGGCCGCGGCGGGTGTCGAGCGCGCGCGGCCGGCTGGACTCGCTGCAGACGTACGATGCGGGCGCGCGGACGCTGCGGGGTCGCTCGGGGCGGTGGTCGCCTGGGCCGGCGTACAGGACCACGCAGCCCATGCGGCAGTTCATGTAGGGGGAGTTGATCAGTAGAAGACTAGAACGGCGATTTTGAGCGCAGCGGAAGTGAGTCCGTGTGATGCGTACACGCTAACCGTACGGGTCGGTGCCGCCTCGTGAGTACTCATGGCTCGCCTGCTGCAGCAAACCCGCCAACTCCCTGACCTGAAACGCGTGCGTCGCGTGATAAGGACTGCGGTGCCTGTCGCTCGCCCGCGTCCCCCTCGTACGTGCGCGACAAAAAAGTGAGGCCGTTTCCTCTTCGCTCGACGATCACAGCGGTGCCGTGCAACACCTGGCAGCGGGCAACACCGCCATCGCTCACTCAGGCGGCGGGGGCGGCGGCGCGTCGCCCGGCGGCGGCGGCGGCGGCAGGTCGCTCGGTGGCGGCGGCAGGTCCCCGGCCGGCGGCGGCGGCGGCGGAAGCCCTGCCGACATGGTTGCTGCCGCGCCGCCTCGCCGGGCGGGCGGCGGGCGGCATGCCCGGCGGCGGTGGCGGCGGCGCTCCCGGCAGGCGGCGGCGGCATTGCCCTCACTGCCGGAGGCGGCGGCATGCCCGGCGGCGGGCGGCATCACCCCACGGCACAGGCGGCGGCGGCATTCCCGGCGGCGGCGCTCCGTACCCCGGCGGCGGCATCGCGCCGAACGGCGGCGGCGCACCGTACCCCGGCGGCGGCGGCGGCATCGGCCCGAATCCGCCCGGCGCCGGCCCCATTTGCGGCCCTTGCATGCCAGGCGGACCCAGCGGCACGGGGCCGGTCTGGACGTCCCCGGGGCCCGCCGCGAACCGCGTGTGCGGGCGCCGCGTCGTCGGCTCGAGCGTGCGGCGCTGCGCCGCGAGCAGCCGCTCCGCAGGGGTCCCGTGGCGCTCTCCGGCGGAGTCCTTCTTGTACGCGTACTGCACGGCGAGGGTGCGGTTCATGAGGTACTGCCCGTGCATGGCGTCGATCGCGGCGTCCGAGGCTTCGAAGGAGTCGAAGGACACGAAGCCGAAGCCCTTGCTGTTGCCCGTGTCGGGGTCGCGCATGATCTTGGGGGTGTTGGTGATGACGCCAAAGGCGCTGAAGGTGTCGTAGAGCATCTTCTCGTCGACGTCCGGGTCGAGGTTGCCGACGAAGAGGTTGGCGCCGACGTCCGTGGTGTCGCGGTCCGAGGCGGCGCGGTTCACGCGAATCGGTTTGCCATGCAGCTTGATCATGTTGAGCACCTTGGTAGCATAGTCCGCGTCCTCCTCCGTCTTGAACTCGCAGAAGCCGTAGCCCTGGTGCGCGTTCGTGACGCGGTCCTTCGGGAGGTACAGGCTCACTGCGACGGCGCGGGGAGGCAGCATGGTGCGTGGGGGCTGGGGCGTGGAAGTGCGCGCAGGGCGTGGGAGCGCGGAGGGAAGGTTGATGCGGTTGTAGGCTGGGCGTGGCGTTAGCGTGGAGCGGCCGTTCGCGCGGGCGATCGCCCGGCGACTGTGAGGGGCTTGGTGTTTGGTCCCGCGCTGGCGGTGTGCTCACCTACGGGGCCGACTTGCGTGAAGAACTCCCACAATACTTCCTCCGTCACCTTCTCGTCCAAGTTCCCGACGTAAATCGTGGCCTCCTGGTTCCGCGCGTGAGCTCCCTGTCCAATCAGGTTGGCACCCGCTCCAGCCGCCACACGGCCGCCCGCCACGGCAGCGGCCATGGCGGCGACTCGCTACTTTACGGCCTGCTCGCCAAGAAGCGAGAAACCACGCGCGCAGACGCGCACAGCCCCCAGGGCGGAACTTGCTTCCGGCGAAAACTCGCACTCCTCCCGAAACGGCGATACCCGCACCCGAACGGCGCCTGACTACGCGGCCAGCCAAAAACCAACACACGCACGGATCGCCAGGCGGGGTCGTCTGCCCCTGATCAGCTGTTCCCGACCGGTGTGGCCCAAAGTGAGCTTGGTGCCTCCCTCCCGCGCCCTGCCGCGGCCGTCTGCGCGCAGCGGGACGTGGCCGAACTACGGAATCGAACAGCACGCAGCGTGAAGTGCGGCGGGGCCGCGCAGACGCCCGTATCCGAGCGCACGCAGCCCAGGTCGGACCCACACACATATAGACCCCTGTCCCCCCCTTTCCTGACATATTCCAGTAACGAGCCCGCAAAGGCAGGCGGCGCTCGACGAAACCCGGGCCGTCGTGACGTCGGCCGCGTGCGAGCTCTCCCCACGTCGCCTGCCGTCGCAACGCATCGTCGACTGGTAGCCTGGCGCGAGCCATCACGCTGCGAGACTGTACGGCCGCCGTTCACACTCGAAGCAACCGAAGCAGAGTGAGCGCCGCGCCACGTGCGGCAGCGCGGTGCGAGACCCCCTACCCGAAAGTGTTTAACTCCCCCCACGAGTCGAGGAAATGTTGCAGAAACGCCTGACCGCACGTGGGGCACGTGCCGGGGTCCAGCCGCGGCGACGGCGGCATGGCCACCTCCCACTTGTCGTGCACCATCGCCGGCAGCCCGCCGGGCAGGACGCTGCTCAGCACGCCGATCGCCCTCTCCTGCGTGCCTTGCAGCTTGGAATCGTTCATGCGCTCGGCGCCGAGCACCAGCGCGCCGACGTCGCCGTCCGCCCCGACGAGGTTGCTCTTCGCGAGGATGCGCCGCAGCGAGGCCTCCGGAATCTCGCCCTGCAACGAGGGCCCGCGCCGTTCCACTTGACGGTGATGAAAAGGTCGCTGCGACGCTGGACATGCGTGCCAGGGACGACGGGCCGGCCGGAAATGCGCGCGAGAAAAGGGGCGGCGGCTGCCTCGGACCGGGCGGAGGCTCGGCCGAAGAGCGGTGCGCTCATGCCAGGGCAGAGGTGGCGTGTTGGCGTGTTTACCTGTCGGAGCATGAGGCCTGGGAGCGGCTCGGCGAGCGTGTTGATGTGGTTGCTGACGCTCAGCGAGACGCACGTGTCGCGCACGACGACGCCGAGCACGCGTTTGTAGGGTTCGAGGCACGTCTGCAGCTGCTTGGCTGTCCCGACAAACTTCAGCGCCCGAGTCATGGCGCGACGGGCCGCCTGGGGGTTCTCCCGACCTCGGATGCGTGTGTGAGGTTCAGACGGGTTCGGTGCGGCGTGTCGCAGCTAGGATTGATGACGTGAGAGGGCAGCGGGCACTCGTAGTTCGCCAACGTTGGATGTCTACTTCAATGCGGCCTACACGTCCCGTTGCGCGGCTCAGGATTCCTCTCTCCGGCGCGACGACTTCTTTGGATCGTTGTGGGCGTGCAGGCGGTGCGCAAGAGCCTCTGTGGTCGCTGTGCGCCGCGACGTGGCGGGAAGGCCCCACACCTCCCCGACACACGTCCACGCTGACGCCGCGGCTCGTCGCCGGGCTTTCCAGGCGGCCACGCGCACCCGCAAGGCCAGACCTTCCCCGTGCGAGGCGCGATTTCGTTCGTCGTCGGCCCCCGAGTGTCCTGGAGCAGGGCTGCTGCCCCCGACATCGCTGTCGTTGGCGCCATGGCGGACGATGGCTGCATGGCCGTGTGCCAGCTCAGCGAGCAGCCCATGGACTGCCAGTTCCATCCGAGGGCGAACCAACTCGCTGCGTGCGATCTCGCAGGTGCGGGCCGCAGCCGACGGCGTTGCCGCAGCTTTGTGCGACCGTGCAAGCGCACCGCGCCGCGCACCTTTGCCGCATTCTCCTGATATCACAGGAACTGCACCGTGGTAACCCCGTCAGGCGCATGGAGCGCCGCCGCGTCCGCCCCTGCTGTCAGACAGCCCGTCTGAGTGAACACCAGCACTGGGCCACGCGCTGCCCCCGCAGGCCGCGTCACGGTCTTTTCGTACAAGGGGTGCGAAGCGAACGAATGTCTCCGCTTCTCCCCGCACAAGAAGTCCATCCGGTCGCTCCAGTACGTCTCTGGCGGCGCGCAGCTGGCAACCGGGTGCGCCGACGGCAGCATCTGCGTCTCCGACGTCGAGACCGGCAAGGCCCTGCGCAAGGACCTCGCGGAGTCCGCGGGCTCCGACGACGCGGAGGGCGTCATGCGGCTCCTGTCCCTGGACGGCGAGAACCTCGTGGCAGCGGGGGACGAAGGCGGCGCGGTGGCGCTGTACGACGTCCGGCAGCAGGGGCGCGCGTGGCGGCTCGAGGTGCACGACGACTTCGTGACGGACCTCGTGCTGAACGAGCGGGAGGCGCAGGTGGTCTCGTCGAGCGGCGACGGCACCCTGGGGGTGATTTCGTCGCGAAAGGGCAAACTGAAGGCCCGCAGCGAAACAGACGCAGGTGCGGCCCCACGCTGCTGCGTGCGCACTCTCGGCCTGCGGTCTCTGTTCGCTGCCGGGACGCGGCGGGAGAGCGTCGCGTGTGTGTTTGGAGTTGCGCTCGTGACTGTGCGCGAACGAGCAGGGATCGCCCGGCGCGTCGCGTTCGCACTGCAGACGACGAGATGCTGTCGCTGGCGCTCGCGAGGGGCGGTTCGAAGGTCCTCGTGGGCTGTCAGAGCGGCGTGATATCAATCTTCAGTTGGGGATACTGGAATGACTGTTCGGACCGATTCCCAGGCCACCCGTCATCCGTGGACGCCATCGCCGCGTACGACGACAGCACGATCGTCACGGGGTCCTCCGACGGCCTCATCCGCGTGCTCACCGTGCTGCCGAACCGCATGGTGGGGGTTGTCGGCGAGCACATGGACTGCCCCATCGAGCGCCTCGCGATCAGCGCGGACAAGTGCGTGCTCGCGTCCGCGTCGCACGACGAGACCGTGCGGCTGTGGGACATCGAGGGCCTGGACGACGACGACGGCGACGCCGAGGACGGCTTGGAGGGGGGTGCGGCGGCGGAGGGGGGGGTCGGGGTTGGAGCGGGGGGCGGCGCGGACGACGACGACGGCGAGGACAGCGACGACAGCGACGCGCCGAAGAGGAAGCAGAAGGGCAAGCGGAAGAAGGCGCCGAAGGGGGGGAGTCTGAGCGTGTTGGGGAAGGAGGAGGCGAAGCGCAAAAAGGGGCCCGGGAAGTCAGGGAACTTCTTCAGCGACCTGCTGTGAGGTGTGCGTGCGCGTGGGCCGCCTGGCGGGCGCTGCGTAGGGAGGGGTGTTTCGCAAGTCCCCGGGGGGGAGAGGGGATTGGGGCCGGTGCCGTTGCGGTGCGCGCGGGGTGCGGGGCGGCAGTGCCGGGAGGCTGGTGTTCGGTTGGAGCTCGAAGAAGAGAGCGGGCGGGCGCGACCTGCGAGTCTGTTTGTTTGTTTCCGCTGCACTGCGGCAGGGTCTGCCCGGCACCAGCGCGGATTTCGGAGGAAGTGGGAGGCCGCATCGAGCCTCTGATGCGAGGGAACACCGTCATGAGTGCGTGGGAGATCGGAGCGGTATAAACGGGACGATGCAGGCCTTTGAGTTCCTCGCACCGAGCCGAGAGATAGGTATTTGGTCCCTCTTTGTCTGTCGAGGCACCTACGAGCTAGAACATTGCCGTCGCAATGATGGTTCGACAGTATCCAGGCGTGTGTTGATTGGTTCGTACGAAAATTTGTCCTAACGGCACGTCCCGCCACGGTTGTCTCTCAACAGTTACGCTCCCGGTATCTCCTGGCGTCCGTGGCAGGCTCCATGCCGCGGGGTTCTACACAGTGCGAGATCTGTACCACCTGAAACCGGTGGATCTATCTAGACAGGCGGGAATATCACATGAGGACGCGCTTTTCGTCCTTCAGGCAAGCCATGAGAACGCTCCGCGCGTCGCGTCCCCGGCGCGACAACCGACGCACCTGGTCGCTCTGCATTTTTCATGACTTGAATGATCTTTGACGTCTGTCCAAGCAGGTCGCGGGGGCGGATGGAGGTGGCACGGGGGGTCTGGGCGGTGGCCGCTCCGCAGCCCAGATGCTGGACACAGAGAAAGCGCGCGGCCACGTCATCACGTTCAGCAACGAGTTCGACGGTCTGCTGGGCGGCGGCGTCCCCGTGGGCCAGGTCACTGAGTTCTGCGGCGTGCCGGGAGTCGGGAAAACCCAACTGGGAATGCAACTTGCCGTGGACGTCCAGATACCCTCGGAGTTCGGCGGGCTCGCCGGGAAGGCGGTCTACGTCGACACGGAGGGCAGCTTCATGGTCGAGCGGGCCCAGGAGATCGCGGCGGCGTGCGTGCGGCACCTCAGCCGCCTGGCATCGGCCACGCAGAGCGCGGAGCGCCGCGCAGCCGCGCAGGCCGTCACGGAGCGCGCGCTGATGGCAGGGATCCACTACTACCGCGTGCACGACCACACGGAGCAGCTGGCGGTCGTGGAGCAGATGCCGGCGTTCCTCGACGCGCACCCTGACGTCAGGCTCCTCGTGCTTGACTCAGTGACCTTCCACTTCCGCCAGGGGTTCTCCGACATGGCGATGCGGACGCGCGTGCTCGTGCAGATGGCGCAGAGGCTCGTCGCGCTCGCCGAGGACCGCAACGTCGCCGTCGTGCTCATGAACCAGGCAAGACACCATCGCGCTCGCGAACCCTGAAAACTCGAATGATCTTCACACCTTGGAGACTGCGATGCTCGCGCCCGCGCCCCCGCACTCCCCCAACCCAGAAAGCCGTGCTCCATCCTCACAGGTCACGACGAAGTTCACTGGGGAGGGTCTGTCCAGGCTTGTACCAGCGCTAGGCGACAGTTGGGCCCATGCAGCCACGAACCGCGTGATTCTGTTCTGGCAGGGCTCGCAGCGGTTCGCGCACATGTACAAGTCGGCGAGCCTGCCAGCGCGCACGGTGCCGTACTTCGTCACCGCGGACGGCATCCGCGGCGCCCGGAGGAAGAAGCGAGCAGCGGACGGCGGGGCGGGGCCGCCTGGGGGCGAGGCGGGCGCGGCGGACGGCGCGGGGGCGAAGCGGCAGCAGTGACGCGGCGCGCGCGGCTCAATCACACGCGAACAGGCCGCCGCCGCGGCGGCTGTGGCGCAACGCGCGGCAGGAGATAGCCTTGTGTCAAGTCAGTCATCTTTCGTGTCTAGATCGCCGAACATGGCCTCGAACTCCTCCAGATCCTCCTCGCCCTTCTCCTCCGCCTCCTGCTCCCGCGCCTCCCCGTCGCCCAGGTTCTCCCAGCCCCCACCCTGCGCACAACGCACACAAGCACTCCCACGTGGGCTGCCGACCACCCAGCCACACCCGCCGGCCCGCACCCACCGCACCACGACCACCTCGCATCACCGCACCACAGCAACGCGATTCCGTTGCGATTCCGTTGCACCCGCACCTCCTCCTCGTCCTCCACTTCCCTCAAAAACGCCTCGATCTCAGGATCCTCGCCATCCGCCTCCCGCGCCGCCTCCGCCCCCTCCGGCGCCCCTGCCGCGCGCTCCCCGCCCTCTGCAGTCCCCGCCTGCTCCTCGGGGGCGTCCTCGGCGGAGTCCGGCACCGCTGTCGCCTTGGGTGGCGACAGCGCTTGGTCGTACGCGCCGCGCGTGTCCACCACGTGCGCCGCCGCCGCCGGGGCCGCGCCGTCGCCGCGCCGCATGCCCGCCGCGAGCCGCCCCGCGCGCTCGCGCCCCGACGACATCAGAGACACGAACTTGCTGCCCGCGCCCCTGTAGTCGATGGTGCGCGCGGCGCGTTGCGCGCGCTCCGCTCCCTCCGTCACCCTCTGCCCCGCGCCAGCCAGCCAGTTCGTGAGGCCCTCCATCACGTCGCCCGCCTGGGGGGGTGTCCCCTGACGTGGTCCGTCGTCGTACTCCTTCCAACTGCTGTCAGGGTCCCTCACGGGGCCGCCTGCGTCAGGGGCCGCCGCGCCGCCGTCGGCTGCGCCGCCCCCGCGCTCCATGGCCTCGCCGCCCTCGACCTCGAACGCCTGGTGCCCCGGGCCGGTGTCTTTCAGCGCCTCTGTCAGGTTGGCCACGACGTTCTGCGACAGGCTCGCAGCCCACGCACCGAGCTTCCCCGTCGACGCCGCAGGCAGCGGCGGGGCGTCGGGGCGCGTGTCCCACCCGGGGGGCAGCAGGGGCCCGACGAGCGCGAAGTATATCTCCCAGAATCGAGCCTCGGACATCCCCGCACCGTCGGCGCTGGTGAGCGACCTCTGGAGCGCCGCGATCGGCGGACAGCGCTGCGCGGGTGGACGTGGGCGCCGCGGACGGTGTCAGCGAGGGGCGAGCGAGCTCTGCGGTGCGTGGGGCTGCGGGGCGCGGTGGAGCGGGCAGGGAGGTGGACGTCGCACCGCGCACCTCAAGGGCGAGCTTTGCGTGGCACTGCTGCCAGACCGACATCGTCCAGGGCGTGGCGCTGTCGCGTGCGTCGTTGCCCGCGGCGCCCTCGCGTCCGTCGGGCGCGTCCGCGGCCTGGGACGTGGCCATGCGTGCGTGCGGAAAGGAGAGGAAGGATTCCTCGGTCAAGGCGTCGCAAGCGAGGCTCAGGAGGTCCTGCGTGGCGCAGTAGTGCTCGAGCAACGCCTCCTGGCCGCTCGCGCGATCCCGGAGCGCCTGGCTGCGCGCGCGGGCGGCTGCGATGGCCTGCAAGCAGCGCACCGCGGGCCTGCTGATCGCTCGGTCGCCGAGCGCGCCTTGTTGCGAAAACAGATCACATACGAGCTTGGGAACGCAGCGGGGGCCGAGACGGCTCCGCAGGAGGTGCAGGGCCGGCGCGAGCGCCGTGATCACCGACAGATAGGTCAAGCGACGTCGCTGCGTGGCCTGAGAGGCAAGCGTGGCCCAGCGACAACGCCACACGCGTCCAAACGAGCGTCTCACCTCGTTCGTACGCTCCGCGGCCGTCCGAGTCTTCTCCTGCAGGGCGCTAGCAGCGCTGGCAAACCACCCGCCCCATCCCGCAGCTCCGCCCGCCCCAGACATCGCAGAAATCCCGCAACGGCCGGACGTGGCTCAGACGGACAAGCTGCGGGTCCACTTCAGTGGCAAAACAAGCCGCGCAAAGACACGAGCTGCGCAGCGAAGCGCTGGGAGACCCTCCAGCAGAGCACTGGGCCCGCGCCGTGCGAGCGAGCAACACCAGCACCGGAAAGAACGCCGCGTGCTCGTCAGTCGGGTTGGATCCGCGGCGTGCGCCGCGCCGGCCCGGCTGCGGCCCCATGTGCGCGCACGAGCGACTTGGAGCCAAGTCTGGTCTGACAGAGCGACGGAGGCCGCTGCGGGCGGCTTCGGGCGCCGCGTGCGCGGGACATGCGCACTCCGCTCACTAGCGCATTCGCTTCATCTCGTCTCGCGGACACCCGCAAGGTGCGAGCCTGCGCAGCAGCAGCGTCCCGCGCTCGACATTTACCCCTCGCGCCGCGCGGGGCACCGGCGCGCGCCCGCCCAAAGGAGCGTACGGCCTGGTCATTTCGCGCGTGCCCGGGCGCCCGGGGCCGCTGCCTGGCCGCGCGTTCCCGCAGATGGCCCTGGTAGTTCCCGCCCGAGCTCTCCCCGCCCGGTGCCGCGCCGTGCGCGCGACCGCGGCGCCGTGTCCGCGAGGGCGCGTACGTCGTGCTCTGAGCAGGGCCGCGCCCGCGTCCACGCGCACCTACCTGTCCGGTAGTAGTAGCTTTCGGGGCCAACGCCACTTTGCCCGACCATGAGCCCCTCGTGTCCCGCAACGCCCCCACGCGGCGCGTCCGGCTGGATATCGCGGACGTTCAGTCTTAAGGCATCCCCCGCCCGTGATGCACCCGTCGCTGGATGCGCGCAGCGGCGCGTAGCCCGCGTTGCACGTCGACCTGACCTGCAGCCCCCGTACAGTCCATCCTGGTCCCATCCACCTCCCCGCTCCCTCCCCAAAGCCCCACCCAGCTCCATCCCAGCCTCCACGCACCGCCTCGCGGCCCCGCACCCACCCCACGCGGCACGCCAGCACGTCCCTTCAACCACCTCACCACTCGCCGCCCCCGCACGCCCCCGCCCCGCACCGCGCGGCCCCCGACCCGCCCCCGCCCGCGCCCGCTCCCCGCAGAGCACCAGAGAGCGAGACCAAGATGGCCGGCGCGGGCCCCCCGATGGGCCAGTGGACCACTGGGCTGTGCGGGTGCTTTGAGGATTGCCCCACGATGTGCTACACGCTCGAGGTGCCCTGCTGCGTGTTCGGCGAGACGGCCAACATCGTGCTCGAGGACAAGGGCGCGTGCGGCTGCGCGTGCTACTACTGCCTGTGCTCGTACATTGGCCTGTGCTGCATCGCGCACATCCCCGTGCGCCAGCGCCTCAAGGAGAAGTTCGGCATCCCGGCGTCCGGCGGCGACTGCTTCGTCACGACCTTCTGCTGCCTGTGCGCGATCTGCCAGGAGGCGCGCGAGCTCAAGAACCGCGGCATCACGCGGCCGGGCATGATTGGCGCGCGTGCCACCACCACCGCGCCGCAGCAGCAGCAGGCGCAGGGCGGCGGCGGCGGCCCGGTGTACGCGGTCTAGACGCGCAGCGCTCGCCGGCCCCGCGGTCGATGCGGGTGCCCCGCGCGCGCGCCTAGCCCTAGCGGCTGCGCGCGCGGCGGGCGCGTGCATCGACGCGCTGATCTACCGCCGCGGCGAATCGGCCGCGCGTGGTTCTGTGACCTCGCATGTGCACGCACAAGGGAGACGCGGCGTCGCGCACGCGCGCATGACGACGCGTTGCGTGACTCACAGCGCGGGCAGGCGCCTGCCCGCGCTCGCAGCGCCCGCGGCCGTCCTCCGCGCCGTCAGAGCATCACCTTGCCCGCGCTGCGCCGGCTCAGGTACCCCGAGTCGACGCCGCTCTCGCGCACGAGCGCCACGCGGCCCGTGCGCGCCACCTCCAGGATGCCGTACGGCTCGAGCAGCTCCTGCAGCGCGCGCATCTTCGTCTCGCGGCCCGCGAGCTCCATCGTGATCGTCGTGGGCCCGACGTCGACGATGCTCCCCCGGAAGATCTCCGTCAGCTCGCGCAGCTCGACGCGCTGGTTCGGGGCGCACTTGACCTTGCAGAGCATGAGCTCGCGCGACGTGTACGGCGCGTCGGTCAGGTCGGTGATCTGCTCGACGAACACCAGCTTCTCCAGCTGCTTGATCAGGTTGCTGACGCCGACCATCGCGGTCGCGGGAACGACGCACGTGATGCGCGACAGGCCAGGGGTCTCCGCGTGCCCGACCGCGAGCGACTGCACGTTGAACGCGCGCCGCGCGATGACGCCCGTGACCTGGTTCAGGACGCCGGGGACGTCCTGGACGAGGATCGAGAGCGTGTGCGCCTTCGCGGCGCCCTCCGCGTCGTACGCCGTGTCAAGGATGTTGCGCGCCTTGCTCGCCACCCCCAGCTCGTCGCCACCAGCCGGACCTGCGCACGCAACATCAAGCACACACACACACCCCTCTCAGCGCTCGCGCTGCACCCTGCGCCCCGACCCGCCGCGCTCAGCGGCCCCGCTGCGCTACGCGGCGCGACCGCCCGCACCCGCGCACGGGCAGCGAGTGGTCCGCCCAAAACAGAGCTGTCCGCGCACAAATGCGTCGCGGGGGGGTTGTTCGTCCCCACCTTCGTAGATGTCTATTTTGTCCTTCTCGGTTTGCTTGACGTCCTTGGGCTGCTTCCGCGCGGAGCCCCCGCCGAGCTCCGGGTCGTTCTCCTCCTCGCCCCACCCGCCCATCTCCAGCAGCTGGTCGCCGCGCTTGAGCGAGATCTGTCCCGTGCGCGCCACCTCCGTCAGACCCAGCCCACTCACCGCCTTTTGGAAGGCCAGGCACTTCCCCGGGTCGCCCGTGACGCACACCGTCACCGCCGACGTCGTGTAGTCCACCACGTGCCCGCGGAACACGTCGATCAGGTGCAGCATCTCCTGCTTCTGCTGCATCCCCGTCACGGCCACCTTGACCATGAGGAGCTCGCGTGTCACGCGCTCGCGGTCCGTGATGTCCTCGACGTACCGCACCTTGACCAGCTTGCGGATCTGCCGGCACAGGTTCTCCACCACGGAGTCGGACCCTGCGAGAAGGCGGCGCAGCGACGCGATGAACATCCTGTTTTGATATTTCATGTCTCGGCACGTGGTCGTGTGTCGGTCTCGTCGCGCGCTGCGGCGCGGTGCGGCCGACCTGTCGTGACGATCGTGAACAGGGCCTTGTCGAGGTTCAGGCCGACCGCCAGCGACTCGATGTTGGCGCCGCGGCGCGCGATGACGCCTGCAACGCGGTTAATGAGACCCTGCTCGTCCGCCACGAACACCGAGATGGTGTGCTTGCGCTCGCCCTCGTCGAGGAGGCGCGGCTCGGACACGTACACGTCGTACGTCTCCTTCTGCGCGGCGGGCCGGGCCCGGAGAGGAATGTGTGTGGGAGCAGGACGACGGAGGGCGCGTGGCGGTGTGCGTGTTGGGCAGGAGCGCGCTGGGACGGGACGGACCGGCTCTTCCTCCTTCGTTGCCGCGGGGGAGTTGTTGTCTGGCGATGCGGCGGCCACGGGAGCGCGCCGCCGGATCGCTCGGTTGGTGGAAGGCGTGCGCAGCGCGCACGGAGCCCTAGCCCGCCCCACGGCGATCCGCGCGCCTGCGTGCGCGCGGGGGTAGATGCGGTTAGCGGGCGCCCAATGTGCGGATTCGCGCGGGCGGAACCTCGTCCTGGTGGACGGTGCGTGCGGCGGCCGCAGGAGGCAGAGCCTCCGTTTTCCGCGTCTCTGTGCGCCCGTGCCGGAAGGTGACGATGCCAGGGCAACAAACAGGCTCGTAACGCGCGGCGCGGGCCATAGCGTAGGCGTTTACTTCAACTACGAGCCCAGGGCGCATCAAACACCTTGCTGACAGAGTCTCGCGGGCGCCAGCGGCTCGCACTGCGCCGGGGCCACGCGGAGGGCGCATCAGGAGCATGCTCGCAGCCTCGTGCGTGCGTCCGCGGCACGTACCTTGCAGCCGCGCCACGGTCGCCCCCCGCATCCTCACGATTGATGCCACGAGCGCCACCACGCGCGCGCCCGCCTCCCGCGGAACTGGAGCGCGAACGTTACCCGCGGGCGACCCTCTCACCAAGACAGCCTCGCAGCCGTCCGCGCGCCCGAGTCCTGAGCGAAACTGACCCCGCCACGCCCCGGGCGACGCCCACATCTCACGGATCACAGCGCAACCAACTCACAGTATTTCAGAGTTCAACTCCACCTACTATGTCGTGTCTGACATAGTAGAGCGCGGCCGCGTCACGCGGGCCGCCGCGGCCCGCTCACTCCTTCGGCGCGCTGTTCTGCGAGGGCCCGCAGCGCTCGACCATGGTCTCGTAGAGCTGCTTGCCGTTGAAGATGACTGGGAAAAAGTGGATCTGACCCTCCGGCTTCGTCTGCGTCTCCTTGAAGTACACCAGGACCGGGAACCCCGGCCACCAGAGCTCCCAGTTGACGAACGAGTCGTACCTGCGCCGGAGCGGGGGGCGGCTGCGCGTCGGGCCACCAGGCGAGGGCACAGCGCTGCGGCCAGCACCAGAGCTGCGGACGCGGGCGCTCACTTCCACCGGTTCTGGCCCCCGACGAACGCGTTCTCCGACTCCTCCTGCTCCTCACCGATCACCACCTCCAGCGCGTCCTTCTCGAACCGGAACTTGACCCTGCGCAAATTAACACCAAATACCAAACGAATAAACAAAAAACTAACAATCACCACCAGTCGATATCAAGAGCGTATGTGCCGCGCTGAACGGCGCGGCAGAGGCGCGTTCGGTATGTGTGGCACGGGGGCGCGTCGAGGGCCGCACCGCGTCGCCTGCAGCGCGAGGAACGCCCCGAGGAGGCCGAACACGCCGCCGCCGGCGTTGTTGCCGGTGGCGAAGGAGACGCCGGCGAGGGCGCCGAGCGCGGCGGGCAGACGGAAGTCCGGGTCGGGGATGACCGTGTCGCCCTTGGCGGCGCGCGCGCGCACCGCGGCGCGGCGCGGAGAGACGGCGTGGCGCGTGTGCTGCCTCGTGAGCGCGCGAGGGCCTGCGAGTTCGCGGAGCGCGCGGGACGGGTGTCGAGGCGGCGCGTCACCGATGCGGGTGTGCGTCCGTCGATGAGCGTGGTCGGGACAGCCGCGCAGGGGCGGCCTGAGGGTGAGTGCGCTGTGTTGGGGGCAACGGTGCTCTCCGCGGCTCGCAGGAGCAGCCGGGCGAGGTATGCGTCAGCGCGCTCGAGTCTCTAAGTGGCTTGAGCTCGGTTTCTGTTAGTTTCGACCGACATCGCCGCGCGCGCGGCGCAAATTGACGTGCGTCCACAGCACCAACCAGGTGCAGCTGTCCGCGCCGGCGCCACGCGGGCTCCACCGCGGCGATCTTGTCGTCGACGAGCTCCGAACTACGCCGTGCGGCGCGCATCGCGGCTCACCTGCCAGGCACGTCGCAGGAGACGCGACGCTCTTCATCTTGTTCACCAAAGGCTCTCTTCGCGAGGCGTGCGGCGATGCGCGGTCGCTCGAATGCCGTGTGCCAGGCGTCGCCTGCTCCAGCTCTTGGCGCGTGGACGCGGCAGCAGTTCGCAACGGCGTGCGCGAGGCCGGGGAGGACTCTGGGTATGATTGCCTGGCAAGGTGCGCGCGCGGCGGGGCCGAGGGGCGAAGGTGACCGCCTGAGCGGGACACTCTGTGCCCTGCCTAGCGGCCCGCGTGCCACAGGACTGCGCTGCGGGGCTCTTTCGGCCTCCAGGGTGTAGGGACTGAGTACGTGTGCCAAGGGAGGCGCGCAAGCCACCCGTGGGCGGCGGGTGAGCCCGGCTTGATCGCGCAGGTCCGGCGCAGGCGTTCGGGGATTGGACTGAGGGCTGGGCGCGTGCGTGGTAGGGGCAGCGGGGCGGGTGCTGGTGTGGGCGGCGAGGCAGACGGTGCAAAATGAACTCGCAGATGCTGCCAGGGACCGCGCTGGCGGGGCTGACTGCGCGGTTCTCTCTGGACGGCGAACACCTCGCCGTGCTCACGGACGACGGGCGGTTGAGGCTGTACGACGCAGGTACGCATCGCCAGCCGCCCAGGTGCTTGCCAGCGTCGCTCGCTGTGTCGAGAGCGCGTGAAAGGGCCCTGCGCGCGCCTGAGGGGATGTTCGCGAAATGTATCGGCCAGCGTTGATCAGGGAGCGGGCTGTCCGTGCCGCAGCCGGCCTCATTTCCGCACGAGCGGCTGCGATGACTCCGAGGCCTGGCTCCCTCGCCACGCGCAGCCGGTGATCGCCCTGCCGCGAATCTGGCGTCTGGAAATCGAAAGGGAGGCGCCACGGCCAACGGACACTCCGCGCAAGAGCACACGTGCCTTGCCTGGGGCGCTGTTCAGGCGAAGCGGGGCCGCTCGAAAAAAGCAGCCAACCCTTCCGCACATATTCTGGCCGTCGGGACGTCCTCGGGCGACGTACAAGCGTATGACGCCGCCAAACAGGAGCCTCTTTGGCGCGCGCGGGAGTGCAACGACGGGTGCGGAGCACCGCCACACTCTCGCCCAGAGCGCCGGCCGACGGCCGGTCTGCGCCATATACGACGGCTCTCGCGCGTCCCCGTACCACGCCCAAGCCACCCACCGCGCCGCGCTTTCCGCCCATCTCACCCCCCTCCCTGAGGCCGCTTCTCGCACTCCCGGCAGCGGCACGGGCTCTCGCGCGCCCGCGGGCGCCTGCGTCGTCTTTCCCATGCATCCACCCGCGCTACCTCCAAGCTGCGATGCAACCCACGCCGCCACATTCCCTCGGCGTGCCCTCGCCTGACCGTCCCGCGCGCCATCCCCTCGCATCACAGGGGAGTCGCGTGCCTCGCGTACTGCCACGCGGACGGCGGCATGTTCCTCACGTGCGGCCCGGACGCGAGCGTGTGCGCGCTGGAGGCCGCCACGGGCAACGTGGCCTTCCGCATCTCCGCGGGCAAGTCGGCAAAGCTCACGTGCGTCGCGGCGTCGCCCGACGGCGAGCGCGTGTTCGCGGCAGCGTCGGACGTGCGCGTCCTGTCGCGCGACGGCACGAAGACCGCGAAGTTCTCCGGGCACGAGGCGGGCGTCACCGCGATAGCCGCGAGCCCGTGCGGCCGGTATGTGTTTACGTCGGGGCGCGGGGACGCCCAAGTGGCGGTGTGGGACGCGGGGGCGGCGAAGAAGAAGAGCAGAGGGAAGGTGCTGAAGCTGTTGGATCTGCCGGACGCGGGGGCGGTCGCGCTGGAGTGCGCGGAGGTGGCGAAGGGGGCGTTCGTGCTGTGTGCGGTGGCCGCGGCGGGGCAGGCCGCGGCCTGGGCGTGCACGAGCGCGGGGGGCGAGCTGCGCTGCTCGCCGCTGGTGGTCGTGCGCGTCGGGGGCGCGCAGGACAAGGGAAAGAAGGCCGGGGCGGAGGACGTCGTCATGGCGGCACACGCCAGCGGCGACAACGGTGCGGCTCCCGGCTCCCGGCTCGCGACGCACTCGAGCGCCTGCGTGGCTCGTTCTGCACGCGCACCGTGCGGTGAGAAAGCAGCGTCTCTTTTCCCGGCTGGAGGCCTGTCAGCGCCACGCTGGACGTAACCCGCTGCGACAACAGCGCCCCGCTCCGGCTCCTCGCGCGCGCTGTCTACCCGCGCATCTGCCGCGCAGACATCCTGGGCCGGACGGGCACACACCCCGCGCCACCTCCCTCCACTCCCTTTGCAATCCGTGCCACGCCAGATACGTTTCCGAGTCTTGCGTTCCACCGCTCCCCACCCGACTCCCGCGCACCGCCCGCTCGCCCACCGCGACCCCGCGCTGCGCCAATTCAATGCAGTGCTCGTCGCGCGCGGCAGCGCGCTCCGCCCGTCCTTCCAGCGAGTACCCATCGACACCGGCGACGCCGGTGACTCCCCCCGGGTAGTGGAGCTCCCGCGACAGAAGGGCGGCGCGCTCCTGCCCGGCAAGGGCGGCGCAGACGTCGCAGCGGACAACAAGGGCCGCTCCCTGAAGCCGACCGGCACCGTCCTCGGTCCTGACAACCTGGGCGAGGCCGTCGCAGTGCGTCCGGGCGGCAAGCGCAAGGCGCGCGGCGACGCCGCCGGCGACGACGCGGAGCCGCGCGGCGCGGAGGAGATGGACGTGGACGCGGACGGCGCGGACGGGCAGACTCTCGAGGAGCGCGTAGCTGCGCTGGAGCTGGCGGCAGCCGGGGGAGTTGCACCCGAGGCGGAGGGGTCTCCCGAGGGCCCCGCGACGATCAAGGCGGACTCGCTCGTCGCGCTGCTCACGCAGGCGCTGCGGGGCGGCGACAAGGCGCTCCTTGAGCGGTGTTTGAGTGTCGGGAACGAAAAAATCATCACCAACACGGCACGGCGGCTGTTGCCGGTGGACGCGGCCGCGTTCCTCAAGGCCGCGCTCGAGCGCCTGCAGGTGCGACGCCGCCCGGCCGCGCGGGGCGCGCTGCGTGGCCGCTGAGGAGTGCATGTTTTGCACGTCAGTCCGATTGCCGTCGCAAGCACGCGCGGTGTATCCGTGAGGACCTGAAGCGATTTCTGAGGCCGCAGACGACGCTCCGCGCGACGTCGCTCGCGCCCCTGCACCCTGTCCGCGCGCCAACCCCCCCCCTTGGTTCTCCCACACCTCCCCCGCAGACCCACCCGAAGCGTGCCCCCCAGCTCGTCAGCTGGATCCGCGCGACCCTCCTGCACCACGCGGGCTACCTGATGACGGCCCCGGCGGCGCAGGCGCCGCTTGCGTCGCTCTACCAGACCATTGAGGCGCGGGCGCGGCATTACCGGCAGCTGTTGGCGCTGCAGGGGCGGCTGGACCTGCTCGTCGCGCAGATGCCCAAGGCCGGGCAGTCGCACGCGGCGACGCTGGAGGAGGCGTTCGGGGGCCCCGCGCCGCACTTCGTGGACGACGCGAGCGACGGCGAGGGGGGTGCTGGGGAGGGGAGTGACGAGGAGGAGGAGGAGGAGGAGGAGGAGGAGGCGGCGGACGGGATGGCTGGCGGGGAGGAAGAGGAGACGGAGAGCGACGAGGAGCTGAGCGAAGATGCGGACCACGACCAATAGCGGCGCGTGTGACGCTTGTACGTGGCTCGCCGGCGAGGTTGGCTGTCCGGAATCGCGCGGACCAGGGCCGGGCTCCGCGTGCTGTGGACGGGGCGCGGCCGCCGAGTCGGGCCCGGCGGCGCACAGGGCGGTGCGCGGACATGAGGGTGCGAGCACAACCCTGGCGTTGTGCCTCGGGGGACCTGGGATTCAGGCGATAGATCGACCGGTGCGAGGTCTACTTGGACGCGACGGTCGCGGATGGAGCTGTCTGAGGTCGCGAGGGCGGCGCACCGCCACGCAGTGTGTGACTGACAGCAGGGAGTCGTGTTGACCCTCGTTCCGCGTCATAACCGCGCCGTCGCGGCGGGGAGTGCAGTCGCCGTGCCGTCTGACACGTTGCAGTCGCCTCGCGTCCAAGCCTTGACAGCTCGCATTTCGACGACGTCGTCCGAAGCGGCTTCATAGTCGGAGAGCTTCGATCGGGATGCAGCGCACTGCGGCGATGACCGGGGCAGCGGCGCCCTGCCGGGGATCGCGAATCGGCAGCAAGTCGCACAACGGCGGCCGCCAGCTCGCCATTGCGCGTCCTGCGCGCGGCGCTGCCGTGGCTCGGCAGGGCCTCAAGGTGACCCCGCTCCGCCGCACGCGGCCCCGGCGCCGCCTCCCCGCGCCCACGCCCCGAATGCGACCAATTCATGCCACCCTACCGTTCGCGCCCATCCCCTCACACCCCCAACGCGCCCCCCGCCTCCGCTCTCAGGTCGTGGCCAAGGACTTCCCTAAGCCAGCGTTCGAGACCGCCGGCACCTTCGTCGAGGCCCAGGACCTCTCCTCCTCGCTCATGCAGGCGCCCCGCCCCGTCGAGCCCAAGCGCGTCATCATCGCCGGCGCCGGCCTCGCCGGCCTGTCCACGGCCAAGTACCTGGCCGATGCAGGCACGCCCTGGGCCACCCTGCCCCGGGCCCTCCCGACCACGCCCGCCCTCCCTGCCGCGCGTTCCCCGGCCCCAGGCCTTCCCCGACCCCCCGGCTCGCGTTTCCCTGGACCGGCCCGGCCGTTCGGCGCCCGCAGCCGCCGCAGCGGCGCGCCTGCTGCGCGGCCAGTGCGGTCATCGTGGGCGTATGCGGCGCCGCCGCGCAGATGTGGGTGCAAGTCTTGGGATTCGCGCTCACCGCTGGTCTGCGCGGCGATCCCCGTGGCGACGCAGGGCACAAGCCGGTGGTTCTAGAGGCGCGGGACGTGCTGGGGGGCAAGGTGGCGGCATGGAAGGACGAGGACGGGGACTGGTACGAGACGGGCCTGCACATCTTCTTCGGCGCGTACCCGAACATGATGAACCTGTTCAAGGAGCTCGACATCGAGGACCGCCTCCAGTGGAAGGTGCGCGCCCTGCGCGGCCGCGCCGCACGCTGAGAGCACCTGCGGCTGCCTGCGCGGCCCCCGCACGATGCGCGCGCAATCGACCCCGAAGCGCCTTCTCCTCGATTGGTCCTGCAATGTCCCGGCGCGCGCGGCGCGCTCGCGGCCCGACCCGCCCGCCCGCGCACCCTCAGCCCCTCACCTTGCCACCGCCTCGTCGCCGCGCCGCGCCCCCGCAGATGCACTCGATGATCTTCGCGATGGCGAGCCAGGGCAAGCCGGGCGAGTTCTCGCGCTTCGACTTCCCGGACCTCCCGGCCCCGCTGAACGGCATCGTGGCCATCCTGCGGAACAACGACATGCTCACGTGGCCGGAGAAGATCAAGTTCGCCATCGGGCTGCTCCCGGCCATCGTCCTGGGCCAGGAGTACGTCGAGGCGTGCGACAAGTACACCGTCACCGAGTGGATGGACAAGCAGGGCGTCCCCCGGCGCGTCAACGACGAGGTCTTCATCGCCATGGCCAAGGCGCTCAACTTCATCGACCCGGACGACCTGTCGATGACGGTGGTGCTGATCGCGCTGAACCGGTTCCTCCAGGAGACGCACGGCAGCAAGATGGCGTTCCTGGACGGCGCGCCCCCGGAGCGCCTGTGCCAGCCCATGGTGGAGCACATCAAGAGCAAGGGCGGCGAGGTCATCATGAACGCGCGGCTGAAGAACATCCTGCTGAACGACGACAACACCGTCAAGGGCTACGAGCTCACGAACGGCGAGGTCATCACCGGCGACGTGTACACCTCGGCCATGCCCGTCGACATCCTGAAGAAGCTCACGCCCGAGCCGTGGGCGAAGCAGCGGTTCTTCTCGCAGATGGAGGGCCTCAAGGGCGTGCCCGTGATCAACATCCACATCTGGTTCGACCGCAAGCTCACCACGGTCGACCACCTCCTCTTCTCCCGCTCGCCGCTGCTGTCGGTCTACGCCGACATGTCGACGACGTGCAAGGAGTACGAGGACCCGGACAAGTCGATGCTCGAGCTCGTCTTCGCGCCCGCCGAGGGCTGGATCGGCAAGTCGGACGAGGAGATCATCGAGGCCACCATGGCGGAGCTCGAGCGCCTGTTCCCGACCGAGATCAAGGCGGACCAGTCGAGCGGGGCGCAGATCCGCAAGTACAAGGTCGTGAAGACGCCGCTGTCGGTGTACAAGACGACGCCCGGGTGCGAGGACATCCGCCCGAGCCAGCGCACGCCCATTGAGAACTTCTACCTGGCCGGCGACTTCACGAAGCAGCGGTACCTGGCGTCGATGGAGGGCGCGGTGTACAGCGGGAAGCTGTGCGCGGCCGAGGTCGTGAAGGACCACAACCCGGGCAAGGCCTCGGCGAAGTCGGATGCCAAGCAGCCTGCGGCTCTGGCGGCGTGAGCAGTGGCGGTGGGGCGAGTACGGGGTGGATACCTCTGCGCAGGGTGCAGTGGGCTCTCGTGTGATGTCGACGAGAGACAGGGACGGCGAATCGCGATGGCTGGGGCCCACGCAAGGCGCTTACGCTGCGTTGGCGTCGTCTCGCCGCTGCCCTGCGCTGCGCACGGGCGCCGCGCGCGGATCGAAGTGCGGACGTAGATCGCATGCAATGGCACGCCGCGCGTGGCTGACTGCGGGCTATCGCCTCACTGCGTGACATCTCATCGAGCCTAGGTGCCCAACACGGCTCACTCGTTGAGCTCAAGGGCGGCCCTCGGCCCACGGCGGCCGCGATCGCTCCGCCGCCCGCGCTCCCGCGGCCCCGCTCGCCCTCTTTGCACCTGGCGCCTCCGCCTCCCCCTCCGCCCCCGCCTGCGACGCGGGCGACGCGTTGCTCGGCCGCCGCTTGAGCGGCGCGCGCCGCGTCGCAGCCCGCCGCTTCTCCGACGACGGCATCGCTCCAGCCTGCTGCGCCCGCTGCCCGCGGGCCGCCGCGGCCTTCGCAGCCGCCTGCGCCGCCGGTCCGAGCTTCGCGGCACCGCCATGCGCGGGCACGACGCCGTCCCCGGTGGCGGCGAGCGGGCGCGTCTTCAGGAAGCGGCCCAGCGCCGTCGCGATCGGCCCGTGCACGATCGCGCGCTTCTCCGTCGCGTTCATGCTGTACCAGCGCTTTCCGTTGACCATGTACGGGATCGATATGACTGTCCAGCCGCGCTGAGTCAGGTCGCGGTCCCGCAGGATCGTCCCGCCCATGAGCCGCTTGACGTCGTTGCGCATGAAGTGCAGGTGCCCGTCCGGCTCGATCGCCAGCCGCAGGCCCTCGAGCGCCGTGCCCGCGCGCCCCATCACCGCGATGTCGATCGAGCGCACGGGGAGGCCCGACTCCGTCTCGAGCAGCTCGACGACGCAGCTGACGTCCTCCGCAACGCCCAGGGCGCGCAGCACCTTGAGCACGTGGTAGTGCACCGCGACTTGCATGGCGCTGATCGTCACGTTCCCGACGCTGGCGCGCTGGTCCGGGAACTCGTCCCCGCTGGCCATCGCGTCCTCGTACGACTGCAGCGCGGCCTCCGCCGTCTCGACCGACTCGAACCGCGTGCGGCTCGCCTCCACGCGCATGTAGCCATTCCAGTAGTTGAACATTGTGTCGCGGAGGTCGTCCGAGACCGTCGCGCGGACGATCGGGTTCACCGCTGCAGGGGGCGTGCGCGAGCGCAGCGGCGTGAGTGCAGGGCGGGCGTCGGCGATGGGGGTTTGTATCGTGCGCGGGCACTGAGGGGCCCGTGGCGCACCGTAGACCATGGCGAGGGACCCGAGCGTCTCTGCGAAGATGCCCTGGCTGTTCTTGTGGCAGTCGTTGACGTGCCCGGTCACCTCCTGCCACCACTCGGCGTTGCGGAAGTCGAGCACCGCCGCCGCCCACATCACGTTGAGCAGGTGCTGCGGCATCATCACGTCGTCGCGGTCGTCCCTCACCTCGCGCCGCTGCGTATCCCCCTGCACGCACGCGGGCACCCGCCGCGCCGCATCGCACGCAGAACGACAAGCACACACGCGCAGCAGCGTCGCACGTATGTCGCGGCCGGCGCCTCACCGTGCGGAACCTGCGGACCACCTCCCACGCCCCCTTCTCGAACACCTCCTTCGGCGGCCGGTGCCCGAGAGAGCCCCAGGTGTACATCGTGTTGCTCAGCGTCTGCCAGTTGGACACTGGCAGCAGCTCGTCCGCAATCTGCGCGTGCCGCACCAGGAGGTCCTCCGGCGGGAGGTACCGCAGTTTCGCGAGCGCCCAGAGCGAATTCGAGATGCCCTGCGCCCGGTACTGCTCGAGCCTGTCGCACATGTCCTGCACAAACACCTCCATCACTCGGTCGCTCGGCGCGAACGCGATGGTCGCGCAGGCCCAGAGGCAGTTGCTCACGCCCTGCGTGGTGATCTTGCGCCGGATGCGGTCCTTGACGACGAGCCCGAGCAGCGCGTCCACCTCCTTGTGGGGAATGTACGTGTCGGGGTCGATTGTGAAAAAGGTCGCAACCGACCACAGGACGTTCGAGACGCCGTGCGCCGTGTGCGTGTTGAGGTGGTCCTCCGACGTCGCCCGCGCCATCATCCGCGCCAGCACCTCCGAGTCGATGCGGTACCCGCACGTCGCCATCCCCCACAGGGTGTTGCTCAGGCCCTGCGAGGTCGACTTGAGCACCTCCGGCAGGCCCTTCTCGCTGCAGATCGCGTCGAGCGTCTGCTGCACCATCGGGTCCTTCACGGTCAGCCCCATCGTCCCCAGCGCCCACACAATGTTGGACAGCCCCTGCGGCATGAACTGCGAAACGTCGGTGATCACGGCCTGCATGGTCGCCTCGGCCACGCCCCGCTCCCTCCGACGCGCGATGCCGAGCTTGGCCATGCCCCACACCGCGTTCGCCCACGCCTGCGGGATCACCTGTCCGCTCCGCGTGTCGTGCATCTCCTGCGCGGGCGCGAACGCAGCGGCGGTGGTCGGCAGCGGAGCGGCCGCGCTGGGCTACGTGTGGCGAGCTCGTGCGTTGCGGCCGCGCGACCGAGCCACGCGGGGGCGACCGGCGGTGGGCGGTGGGCCCTGCGACGCGCGACGACGCACCACGAGGAGGTCGAGCATCTGCTCGATGCCCTTGACGGCGTGCCCGAGGTGCCCGTCGGGGCGCAGGAGCTCCTCGGCGTCCGCCCGCATCGCGGCGGTCTCGTAGAGGCGCCCGGCGCCCCACACGATGTTTGTGATGCCCTGCGGCATGAGGAGCTTGTCGCCGTCGCCGAGCGGGTTGGTGTGGCGCTCCACGACCGTGTGCGTGAGCTCCGCCACCGCCCTCAGGCCCCGGTCCCACCACGAGCGCGACAGGCGCCCGCCGCCCTTGCACAGCAGCACACACCACCCGCGGATCGTCGTGCAGCGGTGAATCTGGTTGAAACGGTGCCCAGCCGACGCATACAGCCTGTCTATCTCCTCAAGCGCCTCGTACAGGTCCTCCTTCCGCGTCACCCTGCGATAACCGCCAGCAACAGAACTCCATGCTTCACCGGACCCGTCAACGGCGGGGGCGCGCACGCGTTCGATGCAGAGGGCGGCGAAGCGGGAAGACGCCGCTCCATGCACTTCGTCGGAGCGCCGTTCCGCGCGCAAGCGGACACGAGCCGCGAGCGGTTGGGCCCGCCTGGTGCCTGGCCGTCGCGTTGCGCCGCGACACCGTGGGCCCCGCAAGGCACTCGGCCGCCATGGCTCTCACGTCTGCATGCGTGCCGTCGCGCTCGGGATCCGAAACGGCCCCCAGCGCGTCGGCGCAGCTGCTGTAGCGGCGGAAGCCGTGCACTGCTCTCAATGGCAAGCACGCGGCGGGCTGCGCACTTGTTCAGGTGGTAGGTCAGCAGCTTGTCCGACATTGTAGCCGGGTCCTTCCCTTCGCTGTCAATTTCCCCATCAGACCCCGCATCCCGCTCTGGAGCGCTGCCTCTGGCGTCGCTGCCTGCGTCCTCATGCTGCGTGGCGCCCGCACGCGTCTGTCGCGGCCCCGGACGATCATCCAGGGGCCCGATACGAAAGACCGTCAATCGATCGACACGGTGCGCCACTGCACAGCGCCGCACGCTCGCCGCAGCGGCGCGGCATGCGCGATAGTGCAAACGTGGCGCTGGGCCGACCCCGCGCAGCGCCAGCGGGCGAGCACGCCGCCTGTCGAGGGCGGAGGCCACGACGCAACTCTGGTGGGCACACAAGGGCGACGCCATCTCGGCTCAGCCCGCCCCTGGGGCCGCCGACCCGGCCCCTCGCGAGAAAAGTGGCCACGGACGTCACCTCCTCCCAAGTGACAGTCAGGCCCAACGCAGCGCCGCTCAGGCGGACAAGCGGCATCCGATTGACCGCTGAGCGCGTGAGCGGGCGCTGAAGATGGGGGCTCCGGCCCCGACGACAGGGGGGGTCGTTTGCTGACACGGGGGGGGAAGTCACGGTGCAACACGAAGCACACGGGCGCGGCCCGCGACGCCGCGACGGCTCCGCTCGGCGCCGACCCGCACCCGCGCGCCCGGGCGTCGGTGCGCCGGCCGAACGGCGCAGCGCGCCATGCCGCCACATCGCACGGCAAGGCCACGCGCGCCGGTTCCTCAGGCCGCGACGCGCGCGAGCGAACCACGCAGCGCGCATGCGTGGCCGGGGCCGCCTCAAGCGGACGTCGCGGGACGTCGCTCGCACGCCACCGCGCACTACGCACTACATGCCCCTTGATTCGCCGTTCGCTGCTGACCTAACGTCTTACAAGGTGCTACGTCGTGCTAGAGCAGCGCTAGCTGGCGGCCTCCGCGCCCGCGGCCTCCTCCAGCTCCTGCATGGGGTTGGCGGCCGGCCCCGCGGCGTCCGCTGCGACTAATCGCTTGATCTCCTGCGCACCGGGGAGGGGCGCGGGGCGCGGGCGTCAGCGCGGGGACACGGGCGAGGGCTTCCGCGTGGCTGCACGGCCACGTCGTCGCGGCCGAGCGGCCGGCCACGCGTGCGGCGCTGGTGAGGCCGGGAACAGCGCGGGAGGAGACGGTGCTGCTCCGGGCTGTGCGTGACGCGGGAGGTCTGGGAGCTGTGCGTTCGCGGGGCATCGAGCGGCCCCGTGCGCGGGGCGCGTGGGGCCGGCTGTCGCACCTTTTCCTGCAATTGTCGCTCGTACCAGCTGTCTGCGTCGGCCCAGACAGGCTGGTGGCTGACTCCCTTCTCCCCGCCCTTGATCTTCGCCGGGAGCGCGTAGTTGCAGCGCAGGACGCGCCCCTGCAGCTCTGCACGGCGAGAAACGCGGCAGGGTGTTTAAGACCGCACTCCGCGGCGCCACCCACGCCGCAGCTCCGCGCGCCGTGCAACCTGGAACGTGTCAACCACTCTCCGTTCATCGCGGTCCCGGGACAGGACGCGCTGCCCGCGCCCCGCTCGCCCCAGCGGCCAGCTGCCTCCTCCGGGCACTCACCAGCGTTGTGCATGTTGTAAATCGCCTCCGCGGCGTCGTCCTTGTCGATGTACTCCACGAACCCGAACCCCCGGTGCTTGCCCGTCTGCGGGTCGATCGGGATGTTGACGTCCTTGACGTCCCCGAACGGAATGAAGGCCGCGTGCAACAGCCCCTCGTTCACCGACTCGTCGAGCCCGCCAACGTACAGCGTCGTCTTCGGGTTCGAGCCCTTCCCGCTGGTCGTCACGAGCGTCGACTCCATGCCGGCCCAGGGCCGCACGTGGCCCGCACGAGGCCCTCAGCACCGCACGCTGTTGCGCCCCCGACCAGCGCCGCGTCGTCGCGCGTGCGCCTCCGAGGTGGCGGGCTGGCGCGCTCACGGCATGCGCGTGCACACTGTGCCGGCCACTGCGACGGGACGCCCCGCGAGGCCCGCTGCGGTGCTCAGAGAGACACTTTGCTTCTACTCTTGCTACGGCGGTCGTGCGGCACCCCCCCCGGCCCTGCGGCGGCGTTAGGAGTCCGAGCGCGGCGTCGCGGGCAGAAGCTCGCGAGTGGAACGTGATACCCACACGCGGAGGCAACGTTGGCCGGCACACCGATGAGGGGACGAGCACGCATCTGCCTGGTACAGCGTCGCGGGCAACGGAACGTGGAGAAATTCGCGACGCATTGAGTTGTCGTGGTAATATGGCGCAAAGCTTGAGCGCCAGAGGCCGGCTGCTGTCGTCATCGACGGAGGTGCGCCCCTCCCGGAGGCTCGCGTCACGATGTGCCGCCCGTGGCACGTTGAGGGCGGGTGCGGGGCCGTGCGCGCCCCCCGAGCGCATCAGTCACGTCGCGAGGTGGCAAACGCGCACGTCGCGGACACGCGCCTCCGGCGACGCGGAACGAGCAGAGGCGAGGACGATTCGCCGTGCCGGAGGGGCGTGGCAACCTCGAGTTTTCGGCGTGTCGACCGCACAAGCGACGTCGACATGGGCGAGAATGCCGCCGGCGCAGCATCGGGCACATCGGCCGCTCTGCGGGCGATCCTGGCCCGCTTGTTTCCGTTGGCACCCGTCACCTCGCTGTAGCTTCGTCTGGCCTTGCAAGCCGTTTGTATTCCGCACACGGGGTCGCTTAGTACACAAAGTGGCAATGGCGCACAGATTCATGGCGCCTCGCTGCGCATGAACGGAGGAACAGAACCATCACGGAGCACGGGTGGCGCGCTGCTCCGTGAAGGGCTCGTGCGCAGTGTTTATCAACGCGTGCGCCGCACCATTCGTATATAAATCTCAAGACGCCGGAATGCGTGTCTGAACGTGTGCGAGCGGACCGCAAGAGCCGTCCTTCCCCTTGCGGTGGCTTGCAGGGTGATAGCGAAGTGGCGCAGCCGGTGCGCGATCCCGCCCAGTCGAACAATACCTTCTTGACTTCACCTTCCGTCGGCGCCGACTCGACAGCCGCGGCGCCCCCCAGCCGGGCCGGAACGGGCAACCCGACGACCGACCACGAGTGGCAGGCAAAGCAGGTGCGGGGCGACCCCAGAGAGCGTGTTTGCGACGGCTCTGCGTCATTCCGAATCATTTCATGCGACGGAGCGGCGCGGGGCGCCGAAGAGGCCCGCACGAGTCCGCACCGCGCGACCGCGCGAAAAAAAGCGGTTGGCCCCTTTCCGGGCGTGCACTGGCGCGCATGCGCACGGAAACCGATCTTTCCGACCCTCACGTGCTCTTCGTGTTTTTTCGCTCCCGGAAACTCCGCAGTACGTCGACAGTCTGACTCTCCACGACGCGGAAGACGAAGTGCTCGATTACGCGAGCCCACCTGCTCCAGCGCCCGGCGTAGAGCACTGGGGCCCGGCTTCGCCCGCGGTACTGCAGCCACCTGCTGCGGAGGCGCCACCAAGCGTCGGCCCGGGCGGCTGGATCGCGCACGAGGACGGCCCGAGCCTCGCGCAGCTGATGCGCATGGCCGGTCACGCGACGCACGCCGGCGACCTGGGCGCCGTCATCCGCGGCGTCTGCGCGCACCCGGCGACGGGCCTCGCCAGCCGAGCGGAGCTGACGGCCGCGCTCGACGAGCTCGAGGCTGGGCGCTGCTCCGTCGAGGACGCGAAGAACGCGCTCATCACCAGGCAAGAACCCGCCCGCACCGGTCCCGCACGCAGCGCCGCGCCGCCCGCGCGGTCGCCGCTTACCACGGCGACGCACCGTCTGGCTGTGCGTGCAGTCTGGCGACCCGGCCGCAGGCGAACGGGGTGCCGGTGACGCCGGTGAAGCACGTGGTCCCTCGCTCGCGGGGGCTGCGCGACGCGGACGGGCACGCGGCCCGCAGACTCGACATGGCGTCCGCGGCCGGCGGGCCGCACGCGGAGGCCCACGCGAGGGTCAGGGACTTTTTCGCGGCCCGCAGCGGGCGATAGATCCAGGTTGGCACAGGATGCGTCGCCCCGCACGCAGGCGGTCAAGAACCAGCGCGCCGCGCCGCCCCCGCCGCCGCGCGGGGCGCTGAATGCAGTGCCCGCCCGGGGAGCGGCGCGGCGCCAACGAACGCGTCGAGCCGAAGGCCCCCGCCCCCCACAAGAGGCACACCACAGTCCACACCCACCGGCGATGCTATGGACATATTCCGATCGCCACCTACTACCGACTCGGCCGGCTCCGCGGTGGGAATGAACCAGATTGGATGGACGAACCAACCGTTGACAGCCCAATCACACCCTTGACGCCCCCCGCCCCCCATGTTGCCACGGTCGCGAACAGCGCGGCGCCGGGCCTCCAAGAAGTGCGCCGGGACTACCTGCGAGGCTCTAGATCGATCGAACAAACGCGGGTGCACCTGGAACGTGACCCGTGCATGCTCGCGCTCCTCGGAAGCTTCTTCCTGCGGCCTATACTCTCTAGCTTGCCCCCCGTTGGGGGAGCCGCCGCCGGCACTGACGCGCCCACGCGGCGGCGTCCCGGCACCGCAGCGATGCTGCCCCCTCCCCCCAACTGCACGCACGCCGATCACTGACGCCAGTCTTGTTTAGCAGAGATGTCGCTTGTTGCTCAACGCCCCCACCGGCGCCCCCCCCGCCCTTGCCTTCCATCTCAATCGCCAGACCATCACACAGCCTCCCCTCCCTACTCCGGCTCGTCCTGGGAGCAACCTGGGAGTCTACCATGCCCATGCTGCCAAGCACTCAGAGTGCCACTTTGGGTCTACTACTGTTGCTCAATCCTGCCCAGCTTGCACCTGGACCCTCCCGCCCCGTCCCCCAGCCCCTTCACCGCCCTCTCACCGCGCGCCCAATCGCATTCAATTGATTCTCGCGACATCAAGACGCATCGGCCCTTGCGACGGGCCTCCTGCGCAGACGGAGCCGCTCACGCCGCGGATCCCTGCGCCCTCGCAACCTGTTGATGACCACGCCTGGCGCACCGACGTCCGGGCCCCCTTCGCGACTAGGTGCACGCCCAGCGACGAACATGTTGGGCCAGGCTCGGCCGAACGCTGCGGCCGGCTCCTGGCCGACATGTGAGATGTGGCCCACACGCCTGACACGCGGCTCGCGCGCGATGTGCTCACCGTGCCGCCCTCGCCGCGAAACAGAAGGGGTTGGCGCGGGGCGCCATACGACATACTGCTCACGGGTCGATCGGCGTGGCGTCGCCCGCCTCAGCTGCCGCGCGCACTTTGCATGCCGACAGCAACACTCAAGGTGGTCGGTGTGTTGCGAGCAACTTGGCATGAGCGAGTGCATGCCGTGAGACTTGCACGCCAAGCTGGAAGGCGGGCCCGCCGCGTGTCGTGCACCAGCCTCGCTCCTCCACTCACTCGTGCGCTACCTAGCATCCGCGCTGCCTTCTTGTCGCCTCACGAGGCTTCAGCGTACGCCTGGAGGTTCAGGCCCGCGCAGCCCACCGACTTCACTGGTACGAGCGCGGGGGAGCTGGGGCTGACGGCGGGATCGCCCGCGGACCCGTCGTACCAGTCCGGGGGCGGGTTCCAGCCCGTCACGTCGCGTGTGAACGCAACGATCTCGAATGAGCTGCCTGCACACGAAACAAGGGCGTCGCCGTGCAGACGCGATCAGCCGCCCACGCAGTGCATCGCCGCGCGGTCGTTGGAAGCCGCGGCCGGCTCGGCACCGGGCGCACGGGGGCGGCGCTGGTCAGGAGGGAGCGGGAGGCGCACCTCGCGCAAGCTCCTTGAAGTCTGCGTTGACGTACTGGAGTTTGACCAGCACAGATCGAAAGGCATCTTTCAGTTCCTTCAGCGCTGCGCTGTCGACGCCCTCGCCCCGCGCGCCCCCCGAGACCGTCGCCTCGAAGACCCACCGCTCGAGCGCCGCCCCGGCCTGCGTGCCACCGGCACGGCTCCGCCCGTGAGGCGACGACAACAACAGCGCGTGGGAGGGCAGCGCACAGCGGCGCGCCTTCATGCCGCGTGTCCTGGTCGTGCGGGCGTACCGGCGACCGGATGACGACGGCGACGCGCGGCACGTGTCCCGCGTGGATCCCCGGCGCGAGCGCGTCCACGCTCGCACTTACGTACTCGCACACCCCGGGGTGCCGAGAGCGCTGCACCGACGCGTCGTACGCGCGTGTGCGCTCGAACAGGGACCCGCTGTACACCTTGCGCTCGAACAGGATCTGCGGGGGCGACGGGAGGGCGCCGGGCTGAGCTGGAAGCGCAGCAAGTCGAGCAGCGGCCCGCGCAGGAGTATTCGCGCCGGTGCGCCGGGCGTGGACCGGCGGCGAGCCGTTGCGCCGCGGTACCTGGTGGATAGCCGCCTTGAGGAACTCGCAGTAGGCCTTCGTGACCGTGTCGTCGGCCGCGGACGTCTCGCCCATCCCCCGCTCAGAGTGCACGTTGGATCCCCGAACAGGCCAGTATCGAGGGAACCGCGCCCTCCCCTGTTCGCGCGGCCTTCCGAACGAAGTGGACGTCAGAGTGTCACCGCGATCATCCGCAAGTGCCGCCGGGCTGCGCCGCTCAAGGCACCCAGTGCCCACGCGGCCTCTTCGAGCCTGGAGCGTGGCCGCCTAAGCGCCGTCCCGGAGCCAAACGGTGCGCCCGGTGCAGTGTGACGTCCGCAGCACGCGGCCCCGCACAATGCGCGCGCTCGTGCTGCCCCGCCGAGTCAGGCGAGCCGGTCCCCTCGTGTCGGGAGACGGTCCCGGACGCTGCCGCCCTGCCGCTCTTTGGCCGGTCCAGGGCCCGGGGACGCGTCACACCGCCGCCGTCTGCACATCGCAGTACAGACTCAGTCCACACGCGCGTGATACCGGCGATTGCGTCGCACGCGGCGTCCTGGAAATCATCATCTCAGGACGCGTTTGCTCCTTGAATCGCTGCCGAAGCGCTACGATCGACGCGGTGCTGGGCCCGTGCGGCTCCGTGCAGATCCCCTCGCCGCAGCGAACCGAGAGGACCGCCGCAGCGCGGCCGTACGTCGTCACGTTGTGCTGCAAGAAGGTTTTCCGTGCTTAGCGGCGCGGCAGATACGCCAACTCCTCGGACTAATGGTTGACTGGGTACCATGGTGATGTCAGAGGCGATTTTCGACTGAGGTCGTGCTCGGGGGCCGTCTGCCGGCCGGCGCTCAGCTGCAAGCAGCACGGCACGGGTGCCCCTCCTCGCTGCGCCCCGAGATGCAGCGTTTTGCCCACCAGTCGCACGGGGCGGATGGGGAGCGTACTCACGACAGCGGGAGGTGCAGCGAAGATGAGCCTGCGGCCCCCGTCGACCGCCACGCCCCCCCGGGCGTCCGCCGCACTGCCAAGCACGGCCAGCCGGGCGACAACGTCCGCGCGACGCCCCACAAGCCGCACGCGCGGGCCGTCTTTCTCCCAACGAAGCGCAAGCTGATATCCGAGCAGATCGGCACCGCGAGGTTCCTGCGCCCCGGGCGCCTCATGCTGGCGTCCGCGGCTCTGTGCGCAACGTGCGCGGTGCTGTACCCGCGCTGCCCGGCGTTCGTCCAGGAACTCGCGCTGCTGTACTTCCGCCCGCTCGTCGCGCCCCTCGTCATGGCCTGGTTGTTCGCGCTCACCGTCAAACACTGGGAAGAGATTGGCGTCTTCTCCGAGTTCCAGGTCTGCGGCCCACGCACCGCGCCCGCGCCCGGCCGACGCACGCGCCCAGTCCTCGCCCCGCGACCGCCGCAAAAGAAAACACCCCCGCGTTGTCCCCCCTTGTCCACCGCAGGCCTGTTTCGGGGCCTCGGCGTCGCTGGTGCCGGGCAGCGAGGTCCTCGCGACGATGTGCGGGGTCGCGACGGTCGCGGCCGCCGGCCTCGCCGCCGCGGTGCTCCTGCTCTGCTGCCTCGGGATACACGGGGAGATGTCGGTCACGGCAGGTACGACACTACAACCGACACCGACAACACGCCCACGTGGCCCCTGCCCGCGCGACGCTGGCGTCAACGCACCCACCGCGCGCTCTCGTTCCCCGTGCGCCGCAGCCCTGAGCTCGCTGTTCCTCGTCGCGCCGCTCAGCGCGACCGTGGCGCTGTCGTACGGCTCGCACCTGTGGCCGTACGCGGACGCGTTCGTGCGCGTGCTCGGCCGCTGGCTCGTCCCGATCCACAGCGTCACCTTCGCGGACTTCCTCCTCGCGGACGTCCTCACGTCGCTCGCGCGGCCCCTGTCCGACATGGAGCGCGCGGTGTGCCACGTGACCCTGACAGGGCCGTTCCACCCGCTGGCCGAGGAGGGCGCCGCGAACGACGACCACTGCCCGAACTCCTCGGCCATCGTCCCCGTCCTCATGGCGCTGCCCTTCGCGGTGCGCCTCGTGCAGTGCCTGCGCCTCTACCGCAGCAACAAGGCACGCCCGCAGCTGTTCAATGCGCTCAAGTACGCGACCGCGCTCCCCGTGATCGCGGCCTCCGCGATCAAGTACCGCGTGACCGACGAGGTGTGGGACCACCGGCTGTGGTGGCTGTGGATTGCGTCCGCGGTGGTCAACACCGCCTTCACCTGCTGGTGGGACGTGGTCATGGACTGGGGCATGCACGCGCGGGGGCTCTGCGGGGCGCGCAGGAAGCTGAGGATCACGCCCGGGGACTCGGAGCTCGAGCGCGGCACGCTGATACGGCACCGCGCCACCGCGGGGAGCAGCGGCGACGTGCTGGCCGGCGACGACTCCCGCGCCGAGGGGGGGAGTCAGCGGGACCGCGGGGGGCTCGCGCTGTATGCCGAGCCCTTCTACCCCGCTGCGGTCGTCTCGAACGTCGCGCTGCGTGCCACGTGGGCCTACAAGCTGTCGTCGCACCTGCGGCACCGCCAGTGGATCGCTGCGGCGGCGTCGCTGCTGGAGGTCCTGCGGCGCTTCCAGTGGCTCTACCTGCGCATCGAGCACGAGCTCCGGCGGCAGCAGATGGGCATCATGCGCCGCGTGCGCGGGCCGGGGAGCTCGGGCGACGCGCGGCGCTCGAGCGGCAGCCACTACGCGCCGGCCGCGGGGCCGGACGCGCAGGAAGCTCCGCGCACGCGACCGTCGACGCCGTTCCAGGACGGGGCGCGGTCGCGCAACAGCAGCTGGCAGCAGCTGGCGGAGCGACGCAAGGGCAGCAGCAGCGGCAACCTCGCCGCGATGGTGTGGGCCGCCAACGGCCACGCGACGCACCGCGGCGTGCCGTAGGCCGCAGTTGGAAGAGGAGGTATGTGTCTGTGCATGAGGAGAGGTTTTTGCGGGCGACGCAGCCGTGCTACGCCCCCCCTGTGACTCGTTGTGAGGTTTTTGCGGCCGGGTCTGTCGTGTGGCTGTCACGGCGCGGCTTACACGGTCTTGTGCTTGGGCGTAGCGGCGCGCGGCGGCGCGGTGGCGAGGAGCGCCGCGATCAGCGCCGCGTGGACGCCCGTGAGCACCAGCGACGACGTTGGCGTCGAGGGAAACACGTTCCAGCACCACTCGACGACGCCCATCACGGCGACCTTTCCCACCGCTGGGAGCCACGGGAGCATCCAGAGGAGGGCCGGGAGCGAGTGGAAGTACCAGGAGTAGAACTGGTAGTGCAGGGAGCGCGCGCAGGCCACGCCGACGACGTTGCAGGTGCACAGCACGTACAGCACATGCCGCCTCTGCGCGGCGCCGCCGTCGCCCTCGCCCGCCGCGCGGGGCCGCGGGCTGAACATGCGCTGGATGCACCAGGCGGGCCCCTGCGTCCCCTGGAACCACTTGTAGCGGAAGAACGCCGCCAGGAGCGCGATGTGCAGCACGAGCAGGAAGACGTGGAGGGCGCGCGACACGAAGACGTGCTCGGGGAGGAACTTGAGGTTGACCGTCCAGACGTGCAGGAAGACGCGGCCGAGCTCGAACGCGCGGGACAGATACTGCAGCGGGTGCGCGAGGAGGAAACGCATCGCCAACGCCACCTGCGGAGGGGGAACGGGGCTGCTTTGGTGAACGCGTGCGAAGGCAGGAGAGAGCTGGTGCGTGCGCGAGAGCGGGCGTCGGGTGCGGGCGCGTCCGACCTGCAGCAGCACGCCCGCGGCGGACCCCACCGCGAGTCCGTCGGCGGTGCCCTCCTGGACGACGACGGCGAGGGCGCCGGGCGCGAGCAGCAGCGCGCCCATCTTGACGCTCACCGCCGCGGAGAACACGACGATCGCCGCGTTGTGTCGCCGCGAGAGCATCAGCGCCACCGCTGCGTGCGTGAAGAGCATGGCCCAGCAGTCGTTGAAGAGGCGCAGGACGTAGATCGAGTGCAGCCGCTTGGAGAGCGCGAGGAGCGGGAGCGCCCACGGCGGCAGGAGCTGCGCCGTCACGTAGCACCACATCACGATGGCCTGCGTCAGCACGTACACCCCCCCAAAGATGACCTGGCCGTGCGGGATCGACCCGCCCGTGAGGTGCCGCAGCCAGGAGAAGATGTGGACGTGCCCGGCCGGGTACACGAGCGGCCCCGTGCCCGTCTCGATCGACGTGTAGTCCGTCTCGCCCGCATGCACGATGTCAATTTGGTCCATGTATGTCTTCCAGTCTATTTCCGTGTACGGGACCTGCGCGACGGATCCGAAACCTCGTCCGTCGGCGCGTCGCTGTGAGCAGCGCAAGCGCGCAAGAGGACGGCAGGAACGTCGCGAGAGAGACAGAGGGAAGACATCGAGAGACGACGAACTATGGATGTAGGTTTGGCGGTCTTGTGACGTACCTTCCAAACTATGAGCGCCGTCACGAGGACCTCCCAGATCAGCACCATGCCCGCGACCGCCCACGCGCACCCGACGTCCGTCGGGTCCGACACGCGCCGCAGAAGGGCGCGCACCCCACGCGGCCATGATCGCGCGTCCTGCGGGGCGCCTCGTCGCCCGAGCGACGCTGCGGAGTGCCACGGGCGCGAGAAACACGACTGGTGAGCCCCACATGCGGCCGAACCGCGCCTCTGGCGGCCGTCGCCGTCCGCACTGCGCGCGCGACGAGCTGGGCCTTCTGTCGCCTGCGGGGGCGTACCCGGCATTCGAGCGCCCCGTTTCTCCTCCGCCCTGCGTGGTTCACTTGGTGACCCTTGCTCCTGACCCGCCGGTCGAAGGCGCAGATGCGCACCGACGCGCGTGCTGCCGCGCAGAGCTCGTTTGCAGTTTCAACGCACCCTGGCGATGTTGTCATGCAGTCACCGGCGATGTTCTGCGCGCCTTGTTCCAACACACACAGCGGTCACGTTCTGAATCGAGATCGAGCGGGGCGACCCACCGAGCCCGCACAACAGCCCGACGCACAGTCTCGACACCTCCCCCCCCCAACGCACCCGCCCAGCGCCCGACAAAGGGCGCTCCGCGCGCCCCCGGCCCGCAGCACAGCTTGCCGGCGCGCGTCGCACCCGCCCTCGTGATCGCCCGGTCCGTCGCCACGTCAGCTCTGGCCTCCTTGTGTCGCTCCCAGTGCGCCCCGAGGGGGCCCGGCGCGGGCGCGGGCGCGAGCGTCCGCCGCGATGGCGGCACCGTCGCTGTATGAGACGCTGCGGGAGCGCGTGGAGGCGCTGCAGGAGGAGTCCCGCGACGCGGACGCGGGCGCTGAGACGATGCAAATGGCCTCGGCCGCGGCCGCGCTCCTCGTGTCCCTGGGGGGCGGCGTAGCGGCCCAAAGGGAGTCCGTCGGCCGAGCCCCTCCACAGTACGTGCCCGCCACACGTAATCATCGCCCGCCCGGCGCGTGCTCCCCGCCACGGTGCCCGCGCCCCAGCTCGGTAGCGCGCCACGGCGCTCCACCGCGGCGCCCGGACCCGGCACGCGCGCGCACGGCCATGTCTACGATGTTACCCTGCGATGCGGCGCATGAGACCACCGCGCGGGCCGCAATCCGCACCGCACGCGGGCGCTCACGACCTGCGCCCGGCTCGCCGCTTCGGCCCGCGTTGCAGGGCGGAGGCGATCCAGAACATCGACGCGTTCCAGCGCGCGACGGTCCTCGGGCTCGTCCTCGGGTTCTCGCGCCCGGGGACGTCCGCGAAGGACGTGGAGCACGCCGTGGCGTCCCAGAACCTGTCGTCCATGCTCATCGCCTCGAACCAGACGGCTCACCAGACCGCCGCGTGCTCGGCGGCGGCCCTGGCGCTCGGGGGCGATCCGCGGCAGCTCACCGCGCTGTTCTCCGCGCTGGCGACGCAGTTCTCGGAGCGCTGCGGCGAGAACGACCGCCACCTGGCACAAGCGGCGTGGGCCAGCCTCGAGGCCTCCGCGCTGGCCGCGGGGGACGCCGCGCGCGCGGTGCTCGTCAGCCAGTGCATTCCTCCGGGTCTCGGCATCCGGAAGGACCCCTGTATGCTGCTCCTGAAGGCGCGGGCGCTCCTGGCGGGCGACGGGGAGGCTGGTCCGCGCCTGCGTGCTGCCATCGAGGCCGCGGACGCCGCGGTGGCGACGATCGAGAGCTCCTCGATGGGGCTCAACGAGGAGGGCGGCCCGGTGCTGCCGCTCCTGGCCGGCGCGCAGCTGGGCGGCGGGCGGCGAGCCGCGCACCTCCGTGCAATCGAGGTAGGCAATCCTCGAGTGACTTTCTGTCCTTGTTCCTCGACTGCCCCGTGTCCCGGGAGCTGGCTGACGCGCTCCGACCGCGCGCGCCGTGCGTCGCAGGCGCGGGCGCACATGTACGCCGGCGTGGGGATGGCGGCGCTGGCGTCCGACGCGGGAACGCCCAAGGAGAGGTGCCGGGGGCTGCGGAGCAAGGCGCTGGACCGGCTGATGCGCGCGCAGGACCTCGACAGCTCGAACCTCCACATCATGCACAACCGCGCGCAGGCACGCGCACAGCGCCGCGGCCAACGACTGCCTGCGCGCGCATACGCGTCGGTGTCCGTGTCCGTCCGCGTCGGTCGATCCTGCGCCGACGGACCCGCCGCGGCCCCGCTGCTTGCAGATCCTCGCGGAGGAGCGGAACTTCGAGGGGTGCGTGCAGGGGTGCCGCGCGGTGCTCGGCCCGTCCCTGGCGGCGGCCGGCGCCACGTGGGTGCTCCTCGCGAACGCGCTGACCGCGTCCGGGCGGCACGAGGAGGCGCTGCGCGTCGCGCAGGCCGGTCTCCCGCACGGCGGGCCCTCCGCGCACCGCCTCCTGCTCCTCATCGTCGCGCGGCTGCAGCTGATGCTCCTGCAACACAACGACGCGATCGACACCCTCGGGGAGCTCGTCGCGTCCTCGCACGGCGAGGTCTCGGCCGTGCAGGAGCAGCGGGATGTCCCCGAGGCGTCCGGGAAGTCGGGCGGCACGGCGTCGTCGCTGATGCTGGGCCTGCTGGTCTGGATCGAGATGGCGGGGGCGTTTCTGGCGCTGGGGAAGACGCCGGACGCGCGGTACTGCGCGGAGCGCGCGCTCAAGGCCGGGCCGGAGGAGCCCGGCGCGCACCACGCGATGGGGTGCGTGCTGCTCGCGGAGGGCGACTCGGGCGCGGCGCTGGCGCGGTGGCAGTCGGCGCTGGTTCTGGACCCGCACCACCGCGCGAGCGCGCTGTCCGTGGCCGAGGCGCACGTGCGGCTGTGCCGCGAGGAGGTGTCGGAGGAGGGCCTGACCGCGTCGTCCAAGGCGCGCCGGAAGACGGTGGCGCACCTGCCGTCGTTCTCGGCGGCGGGGCCCGGGTCGCTGACGGTGCGGATCAACGGGGACGCGCTGGCGCCCGTGGGCGCGGCGACGTCCGCGAAGGACCTGAGCGGGCGCTTGGTGGTCGCGGAGCAGCTCCTGCGGAACCTGCTGGCGGACGACGAGGGGGACTGGCGCGCGTGGCTGGTGCTGGCGCAGGTGCTCAAGATATCGGGGCGCGCGGAGGAGGCGCGCAGGGCACTCGAGATCGGCGCGGCCGCCGAGGCGTGCGAGCCGATCCTGCCGTTCAGCATGCTCCCGCGGCCGCTGTGATCCTTGATCACATCGATGTAACCCGCCCTCCCGGCGGAGGAGGTCCCGACCCGACCTAAAGGTCAGATCACACCCGCTAGCACCTCGAAAGAATTTCGGGACGCCTACTTGGAGGTCGCTGCAGCGCAGTCCTCCAGTACCAGAACTTTTGCTCTGAGGTTTTTTTGTGTTGCCCCGCACGCTCGCGGGGCCGCGTGCGACGCTGGCCCTGGAGACGTCGACGCCTCCGGAACTCACCCGCGCCGCGACTTGGGCTTGCGCGGCTTGGGCGGCTCGAACGGCAGCACCGGTGCAGGTGCCTTCTTCGCGCCCCCGCGGCCGCCGCCCCCGCGGCCGCCGCCCCCGCGGCCGCCGCCCCCGCGGCCGCCGCCCCCGCGGCCGCCGCCCTCGGACGGTCCCTGGCTGAAGCCGTCGTCAGCGCCGGGATCATAGAGATAGGCCGGGCGGTCCGGACCGGCCAGCTCCGCCATGTTCTTGGCGGCGTTGCCGTCCCTTGCCACAAACTTCTCGCATTTGGGGCACCATCGGACGTCGTGCAAGAGGCGAAGCTTCGCTCCTCCAGAGGTGCCTTGACTCGCGTCCTGCTGCTTCTCCACCGCGTACGCGTCCTCCGTGTCCCCATGGCAGCGATGGCAGGCCTTCGTGGTGTGGAACTCGCTCACGGCCTTGAAGTCCTCGAAGGTGAGCTTGGCCTTGCGACGAAACGTTCGGACCGGGGCGGGCAGGCATCCCCAGCCGGACCCGGAGAACGCCGCGTCGCCGCACACCATGAGGTGAGGCGGGCGCTTGACGCCCTTGTTGCCGTGTCCGGTGCGCGCGCAACACCTCTTCACACCGCGCAGGTCGCGGCTGATCGCCATCTGGGAAAGTCGGTGCACCCTGAAGCGTTCCCGCGCCCACTTGAGCTGCGTGTGCACCCTCCAGATGTCGTCGTAGATGGTGCCGTAGAGCTTGACGGCGTCCTCCATTTCCTGCGGCTCCGTCGTGACGAGCCTCCCCATCACGTCGTCGAACGTCTTCGCGCGCTCTCTCCCCCGCGCGCGACCCGCGTCGTCCTTGGGACGTACCCAGACGTTGTGCTGCGGATCGAGCACTTCCTGCTGCCAGGCGCGCGTCCGCAGCGCGCGTCGCCTCTGCCCGCTCTCCGTGCGGTAGCGGGCGGCCGTCAGCGGGGGGCGCGGGATGAACTTGCCGTCCGGCCGCTTGATGACGGCCTGCGAGACGTTCTTCCTTCCGTTGTCCACCCCGACGACGCACTGGCCTTGGCGCGGAACCGGGTCAGCGAGCTCGACCTTCTGCGCCTTGCTCCTCGGCGGCCTCCCGACAGCGGGCTCGACCTTCTGCGCCTTGCTCCTCGGCGGCCGCGGGTCAGCGGGCTCGACCTTCTGCGCCTTGCTCCTCGGCGGCCTCCCGACAGCGGGCTCGACCTTCTGCGCCTTGCTCCTCGGCGGCCTCCCGACAGCGGGCTCGACCTTCTGCGCCTTGCTCCTCGGCGGCCGCGGGTCAGCGGGCTCGACCTTCTGCGCCTTGCTCCTCGGCGGCCTCCCGACAGCGGGCTCGACCTTCTGCGCCTTGCTCCTCGGCGGCCGCGGGTCAGCGGGCTCGACCTTCTCGAAGTGGAAGTCGATCCCCGCGCCGTCCGTCGCCACCAGCCCGGCGAACTTCCACCCACCGCCCCCGCGCATCCGCCAATGCTCGCCGTCGCCGGGACCGTGCGCGCGCTCCTTGAAGCGGGACTTCTTCTTCGTCTTCGCGCTCGGCTTCTCCCCCTTCGCCACCTTGCCGCGCGGCACCGTGGTGTCCCGGCGCTCCCGTGCCGGCTTCTTCATCAGCGCAAAGACCTTCGGCCACCAGAAGTCGTTCGCACACTTCCGGAAGACCGCCACGTCCGCATCTACGGAGGGGAGGCCGGGGTCTTTCTCGCGGGAACCGAAGTGCGCCTCCCACTCTCGCCGATCGACCCGCTTGTGACAAGCGCGAAGCAGCCCCCGCAGTACCTCTGGAGTGATGGCGACGTACTGGCGCCGCGCGTGGGGGCGCGGCGCCAGAGTGAACGAATGCCGCAGCTTGAGCTTCGACTCCTTGCACGTCTTCAGCAGGAACGCGTAGTACCGCAGCACCTCCCACGGATGGTTTCTGCGCCACTTCGCGTCCCTCTCGACCTTCTCTGCATCCGACTCGGACTCGTACACGTACGTGCCCACCCGCAGCCCCCCGTCGGCTTCGCGGCGCACGCGACATCGATCGCGCACCGAAGTCCACTCGCGCGTTCTGAGGACATCGCGGTGATCTTTGATCAGCTGCTCAATCCACGGCGTCGGCGCGTTGTCGGAACCGGGCTTCATGTCGTCCATCTGCTCAACGTTCGGGTCCCCGTTGATCTTGCCCACAATGTAGTTGAGACGCCGCGCGCATACACCACGCCCGTCCTTGCAAGCCCAATTGGGCGCCTTCTTCCGCAGCAAGGCGCGGATGACGTTGCGCTGGCGGGCCTTGAAGGTGTTGTCGAGGTAGACACTGGCCAGGAGGGCTCGATCCAGCTCCCCGGCAGCGCGTTCGAAGGCCTGAGTGTCCCCCTTGATGCGTCCTGCAGAAACCGCATCCGACCTCCCCTCCAGCTTCGCCGGGAACCCCCCGACGTTCAACGCCTCGATCGACGGCAAGAGCCCGTTGGTGAACGCCAGGTCGTCCTTGCTCCCCGCGTGGCCGATCATCGCCTGGAAGAACATTTTCTTCGCGCCGCCGCCTGACACGATGTCGAGAGCCCTGTCCTCGCCGCGCTCCTCGCGATGCAGGGCCTGGAGCAGGGCGTGCTGTACGACTATCTTGGCGACGTTGGACCGCTGGCTGACCAGCAACACGAGGTTGTCCAGGTCATAGGAAAACTTCTGCTGCATAGCCCCGTCCTTGGGGAACTGGAGGGCTCCGGCCAGGCTGGCCTTGACGACTTCGCGTCGAACGGTCTTTGACGGTCCCGGGCCCCGGGACCGCTTCCGCCCGGGGCTGCGCTTCGAGCTCACGGGATCATGCCTGTACCCGAGTTTATCGCTCCGATCGCCCTTGCCAAAGGACTGCTGCGTCCGGCCCGCGCGGCCACGGGCGTCGTCTGCGGTCGCCGCGGGGCGCTTCAGGGCGGCTTCGATCTCCCTCGGCGATGCATAATGCCCAGTCAGCTTGGTCTGGCGGCGAACCCTGCGGAGCATCGGTGGAGCGCCGGCGTCGGGCGTGCGTCGGGCGGGCGGGCGGGCGGGCGGGCGGGCCCGCGCCATCGATTCGATGCCGTCAGACGCTGCAGCGGGCGCGGTCGGTGCGAAGCTGCTGCGGGTGGCGATGTGTGTGTCACCCACCTGGTCGCGCCGGGGTTTTGCTCTCCTGGAGTAGCGTTCGCCGCCGCGAAGGCCGACGCCTGCACAACGTCTTCCGAGTCCGGGCTGCGACGGCGCTTGCGCCCGTCACGGCCGCCGGCACGGTCTCGGCCACCCATGGGCAATGCCTGCTGGCCGATGTCTAGTCGACTCGGCGGCTGCCCGCGGCTCCCGCGTGGGCCTGCGGAGCGACGGTGAGGGCAGCTCCCGAAGGTGAGATGGGGAGGCTGGGCTCGACGAGGGCGAACGACGCACGTGCCGCCTCAGCACAGGGAGGGAGGGTGCGAAGGGCATCATCGCGCAGTGCGGCAGCGGCGCGCGCTTCGGGCAGTCGCCGGAATGCCGCGGGGCCCCTTTCAGATGACGCGTTGGCGCAAGGCGGGGTTCCAGGCCGCCGTGCCAGGCCGGCTCACCTTGCGGTCTGCCATATGGCCATGCATGGCAGTGGTGGTGTCCTCCGCGTCCTGAACGCTCGGGATGGCCTCCGATCCAGTGAGCGAGACCTGCGCGATCATCGGGGCGAGGCGAATGGGTCGCGGACATCGCAGAGACGGGCGCGCGGGGCAGGGGGGGGGCGGCAGGACAACTGCGCCGCTCCGCGGGGGCGTATGAGCGATGCGCGCCAAGTCGCGGCCGTTCCGCGTCGATATGAAACACTGATGGAGGGCGCGGAGGAGCGAAAGCGCGATGAACAGCGTCTGTTGCGGCAGGCCACCTCAGCAGGATCGCGGGGCGCGGCGGCGCCGTCTTCGCGCATGGGGAAACGGGCGCAGTCGAGACATTCGTCGCGATGAAAGCAGCGGGAAACGCAGAATCGGGCCGCGGGCGCCTTGAGAAGCGCGACCATGGATTCTGATGCCCCATTGACAAAGGGCAGAGCGCCTGCCGACGGCAGCGCGGGGAGATGGTTGTCCCGCGCGCGCGCACGGAGATGCCGCATCAATCGTTCGGTTATCATTCGGTTCAGCGCTCAACAGCGCCTCAAGCCGTTGCTTTTTGGGGCAACTGTGGCTCGCATCGGGTTTTCGGCGTCAACACGCCGCTTCCGCCGTTTGCGGAGACACAACGACTAAGCAGAAGCCTGGCAGGGCGTCCGTGGGGCGGCACGGGCTCCAAACCCCCCGTCCGGAGCGCGTGGCCGGCCACAAGGGAACAGGTGGTTACCTCGTGTGCACCTCGAGTCTCGATTATCGCTCTGGGATGGTTGCCCCCTCGCCTTAGATTCGCAGCGCCTACCGCAGATGGGCCGGCGTGCCCGTAGTGGCGACGCTGGGCGCGCGGCCGGCCTCTAGGACGGCCGGCGCGATGGGGGTGTTCAACACTGTGGACACAATTACAGTTGTCCGCCCAGGCTGGGCGGAGCGACTGCCCGGTGCATGATGGCAGAAGGTGGAGGACGGGCGCATCACCGGCCGTGCGTGGACTGCTTCCGGGCGCCTCCATCCACGCGATCGGAGCCCCGCCAGTCAGGGTGAGAGAGCCTCTCTTCGAGCAGGCACCCCGGCGTGCCATCCGGTGCCGGGGATCCCGGCGCCGTGCAGTTCGGTGGTGCGGCTGATGTCGTGGACATCACTGTGGGGGGGTCGCGGGGCGTACCGGGTGACGCGTGTGCCTCGCCGGGCAACTGGTGCCGAGCGGCCGGCGCGCACTGTGACGCCTTCCCCCCCGGGAACTCGGCCTGACAACACCTGCCGCGGGCGGCACACATCCGTAGGCGGTGGTTCCATATCGCGCCCCCTGCTTTCAGTGCTCGTTAGCGCCCGCGGCGACGCTGCGCTTGCCTGTATGGGACCACGCGGAATGCGGCGGACGCGAGGGCCGAAACCGCGACGACTCGCCCCCAAGGTCGCGCTCGCTACTGGCTGAGCGCACGGATGCCGGTCGATTCCCGGACCGCTCCACCACCGGCCCGCAGGAGCCCGCGACCCAGCCCGCGCCCGCTGGCGTGCCCACGGTCGCCCCCGCACCTCCTCTTCCGCGTGACACGAGCATCTTGACGGATCAGCACGGTCCTTCGGCGTCGAGGGCCGCGTCTGCTGTGCTGCGTGGGCGCACGCGCCGGCACGGCCGCGGCACGACCTCGAATTGGAGCTGTCAGGCCTGCTCGTAGCGACACCCGGTTCCCTGATCACAGGGTCGGGCACACAGCCCGAGGTCTAGCACGGGCGTGATGAAGATGCGCGATCCGGCAGCAGCGCGGCGGCCGAGCCAGTCCTCACTCGTGCTGCGGGCCCCCTCCGACTCACTCGCAGGGTACGAAAGATCGCTCAGGTCGTGCTGCCGGACCACGAGCCCGCGGCAACCCCGGACCCCCGGACCGAGGTCACTCAGCACGGGCTTGGCCGCACACGGGCCAGGTACGCCTGGTGGTGCCAGCCACCACCGCGCACCATCCCTCCACATCTGCTCGACACCGCGATCTACCACGCGGACCGCCGTGCCTTGTCCCGCCTGCGTGTGGGAGCTACGAGGCTGCGCACCTCCACGATGGCCATGGCGGACCAGGAACAGCAGTGGCAACACACAACGCTGTCGCACCCGTCGAAAGTCTGCCGCTTCTGCGTGGACGTGGCGGCATCGCCCGCCCCGGAGGACCTCCGCCACCTGCTGCTGGACTGCTGTGCCCCGGCGGTACGCTCTCTCCGGGAACGAGCGGGCCTGGCCGTGGACTCGTCTGGGCAGCTCACGCTGCCACCCCCGCCCGCTGCCGATGCGCCCCTGTCGTCCACGGCAACTGTTGGACAGCGCCGCCGCTTCGCTCTCAACCGCCGTCTACGCCAGCACCTCGAGGACCTGTACGGCGCTGCAACACTCGACTCGGAAGCCGCTGCCAACGCTGCAGTGCGTTATCTTCTGAACCTGCCGAATCAGCAAGGCATGGCGATCTTCGCTCGTGGCATTGAGGATCTGCTCCAGGCTGACTCTGTCACAGCTGCCGAACTTGTTGCTACCATAACGGTGGGGGGTTAGCATGACTCGCCACCTAGTCGAATGATCTTTTCAGGTCCCGAAGCCTCATGGCTGACGACGCGAAGAATGTAACACCTCACCTCACCTCATCACTCTCTCGACAGCGGCATCGTATCGTATCGTGTCGTATCGTGTCGTGTCGTGGTCGAGGAGGGGAGAAAGAATCGCGTCAGCTGGCGTCGTCGTCGCCTGTGATGGATATCTGGTGGCTCTTGGGCCCGAAGCTCGGCTTGTTCCGCGGCCGCTGCTTCGCCGCCGCCCTCCCCGCCCCCGCCGTCGCCGGCGACAGCGGCGGCGCGTCCGGCACCGCCTGCGCCGCCTGCGCCGCGCCCCCCGCCGCCCGCTGCATCGTCAGGTTGCCCTCCAGCGCCGCGCACCGGCTCGACCACTGCTGCAGCGAGCACCGCAGCCTCGTGATCTCCTGCAGGTACTTCTCCTGCATCCCCCGGAGCTGCTCCTGCGTCCCCTGCAGCGCCGTGCGCGCGGACCGCGCCTCGGCCTCGAGCGCCGCGCGGTCCGCGGCCAGCACGTGCACGTCGGCGCGCGACAGCGTCAGGACGCGCTTGTGCATGTCGCGCAGGCGCTCCTGCAGCGTGCGGACCGCCTCGGCGCGCATGCGGCCCAGACCGTCGCCGCCGTGCGCCCCCGCGGCCGTGACGGCCACCGCAGCGGCCTGCACGTCCCCGTCGTGGCCCTCGAGGTCCGCCAGCGACGGGAAGCCGGAGAGGAGGCCCGCGGGGATGCCGCTCGGGTCCATGCGCAGGAGCTGCTCGCCTGCGGCAGGCAGGAGAACGGGGGGGGGTTGCGGGGGGTGTGTGGGTGTTGATGTGTGCGTGGGAGAGGGGGGGGGTTTGGTGCATGTGTTGGGGGTGTGCGGGCGTGCCTGGGACCATGCGGCAGGCGCGGACGAAGGCGAGGAAGACGAGCGCGTGCGTCGCGCACTCCGCGGAGATGACGGCGCGCAGGAAGAAGATCAGCCGCGAGCGTTCGCCGGGGTACGCGATGCTCCACAGCGCGACCAGGAGGGTTGCCGCGGTGGCGTACGCCGAGACCTGGATGGGCAGGCCGGTCCAGGGGCGCGCGCGGACGTACAGCGGGATCGCTCCGCGCATCCGGCACGCGTGCAGCGCGGAGTTGAGCACGCGCGACAGGAGGCTGGAGAGCGGCAACAGGAGGACTTGCGGCACCGCGCGGGCCGGGAACGCGCGCTTGTGGCTGTACCACTGCGGGGGCGGTGCGGGTGGGGGGTTGCGTGAGGTGTGCGCGACGCGTGCGAGGCGGGCGCGTGCATGGACGTCGGGGCGGCACGTGCCTCGCGCGGGAGCACGCGGTGGAGCGCGTGGACGTCCCAGGCGTCCGGGACGAAGAGGAGGCAGACGTAGATGATCTGGATGAGGAGGAAGACGGCGAAGGCCGCCGCGGCGAGGCGCGCGGCGCGCGTGGTGCGCTGGGCGTTGAGCATTGCTTGGCGAGCCGACAGCGCCGGGAGCATGTTCTCCGCGGTCACCTGCGGTTGCGCGGCGGACGCGGGAGTGAGCAGCGGTGCGCCGGCGCGGGCGCGCGGGCCGGGGCCGCGGCGCGTGCCGCTGGGGCGTTCAACCGGGCAGCACGGCGCACCTGCAGGAGCGGCTGCTCTACGTCCTGCGCGGCCTGCCACGTGAACATTCCGCGCCCCTCGCCCCTGCCGTTGTACATGGTGGACGGGTTCCGGGCTAATGGCGCTCGTGTCGGGGAGCGGACAGGCTGGATACGGCACGGTGAGAGCAACGACGCATACTGTCGCTCGCTGTCGCGCGACTGCGTGCTAGATCTCTATTTTCCCGCGTCTTTCCGCGCGTCGACGCACGGGCACGTTCACGTGCGGCAACCAAGCTCGACGACCACCGACGCACACAGCACCGTCGTCGTCGTCGTCGCGTCGTGCAGCATCGGACGCATCGAGCGACACGGGATGCACGCAGAAACGAACAGCGCGCGACCACGGCTCGGCCTGGGTCTCAACTCGCGCCCGCCGGCGCCGCGAGCCGGCAACGTCCCGCAGGAAGCCGCCGTCGCCGTCGGACGGAGCGCGTCACGCCACCAACCACCCCCGGCTGGCACGGCGCAGCGCGGCGCCGCCCCGCGCCTCACGGCCCGCGCTCCGACGCGCCCCGCCGTACTCTCCAGGGTCCGGGACTCGTCGCGTCGCTTCACGTCGCCGCGCCGCGCCACGACGCTCGCCTGCAAGAGGGCACCTAGCCTTGAGCCGTTTGCGATGTTGGCCGCCGTTTCCGCCAAGCCGTGCGCGGCCCGCGCATGCTCGCGCTCGGAGCGCGCCGCGCCGCGCCGGCCCGCGCCGCCGCCGCCGCCGCGCGCGCCGCTCACGCCGCCCAGCGCAGCTCGCTCCGCCCTCCGGCGCCGCGTCCCGCAAGGTCGCGGCGGCCGCGCAGATGCCCGGGGACTTCAGCATCGGCGCTGCGCCGATGCTCGTGCCGCCCGGACCGTGGGAGGTGATCGAGGTGCGTCCTGCGCGCCGCGCGCTCCGCCCGTGCATCTCTCCTCGATCCCTACGTCGCCGTTTCCGGCGAATTCCGCGCCGATGCGGCGCGTCCGCGGCCCGCTCCGGCCGAGATCTGGACGCAACCACGCGTGGGCCGTGCGACCTCCCCCGCCCCGGGCCGCTGCACGGCCCTCGGCACGTAACTGCCTGCGCCCGGCAGCTCCACGCGCCGCCGGGGCCGCCCGCTGCGGCGGCTCCGGTCGCGCGTCGTCCGGGCGGCATGGATAACGCATCTGCGTGCCGCTCCGGGCGCCCGCGCCGCGTCGCGACCCCGCGCGGCGCCCCTCCCATGCGTTGCAGGGCAACTGCGTCACGGCCAAGGGCTTCAAGGCGCAGGGCATGCACGCCGGGATGCGCGCCAAGGGCACGAAGGCGGACCTCGCGCTGGTGGTCGCGGACGAGGCCGCGGTCGCGGGGGGGGTGTTTACGCAGAACGTGATGTGCGCGGCGCCCGTCACCCTGAGCAAGGACAACCTGGCCAAGTCGGACAGGATCAAGGCCGTGATCATCAACGCCGGGCAGGCCAACGCCGCGACGGGCCGCCTCGGCATGGAGGACGCCGTCAAGTCGGCGCAGGCGGTCGCGCAGCAGCTGGGGTGCAAGCCCGAGGAGGTGCTGGTTCAGTCGACGGGCGTCATCGGCCAGCGCATCAAGGCGAGGCCACGTGCCGCGCGTGCGCTGTGCGTTCGCGAACCCACGCGTGTTTGTTTTCCGCGTGCGTCTGAGCGTGCTGGCGCGCGTGTGTGTTTGTGTGTTTGTGTGTGCAGTTTGAGAAGCTGATCGAGGGTCTGCCGACGCTGGCGGCGGGGCTGGGCTCGGAGTACGAGGACGGGCACCGCGCGGCGGTGGCGATCACGACGACGGACCTGGTGAGCAAGTCGTGCGCGCTGAAGATGAAGCTGAGCGACGGCACGGAGGTCACGCTGGGCGGGATGTGCAAGGGGTCGGGGATGATCCACCCGAACATGGCGACGATGCTCGGGACGCTCACGTGCGACGCGGCCGTCGACGCCCAGGTCTGGCGCGGCATGCTCAGCCGCTGCATCCGCGACACCTTCAACCAGGTACGCATCGCATGCGTGGGGCGCAGGCGCGAGCGCGAGCGCCGGTTCCGCACACGCCGTCGCGGCGTTTGATTCCGCGCGCGTCGGTGCGTGCGCGCGTGCGTTTGCAGATCTCGGTGGACGGCGACACGTCGACGAACGACTGCGTGTTTGCGCTGGCGTCGGGCGCGGCGGGGAACGCGCCGATCACGGACGCGGAGAGCGAGGACGGCAAGCTGCTCGAGTCGGCGCTGAAGGCCACGCTCGCGGGGATGTGCAAGGCCATCGCGTGGGACGGCGAGGGCGCGACGGCGCTCGTCGAGTGCAAGTGCACCGGCGCCGCCACCGACGACGACGCCCGCACCGTGTCGCGCTCCGTCGTGTGCTCGAGCCTCGCCAAGGCCGCGATCTACGGCCACGACCCCAACTGGGGCCGCATCGCGTGCGCGGCGGGCTACTCGGGCGTCCAGTTCGACCAGGAGAAGCTGGCCGTGACGCTGGGGGGCATCAAGCTCATGGAGAACGGGCAGCCGCTGGCGTTCGACAAGAAGGTGCGCGGGGGGTCATGGTGATGGTGATGGTGACGTGTGTGTGTGCGTGGATGGATGAATCGATCGATGGGTGAGTCTGTGGTTGTGCTAATGTGTCGCTTGCGTACTTGTGTGGTGCAGGAGGCGAGCAACTACCTGAAGAGCCAGTGCGACGTGCACGGCGTGGTGAACATCGACGTGTCGATCGGGGACGGGCCGGGCGAGGGCGTCGCGTGGGGGTGCGACCTGTCGTACGACTACGTCAAGATCAACGCAGAGTACACCACCTAGGAGGGGGGTGTCTCGGTGGGGGATTGGGGGGGCGCGGTGAGTTGCGCGGCGCGTCGCCTGCGCGGCAGCGCGTGCAGGTGATGCTGTGAGGCCTCTCGGCGGCGGTTCTGGGCTCGGTCGGACTGGGTCGCGGGATGACTTGTGCGGATCCGCCCGTACGCGATCGTGAGGTGGACCGACATTCACGCGAGCTGCCGTGCTTCGTGCCGACTCTGCCTGTCTGACGATCCCCTTGACGGGCTCCAGGGCGCGGCCTTCCGGCGCCTCGTCCCATGTGTCTGACTGTGTGTGCGGCGGCGATACCCCCCCTCCGTTCCTGCCGCCGCGGACCCATCGGGCCGCCGCTCGACCCCCGCCGTCACTCGCCACTCGAAGAAGTGCCAGCCGCGCCCACGGCGTCGCGGAGAGGAGCGACAGCAGCACACAGGCAAGCAAGCAGCTCCCGCCGCCCGTGGCCGCGCGTCCGCGCCGAGGCCCCGCACCGCCCTCGCCCGACGCAGCGTCTCGTTTCTGCACACAGCGGCGTCCGCGCGCCGCCGCCGGCTCGTGCACGTGCGTGCATTGCAACCGTCGCGCCGCGGTGGCGCTTTTGCCGGGGCCGCGGGCGCGCCGGTCGCACTCCGGCCCCGCCGCACTTGCTTTTGTGGTTGCGGTGGCGGCGGTGATTGCCGTTCGGGGCCCCAGAGCGCGGCCGGCGTTGGCTCGTTTTTTGGCGTCGCCGCGGTCACCTGGGACGGTGCGGGAGGGCAGGCCGGCCAGCAGAGGCGGTCCGATGTCGTACCGCGACAGATAAGCTGCCTGGCGGCGCATTCGTCTCCACCAGTTGGGGCGGGGTGTTGAAGGGCGGGGGGGGGGGATGTTTGTTGTGGAAGACACGTGTTTGTTCTCCCGGAGGGCCAAAACGACGCACTGCGCTGTAATCTACAAAAACGATTTGAAAACCGCAAAATTCCGCCGCAGCGACCATGGTTCCGTAGCTCAGTTGGGAGAGCGTAGGTCTCATAGTGGTGAGGAACTTTCCTCGCGCGTATGAGTCATCCTGAGGTCCTGGGATCGAAACCCAGCGGGACCACGGCTTTATGCTCTTCGGGAGCTCTCCAGCGTGACGAACATCGCGGGCAACGGTCCAGAGACGGCTGAGAACGAGGGCCAGAGCTCTGGCGCCTGTAGCCCGTCGCAGGGCCACGACACCCGGCCAACGCGCGTCGCCGTGCCGCCAATGTCCGCCGCCACGCGAGACGCCATCGCAGGAACGCCGCGCAAGCCCGCCCGTGGCCCCCCGCCGCCATGCTGCGCCCCCGCAGCCGCCACAGTAGTGGCCGGCCGTGGAGGCCGGAGAGTGCAGCCCCCGTGACAGGACTGCACCGGCGGCACACGTTGAACGACTCACGCTGAGCACACCGCCTCACGTGACTTCTCGTGAAGCGAGCTCACGCCAGCCGGGGTGTCGGAGGACAGAGCACCTGGGACTCGTGGCCGCCAGCGCCCAGTGCGGCGAAACACGGCTGACGTCCAGCAGTTCGACAGCGTCTGTAGACGAGAGTCTCTTTTCGAGCCAAGCCCGTCATGGGAGCGGCACCCAGTAGACGCCACGCCGGCGCACACACCTGCGACAACGCCTGGGTCGGAAACAGGCTCTTGTGCCCCCACATCCGCCTCGTCCCGCACCACGACGCCATGTTCGCGCGCGGGACATGCCGGCGCCGCGTAATGCGCTCGCGTTTGCGTCCATCCAGGCCCGCCTTTTCGCGCACACTGCCATCGCGTGCCCGCCTGGGGCCTTGCGCGCACCACGGGGCCGCGCGCACGCCTGTAGTCTCCAGCTGCGCCGTGTTTGATGCCAACCACGCACCCAGCCGGGCGCTCCACGGCTGCGCGGCCACGAAAGGCGAGCCGTGTAAGCCTCACACACATGTCATCTCCTAGCCGGCCGCCACGCTCTCACGCGACCCACAACGACAGCGCGTCAGGGCACCATGCTCGCGCGGATGTGCTCTGACATGGAGCACTTGGGGGCACGCGACGCCCGAGGCGCCAAACAACAACGACGCCAGCACGCGGCAACCTCACACGGCCGCTCTCCGCGGCACGGGACCTGCAAACAGCTGTGCTCCCTGCAGGCCGGGCCCACCGCTGCACGGCCTAGCGCGCCCCGTCGCGCGCCCGCCGCGTCGTCATCATCCTACACATGCATGCGTGCACAGTCCACCAAGCGGGCCCCCGAGGCCTACTGGTGCTCGAGGTTGAGGACCTCGAGCCTGCCGGCCAGGTCCATCAGCGCCCTGTGGCCGTTCCAGTCGATGTTGTTGCCGTGGACGTCCAGGAACCGCAGCGTGACGTTGTTGCGCAGCCCGCGCGCCAGCCCCTCCGCACCCTCGCCGCCGATGTCGCAGAAGGACAGGTCGAGCGTGTGGAGCGTGTCGTTGTGCGCGAGCGCGGCCCCGAGCGCGCCCGCCACCTCGCCCCCGAGCGGCGTGCCGCACATCCGCAGCTCCCGGAGCACCGTGTTGCCGTCCAGCGCCCCCGCGAGCGCCTCGAACCCCTCGGACTCGGTCACCACGCCCTTGACGAGCAGGACCTCGAGCGTCTCGCCGAGCGCGCCGCACCGGATCGCGTCCGCGAGCGCGACCATGTCCTCGCCCTCGACGGCGGTGTTGGACAGGTCGAGCTCGACCAGGGTCGACCGCCGCGCGAGCGCCCGCGCGAGGCGGCCCACGCCGGGTAGCAGGAACAGCAGGAACGGCTCCTCGAAGAGGTGGAGCCGCTCGATGGCGCTCACGCCGTGCTCGATGGCGTCGGCCAGCGCGCCCAGGAATCCGTCGCCGGCGCCCTCCACGGACGTCAGCGAGCTCTCCCCGACGCTGAGCGTGCGGAGCGTGGCGTTCTTCGCGAGGCCGCGCGCCAGTGCGAGCCCGTCGTCCTCCTCCATGGCGTTCTCGCACAGGTATAACTCCTCCAGGGTAGTATTGGCCGCGAGGGCGTCGCCCAGCGCGGCGCCGCAGCCCGACGTCGCGGGGCGCGAGCTGGACGACGACGCCGAGGCGAAGCTGTCGTCGTCGGAGGACTCGCGGAGGGGGTTGTCGCACATGGACAGCACCCTGACGCTCGAATTGCGCGCAAGCATGCGCGCGACGTCCACGCCCCCCGCGCGGATATCGTTGCTGTTCAGGTCGAGGTACTCCAGGGTCTCTGTGTCGGCGAGCGCCTCCACGAGCTGAGACACCCCGCCGTCGCGCAGCCCGGCGAACGCGACGGTGAGCGCGCGCAGGCGCGGCAGGGACCGCACCGCCTCGCCCAGGGCCGCGGCGCCGTCGCCGTCCCCGATCGCGCACTCCACGAGCTTGACGCGCTCGAGCTTGGCCGCGGCTGGCAGCGCCCGGATCGTGCTCGGGGAGAACTTGCAATCGCGCCAGCAGAACTCGATCAGATGGTCCCGGAGCTCGTCGCGCTGGAGCAGCGCGACCAGCCTCTGCTCGGCGAGCGATGCGGGTCCAGGGTGGCCCACCATCGACGTGGCCGGGCTCTCTTCGACGCCGCGGACCCGCAGCGGGCGCTTGAGGTTGGCGGCGACACGGACGAGCATCTCCAGGCGCGGGATGCCCTCCGGGAACCTTGACGTGTCCTGGGCGCGCAGGACTTCGAAGGCTGCCTCGACCGTGCGGGCGTCGTCGGCGGGGAGGAGCGCTGTGCATGGTCCACAGAGCCGAATGTTGCCTGCAACGGGCGTGTCTTGGCGCTCGATGCGCCGCGCGATCGAGTGCAGCATGCCGCCCTTCCCCGCTGCCCATTTCTTGTCGAAGAAGATGGTCAGATCGAGAGACGTGTGCTCCAGTGCGGCGCGCAGCGCGGTCCACGACGTCGCAGCAACCTCCCGCCTATCCTCGGCCGGCAGGGCGTGCAGTATCGCTGGAACGTCCCAGAGGAGGCGCTCGAAGGCAGACACGTCGTCTCCGCCGCTCGAGACCTGCAGTTGTCGTCATCGTCGCCCGGCACGTTGCGATGTGCAGGTCACACGCTCTCGCGGGGCGATCAAGGCGCGCAGGTGCAGTCGATCGAAACGCCGGGTGCGTGAAAATTCACGATTCGGCCGTGGAGCGTTTCTCGAGCGCTCACCCGTCCAGCGTCGTCCCCCGCTGATGCGACCTCCATTCTGTTTCAACCGTCTTCCGATTCCTCAGCGATGCTCGCGCGCGAACCCCCGACCTGCAACGCACAACCTCGCACCAGCGCTACTGAGCGTCATGCAGTGCGCATCGCGGCGAACCAGCACCGTGACGCACTCCAGACGTCAAGCGACGCGCAACGCTGCACACACGGCCGTCGTCGGGCGCCGCACCAGAGAGAGCCTGCGCTGCGTCGCACACGACGCTTTGACAGTGCGATGCGGCGCCGCGGGACGAACGGCCCGTCGATTGGGACGCCCCCGCGTCGCCGCCCCGCCAGGAGTCTGACCTGACACAGGAGTGCTTGTACCTTCCAGGACTCGACGTGGTTGGCCGACGGACGTGGATCGGAGCGCGCGGGTATCGCAGTACTACTACGAAGAGGCAGCGGCCAGGCGGAGCTCGACGCCCGTTTTCTCGCCGGGCGAGTCCCGCGTGTCGATGCTGAACAGCACACGAACGGGGGCGCGCAGGGGGACCTCCTCGAAGAAACGAGCCACGCAGCACGCAGGTGGTAGTATCCTGCGCAAGCTCGGGCTCTCGGCTCGTGACGGGCGCCGTCACACTCCGGCGAAAGGCTGGCGCAGCACGATCACATGACTTCCGTGAACAGGATCGCGACGCCCGCGCGTGCGGCAGGGAGACGCAGATCATGCTGTTGCGGGATCTCTGTCGGATGCTCCATACGCCCCCCCATCGCCTGCTGAGACACCCCCGCGGCAGCCGGCGACGAGGCATCACGGGCGGGCCCCGACCGGGACGAGGCGCTGGGCCTGACGAGCCGCGGAGATGGTGCGGCAGCTGCCGTGGCGCCGGCCAGTGACGGGCCTCGCCAGA